TTTCTAAATTGTAAAATGCTAAAAAATGCAAAGCCCAGTTCCTCTTTTTCATCCAAAAAATGCAAGCCCATTTCTATTTATTTCATTACGTCCACTATTTTTCTAATAAAATTGTATTTTTACAATGACCCAAATACATATATCCAAACTTATATTAGAACAAGAAAATAAAGTCATGTATGATATAAATACATTAGCACTTCATTCTCCCAATTATTTTGTGTGCTTACCCCACAAACTCGTGCCCTTTAAATACATAGTAATTACTCGAAACCCTGTAATTAATTAACTCGAGAGTAAAGAGTCTTTAGTCGCATAACTCAAAGTATTATTATATTTTGTTTCACTCTAAAAATTATTAAAAAGTTTTGACTATGAAACAAATTTCCCGGGCCGATTAAAGAAAGCCGAGATGTCATATAAAGCCGGGCTCTTTTCGGACAACTTGATTAAAACAAACAAAGAGTTAAGAGCGAGTAAAACGAGAAGTTTCCGGACACGAGATCCCACCCAAAAAAGGGCTAAAGAATTACTTAAAACAGGGCCGGGAGAAGTAATAGTAGACGGGACAAAAACGCGCTGTTTCCGAGAAGTCATAAATAACAGCCTGAGGACAAGATTTTAACGTGCTCGGATGAGCGTAAAGAGCAGGAAGTGAACTCTCAGAGGTTACCTTCAAATAAGAAAAAGCATCATGTTCGAAAAGTGGTATTAAATTTGTTGGAAAAACTTGCAAGTAAAGCTAAAAAAGTTAAATGAAAATGGAAAACGGAGGTGCCCACTTCTGTAAACACAATTAAATTCTATCCTCATTGCGTATGCAGCAATCAACCATCAATTCGTGCTTGTCGGTCGACCTTATTTTTCTTTGTAGCGGAAGTACTCAAGGGGCGAAGCTTGGATTTTCTTTAAGCTTCCAAGAAAAATGTAGTGAAAAGGTGAAAAATGATTACTAAAGTTTTAAGGTTTTTCTATAAACTTTCAGCTGAGGTTTGACAAACGAAAAACTTGGGGAATGAGCACAAACGGTCAGCAAAACAAATAGTTTTTGACAGTAGCTTTGTGAATTTACAAAGGAACTACGCTAATTCTTTATATTACCTTAAAAACCTTGGTATTTTTTGTAAACCGCAAGTAAGAGCTAGGCATTAGTTTAGTCAAGTTTTTTAAAATTTCACATTGCCTCTTTGAGCTCTTCTCCCGCACGATTACGTGACTTTCAAGCCAAACAAGAAGTCATTGAGTTCATTCATCAAAACTCCCCCCAAGTATAATATAACATCCAAAAACTGAAGCCTTCCAAAGATTGCGGCTCCAGGCCTCAAAAAAACTTGGCCTCAACTTTCTGTCCATACATTCTCGCTTTTCGGAGGGGGGCATGCGCGAGATTTGGACCCAAGCCTTAATAAGTAACATTTGTTTCCAAAGGCGGCCAAGAACCGGTCCAATTAATTATTCAAATTCATAAATTCTCGAATAAAGAAGGCGCACCGTGCGAATTTTTTTACTTGACCCCATTTCCTTGGCTATTTTTGCAGTAGAAAGTTTAAAGATTTCCAAAAAAATATACTGCGTACTATAATATGGCCAGAGTTAATGCAAAATGAGGCCAAACAACGCAGATGTTTGAACATTTTGGTCTGGATTTTCGCAACGAGAGCCTTTTTTGGTTAAACCAAGTTAGAGTAAAGAGGTTTTGGGGACAAAAATACTTGAAATAATCAAAACTAGGCCATTTTGGACAAGGAAGTGGGGGAATAAGCGTGTTCGAAAATTCAAAAACAGACTGAAGGATTTACAATTTTGCTTTCGAGAAGGTTGTTTTGATGGAAATATTAATTAGCAGACAATTTCTGACGGAAAAGGTGTCGTAAAACGCAAGCGACTTGAAGGCGTGAGCCACATTATCCACTAAAGCCGATATTCGCGCGCATACAGTAGTGATATAATCCATACTTCCGCAGACGATGTCATAATGTCAGGTGGTGATTTAACAAAAATCCTTATTATCCATATTATCTAATTTGGAACGATTGCTTTAATTCCTCTGCCTTATCTATAAAGCAAAGGCTAAAGTTTTCAGAAAATCATTTATCGCCTACGTCATTTACGCAAGTTTTGATAGACGCGTCAATTTCTTCGTATCCACTAAATCTACGTACCACCAAAATGTTGCTCTTTTCGTCTTTTTCCAGACAAAAAATCGCTGTGGTTCTGAGCAACCCCCAAATCCGGCAAAATTAATTCCCAAATCCTTCCGTGGAAACTGTTGAAGAGCCGATAACCCCCTCTTTTCTCCATCCCCATTTGTCTCTTCTTGGGATTCATCGTGAGAAAATTTGCTTATCAGTCCAGATTCAGGCCATCCCCTCAGGGAATTGGAGGCGTTCGCGAGAGTCGCAAATTTACGAAGGAACTAACAAAAAATTGTAAGAAAAAATTAATTTAAATTCAATCACAAATCCAAAGGCATGTTACAGTAAGAGTTTCGAATGGTGGGGATTACATAGAGATGCGTTGCAATCTACCTAGTCAAACAAGTTTAGTTTAAAATTCAGAGAACCTTGTTTGTGAGATGATGAAATTATTCGTGAATTAAAAATAGGCCCGTAATTACACCCTGGTTTACGCATCACAAATTGGAAATAAACGTACGCAAGTCGGAGTTTCCAGAAGTCGGAAAACTGGGAGGGTCCCGGACGGAAACTAAAATCCCTTGAAAGGAAATTCAATTTTTCAGTCCAAAAATTATATCAAATAAGTTATTACGACATGTTCGCGGAATAAGAGACGTTTCTCACTGAATATTCAAAGGACTTGTGGGTCGGGAAATTGATTTTTTTCTCGAAAAAATTGTTCTAAAATAGATTAGGACGTTTTGTGTGTTGCCCAAAAATTGAACAAGAGTGGGGAAAAATAATAAAAATGGTATCAAAATACGAAAATAAGCCCGATTCTTTGTTGGTTTCTATTTATTTAGCGCAAAAAACAAATTCCGAGGCATTCGTCGTTATTTTTTTAAAAATTTTTGAATGCCAACTATACAGTCAAGCGTGTTACGGCCTGAGGGCAGATTGAAAAGTTCAAAACATTTCCCTCTTCGATGCCAAAGCTGTAAAAGTGCAAGTGTAAAAATAAAAATATTATGTACAAGGCGGATACGAATCGATTCCGATCTTCGGACAGACGAATCTGTTTGTACAGCCATTAAAGGAAAATTCAAATTTTCCCATTAAAACGATTTATTTTTGAGGGAAACGAAGAGAAAGTAAAGGCCATACCATAAACAAACCCAGTGGGAAAACAATTTCGAGGCAAGACAGTACTAATAAGGTGCTTAAAAATAGATGCTGCCAGTTTTGATGGTCGGAAATGAGGTTAAAATGTAATGTTATGAAATCGTTTTCACATCTGAACTGCCCTTTTCTTAAATTTAGCTACAAAAAAGGATGTTATCAATACCCATTGAATATTTAAAAAAAACCCCAGACATTGTTATTCTATTAATATTTTCTGCAGACCAATTAAATTTTGTTCCCATTACTTTCGCATTAACCAATCGTCAGTATACAACCCTTTTCCCTTGTCGTTTGGAGGTACAATGGACGTGAAGGTAGACTAAATTGTTGCGATTTCTTGCTTTCCAAGTCCGAAATTGCCAGATCTGACGAATGCTTTCCATACTTGACCTGACATTCCAAACAGGTCTGCAAAGCTTCAGCTATGTTTGCATATGCGGCACAGGTATTGCCAAATTTAAAAAAAAAACTATTTTATACTCTGAGAGTTGCAATTGACCATATAAAACATTTTATTATGCACTTTGTATTATAAATACCCGAGAAAACATGGTAAAAATGAAAAATCCCGCTTCAAACACAAAAAAATGCGCTTCCTAACCACTTCGAGAATGTCGGAATATGTGATTTTATTTGTGTTTTTTCTCTATTTGCAGAGCTACAGTGCAAATAGCCGTTTTTGCACTTTTTCGACTTATCTGCACTCAAAGTGTAAAAATAAAAAATCTGTGTCGAAACGTTGTGTAGGGCCCAAGGGTCAACATTAAAGTGAAGCTCCGCATAACAACCCTTCTACAACAACTAAATTTTGGTCCTATTGTCCCGATTTTTGACTGTACTAATTCACGCTATATGTTTTTAAAATCTCTCCGTTATACTTCCAGTACCCTCTACAATAAATAAATCTGACCTTTAATCCCCCGGCTAAGCCCATCTTTCCCTTACAATTTGTAGTCTTGAAACTTTAAACCGTCCCTGGAAATGGCTTGAAAATAGGAATTAAGTGAAATTCAAGAAATTGGGAGCAAAGAAAATATAGCAAAGAAGTCCTCAATGTTCTCGGGAGACGTAAAAATGATAAATAGAGACTGGATTTTTAAAAACCCGCTGGCAACACCTGTTGCATCAGACTTTTTTATGCCCTCCGGCATGACAAATGATATATTATTTTAGAGAGTAAAGAAAAAGTCATGTCGTCATAAAAAAAATTAAGGGAAAAATGCTCAAGAAACACTTGTTTACTGGAAAAAAGTGGCAAACAGTAAAGCCCAATAAAAATTATGATCAACTTTAATTTATGGTTCAATTAGGGCACAAAAAAAGAACAAAAATTGGAGTAATGGCGGGCCAAGGAACTCCCCCAGTTATCGAATTACACTCTCAAAACAACGTGCGTATTTTATGCAAAGAGTAAACACCCACGATAAAAAAGGGGAAAATATTTATCGAAATGCACAGAATTGCAAATATCAGCTTTTAATTGGGACCCCTAGGGACAAGTATTGTTGTTGATTGAATTTTTTTTCATTGGATATGTTGTGCTCATCTCATGGCTTCGTATTTTTACAGGAATTTATGTTTGTAAAACGGAAACTTTATTAATAAAATAGAGGTTTTTATAACAACTGCGTAAGTGCCAAACTTTAAAAATTAAAGTACATATTATTGAGAAGATCGTATATCGTTTCAATTTCAGTTTATTTACTGGAACTCGAATTCATCATGGATAACGAGATAAGACCCATCGGGCTGCCTCTCAAATAGCTGCATAAATTTGAACCATGGACCTCCAGCGATGCTAAATTTGCCCTTTCTCATCAGATATTCTCCATCGTTCACATCAAACGCAAACTCTTTATCGGTCTTGACTTGAGTCAAATCGAGGCCTCCAAAAGCTTCAAAGGCTTTGGCGATCTCTGGAAATGACATAGCACAATATTGGCTTGGCTATGATTACCTTTTCTCCCTTTAGCGACACTGACCCCAAGATGAATCAGCACGGCGTTCTCGGAATATGCCGTGGCGATTCTGTCGTATTCTCGCTTTTCGGTGGCGTCTTCCATCAGTTTTTCAACTGGAGCCACACGCTTCTCAATTTCTGAAATTTGAGGTCAGATTGTGGACAACATATCGCAAATTAAAATACGGGATTTTGATGGTATATAAGCAATTTTCACCTAAATCTGGGATCCTTTTGGCGATTTTTGCAATCAAAAAGATGGTAATCTGCATACTTTGCTGTCAGTCCTCATTTTCCATGCAAAATTCGAGATTAAATTTGAATATCACAGCTACGGCGCCACCCACGGAATCAATGTACTTCCACAAAACAAGTCTGACATATAGCTGATCAAAGAGCAATAAATCGCAACCTTTGTAACAATAGACTCACCTTCTCTTGACAGGACCATATCCGCAAAGTTCGCTCCCGGTATAATGGATAAATAGCCGATTTGAGTTGGCTTTTATAGCCCATTTATAATTGCAGCAGTCAAAAAAGAGCTTTGTAATGATATTAAAATCCAACTTAACTTTCTCTTTTGTGATTCCAAACTACAAAAGTCTAAGAGGCGATGAAGAATGATATCAGCAAAAATAGAATTATCAAAAATACAACCTATGACCTTGATAAAATAAACTTGAGATCAGGGATAAGATAACACAAGTTTTCACTCAAAGAGATCGGATTTCTGCTCATCAAATTGTTAAAAATTTTTCGTTACTTGTCAAAGTCTTTTCAAATTCAACATCTAGCTTTATTACAAAGGAATATTTTACATCTCTCGTGATAATTACAATGATTGTCTATTGTTTTAATTCGAATTCATCATGGACGATCAAATAAGAGCCATCGGCCTGCCGATGGAAAAGCTGCATGTATCTCATCCATGGTCCATCAGCGAAACGATAACGTCCCTTTCTCATCAAATATTCACCATCGTTTATATCAAACGCATGGGTCTTCTCGTTTGTCATGGTCGTGGCGTCCAGGCCATTGAATTTGGAGAAGGCCTGAGCAATCGCTGAAATCGAGATTTTATGCTTACAATTGAAGCTTCTAGTTATTGTCTCTCTAATAAAATAAGTACCTTTTCTGCCTCTAACGACACTATTCCCAAGATGAACGAAGGCCGCATCTTCTGAATATCCAGTCGAAACTTTTTCGTAGTCTCCGTCATCGAAGGCCTTGTCCAACATGCTCTCTAGCGGAGCAAGGAGCTTTTCGACTTCTGCAAAAAAAATGAGTTGTTTGTTGACATTGAAGATCAAGTTGTTTTTGGAAACTGGATGACAAATAGAAGTGGACCGTTTTTCAAGAGATTTCTTTAATTTTTTTTTTCAAAAACCGTTTGCATGGATAACAAATTGATTTTTTCCCATACTATTAACAAGGCTTGCAAAAATAACGAGCAATTGGAAAATTACACTAGTTATACTTGTGTATACCCTCAGAAGTTCCGATCTAAACTTGTCCAAAATTCATGAAGATATTCCCTTCACGCTTTGAACCCTTTTCCTATGCAAATTCCATATCGACAAAACTTGATGATTTTGTTTTGCAAACTAGCAACAAATTCAAAAACGGCTTACCTTCACGCGACAGGACCATGTTTACTTCGAGCAATCCCCCTTCCAACAATGCCGCTAAACCCGATCATTTTCAGCCTTTTATACGCGAGTCCATAAGTCAACAAAAAGAAGAGTTGTGACTTTAATATCACTTGACTCGAGCGCTTATTCTCTTGTGCCTTCAAACTACGGAAAACGAAGTTCCGATCGAAAAACGTTCAGTTTCAAACAAGGAAGATATTAGAATGATGTTTAAAATTGATGATAGAAAAAGGCAGACATGGTGTTCGTCACTTCAAACTATGGGCTTTGAAAGGCCGCAATAATTGGCTTTTGTGACAAAAATAGCAGACTGTTTACAATGAAATGACTTTGAACAGACGGCTTATTTTTAAATACCATTTTTATTCAAAAATAAAAATGGTCATATTGAGATGAAAATGTCTTTTGTTTAGACAGCTCTTTCATTTTGTAACTTCAATTAAAATGTTTCATGAAATTCAAATTTAACTATGTATAGTATGTTTGCGAACCTCTATCAAGATTTATGAGTTACTCTTTCGTCCCTTTCCCAGCAGTAATATTTATGCTTGCGACCCTTATTTTTAGAGGAAATGACTAACAAAATGAGGCTTAAGGAGGCGAGTTTCTCTGATTTCTCACAATCAGATAAAAAACGATTACCAAGAGTCCGTGATTTTTGTAGACCCAATAATTGTCGAGGACTTCGACTGGCATCGGACAAATCTCCAAAACGATTGATTTATCGCCAGCTGGAGAATTCTAAATTTAAATAATTGACAGTCTTGTAGTCAACTCACGCGTAAGATTGTGCTTGCAATAACTCTGCAACACACGTAACAAAGAAACAATAGATAATGAGTTCTGAGAGATTTTCCCCTTTCAGATAAAAATATGATGACGCTAGGGCAACAAGTTGAATAGTGCAGAGAAGCGGCGAGGCGATGCTGATTACCAGCAACTTCCACTCAGCACTTCGTCGTTTTTTTCCGATCTCCCCGCCCATTCCATGAGCTTCTGCTTGGGCCTAAAATGAATAACGGTAAAATTGAACCATTTCAAATTTTAATGCAGTTTTAATAGTATCTACGGGTAATCATAGAGGAAATGACCCCTTCAACTTGCATTATTCAGCCTCCTTAGTTTTACAACCGTCGCAATAGCCAAGCCGAGGCATATAGCCACCAATATCCAAATCTGGACCATTACTGCAATTTGCGCAGCCATCGGGATATCAACTTGCGCAAAGGATGGGACCTTTAGAGAGAAGGAGAAAAACAAACCAGGAATGTAGAAATTAAAGGCACCAAAATAGAATGAGGTCAACGCTAAAGTAATATCACATAATCGGTCAAATATATAGCAAAAAATACACTCACCAACGGAATTGAAACACCAAAAAATGTTAATTCCAAACAGGATGATCATATACTTTCTTCGGAAAATTTTGTTGAATGTAAAAGTGTAAAATACACCAACAAATCTGGCCATTAAAATGTGAATCTGCATGTTCAGTGCAAAAAAACTAGTGAAGTGAGCAATAGAGCTGAAGACCACATTTGGATACCGGAACCAAGGCAGCACTTCAACAGTCATTTTGTCCATAAAAAACACCCAAGGCAACCACCAGAAAATTAGGACAGAAACAGCCGGGATATCCGCCAAAATCTTGATCATAATCAACATGGTGTGCTTGTTTCTGAAGGAGGAGGTTTTGTTAAAAAACCACAACGCAAACACATTCACAGCCAGTGTTTCGGCTCCAAATACAACTCCAATAATGCTCAGGGTGATCCGTAAAGAGTGCGTTGGATCCTCGACAAGTGTCCCATTTTCAGACATCGTGGAGGTGAAAAAAGAAATAAATTTTCGTCATTGCAAGAGAGCTTAGCATGGGTGCGGCAATAGTGACAATCGAGCATTAAGAGGTCGCGTAATATCAGTGAAAGTCATAAAATTTTCGGGAATTAAACTTGCTGAAGAAAAAGATAGGGCCAGTTGAAGAAACAAGGCCTTCTGCTTATGATTTATTAGTCAGGATTTTATTAGCTTAAGATAAAGAAACTACAAATCGAACTTGTCATATACAATCAAGTAGTTGCCATCCTCAGACCTCTTGTAAAACTGAATATAAGTCATCCACTTCGGGTTGTCGTCGAATCGGAATTCGCCTTTTCTCACAATGTATTCGGCATCGTTGACCTCCCAAATGTCTCCCTTTTTCAGAACGAATTTGTCAAACAGTTTCATCAGTTGGACGAAGTTGTCGGCGATGGCTAAAAGAGTTTCTTCAAATACATACTTGCTGCAAGAAAAGAGTTTCATGAAGAAATTGCAAGCAATGCTGTGTACGAATATTCTACGCTATTCATTGCAGCCTCTTGTTTGCGGTAAACACTTTTTCTCATGCCCAAAAAATGTTGACTATTTTTGCAAAGCCTTTACAGCACTTTCAAATCTTCAAAAAATATGAAAGTGGCTACAAGAACTTTTTGAAAAAAAAACATTTATCCTGCCCCAGGCATTTTCTTTATAAACTCACCTTTCCTTCCATACGTCGCATTACTACCCGAGTGTATCAACACGGCGTCTTCGTGGTAGAGTTTGGAGATCCCTTCATGATCCTTCAATTCCACCGCTACGTCCGCCGCATCTTCCGAAACCTTGAGAAGATTTTCTAGTTCTAAAATCACGGAACCATTGACAAATAACCTTTCACTGCTCTAATCCGAAAGCAGAATCCTTACCCTCCTTGGAGTAGCCCATGGTAGCGCTCAGCCTTCTCGGTAACAATTTCTACAACTCAAACCAACTCGACTTTTATATTTCTTTGACTCTAAACGCCTCCGAATTTAAAATGTTAAACTATTGTTAAACTGATCGATTAAGATCTTAATTTTGATCTCAGCCGTGAAACACAAAGTTTATTGTCGATGTTCAAACAAAAATTTAGTTAAATTCAAATTCATCGTGCAGAACGAGATACTTTCCATCTGGTTGCCGTTCAAAAAGTTGCATGTATTTGAACCAGGGCTGATCTTTGCCCATTTGATACCGTCCCTTCCTCAGCAAAAATTCCCCGTCGTTGACGTCGTAAGCCGCCGTTTTCTCCGTTATTATTTTGCCAAAATCAGGTGTTAAGAATTCTTTGTAACGGGCTTCAATCGCTGAAATTTTTAAGATCAGTTTCAGGTTATCCTGCAGAGATTACCTGCTCTCGTTGTAACCGCATTCTTCCCCAGATGAACTAAAACAGCGTTGTCTGTATAGCACGAGGCAGCTTGAGCCGCATCTTGTTTCTCGAGCCCTTCATCAAGCCGGCTTTCAATTGGCTCCAAAAGCTTTTCAACCTCTGAAATTTGGGGCCAATTCCATTAGAATGTTCCACCTTGTATACCAATTTTAAGAAAACTAAAAAAATCAACGAACCTTCTCGACTCAAACCCATCTCTCTCTTCTCAATTCTAGGCAGTAATGGTTGTAATCGTGTTTGGTCGTGATATTTATAGAGAGAAGTCACAATAAATCGGAGCCGATCACTTATCGTAAAATCAACAAGAAACTGTTGTTTAGATCAAAAAAAATGGCTTATCGCTCTAAACTAGAACAGTCGGAAATTTAACAAGACCTTAGGAAGAGTTTGTAAAGGGATAGGAAAGGATTTTTCGAAACAGAAAGTAATAGATGACGAACACACAACGTCAAGATAATACTGCTCTTCATGGTATACCAACAGGTAACGTCTAAAGCTTGCTTTAACCGCAAGTTCCTTAAGATAACGTTAGCTTGCAGACAAGGACTCTCCGCTCACATCGGCTATCTCCGTAATGAGAGTTTAGCAAAAAAAGATGACGCTTTGTACGGCTGAGGCGAACAAGAAAGGATAGTAGCAAATGAATGGGTGCTATATATGTACATACCGCAACTAGACTTCACCATGGATAAATTCATTATGATTACTGCTGTTCTTACAACATTTGTTAGTATCAATCATAGTTTTTTTGTTGACCTCGGTAGCATCTCCGATTATCAGCCTCCCTAATTAAATTAATCAATCCATACCAAAACTGCTGATAAAGATAAAAAGCAACGTTTTTACGTGCTGCTGGTATTAGAGCTATCTTTTTTGAACCGTTTCTGACTTTTGTCGGAGAAATTAACTGACATTTTTGTTGGTTTTTCAGTTTCCGGCCGTCTCTTTTTAAGAGCATTGCATCTATCAGATAAAAGAAAATGGGGTTATGATCATATTTACAAAGTTTCATGGTGATATATGTACGTTAAAAGAATTTGTTGTTATTTACTAACATGAGAGTACAACGGTCGATATAACGTGCTTGGTGGCCATTTCCAAATAATTTTTGCTTTAATCATAGTGAACGTTAAACTTGTCAACGAAGTTTAAAGGTCACTCTTTCCCCCTTGTCTGTAAAGTTTCAAATCCCCTGAGGCAAAGTGCAGAGAGTTTTTTGACGGATTTTATTTTAGGCCGGGTTTGCTTCTGACGTAATTTCGAACGGCGTTTGAAGTTTGCAAAAGGGTCTTAACGATCGCTACGTTTATGCGTTGAAAGTGCAAAGCTCAGGAATTGTAAATCATATCGATTTTTTGGCAATTTTCTGCCAAAAACCTCTTTGACTCCAGAAAATTTGCGGGTTGAATATCTCAGCTCTGCCTTGTTGAAGTCCCCAATCTTAACTTGGCCCAATCTTTATGAAACCATTCCTAGTTTGACACTCTCCAGAACAAGATTATATCCAATTCTATTACAATTTTTCCGTTCCTCTTATCTTGTTTGTGCATGGTGTGATTTGCTTGTTTGTTGTTGAAAACATGATATAACAGAATAGATTATCTCTCTTCGCTCAGATTCCTCGGGAATTTTTTTTCAATAGTCCAAAATTGGGTGGCCTTCCGGACATTCTTTTCCCTTTTTGGGTATATCGCGGAAATTATATTGGGTTCACAATGGAGTTACTCAAATCGGAATCGGATTTGTAAATAAACATTGGATTTTTTGCTTAGTAAGAGTGAGCAAAAATCAAAATTTTTGGTAATTTGTCGACTAAACTTACTTTTGAGTCGAGATTTTTGATGACTTTGAAAGGGGAATGTTCTATAGGTAATATTTCTTCATTTTAGGAGATCTTGACCTGAATATTTATAAATCAAGTTATGATTTTTTTATTGAGAGATGTAGTCTTAATCTATGCCAATTTTATCACAATTTAGCGCTTATCATTTCACCCTAAAATCACCAGATCTCTACTGCATGTTTTGTATTTTTCACCATTTCTTTTCAATACCACCCCCAAACAGACGTCCCGTTACCTTCAAATAGCCTCCCTCTATTCCTGAATTCTCTTTGGTTTCCCTCCAAATTGCATGAATAGTAATCCCAGATGTGAAGGTCGTCTTCCAGTAGTCCTCTCCAATCAAAAGCACCTATAATTAATGGCCGTACCGAGTTGAATGGAGGACGGGGGTTTTAATGGTCAATCAGATCTTTTTTTCTCGGGCCAACTAATTTTTCAAAAAGTTTCGAACAATTGTTATAGCCGATGGTCTCGGTTTTCCTGGGCCCGTTTTTTTTCGATTCGACTTCTCGACTTTTTGATTCAATTCAATCCCGACAAACAAAAAGGCGGGAACTTTGGGGTGGGTTGCCAACGCCTTCGGCCGGATTTCCCTGGGCTGTAAATTTGTCAATCTTCATCGGATTCTGAGACTTCAACGTGAAGTCAATGTCTGCCAAAAATTTTGACTCGAAATGCTACTTTTGACATTGAAAACTTGGGAAAATGTGGAGGCATTAATAGTATTATTACGGTTTTTGGAGGTGCCCAAACCCTATACTGTTTTGTTTTTTATTGTTGAATGTCCTTCTCTCGCTACCGTGAAAATTTTTACCAATTTTTATTTGAATTTCTCCGTTTCGAGGGCTGTTTCTACTGATTTATCCAGACTTTGACAAATTAAACTTTTACATTTTTGACAAACAAGATTCCGATCCTCTCCAAAAACGCTTATCCTTACGTATTTCAGATGCGAGATGTAGCCGCCATTCCCTTTGTATTATCTTTTCTCCTCCCCCTTATCCATTCGAAACGCCATCCTTTTCTGATCCGCCCCCATTACGGAGACAGTCGATGTGAGCGAGAGTCCACTCCCGGTGACTGTAATGTGCAACATTGCATTGAGTCGGGGCTGGGAGAGGCCTGCGAGTCGAGATACGTCCGATTTCTCAAAGCTGATGGCAGGGATTACTCGAGGAAAACTTGCAGATGTCTGACTGTAAGTCAATACCATTTTAAACAATTTTCTTCAAAAACCAACTTTCTTATCAACACAAAAATACTTTCAGGAGCCTCTCTGCGCCATTATGCCTTCAAATAAACAAGGTTGTGTATCGTATTCATCATTGGGAAGTCAAGCACAGAGGTTGGTTCGGAAGTGGACGATGAGCGAGAGTGACCGGGAATCGATAGCGCTGCAGAGGGACCTGTTCCATAACGAATATCAAGTCAAAAAACCGCTGAGGTTACGTTTCAAACATTCGAATTTGACCAGGGTAAGGATGACATAAACTTACAGGTTCAACATACTAAAATAATACCAAAAAGTTACCTTTATCACATTTAATTGTCTGTTTATTAATCTAAAATAATCGTTACTTAATACTACGCAATTTCCACTCATAATATTTATATTACAGTATACCGATTCCCGTCGACACGAGGAACTTTTGAAGGGAAAGACCCGTTTTTGTTGCCGTCTGCATCGAATCCACAAACGAGCTCAACATTTGAGGCTAAAAGAAGAGCCATCCAATTCGAATACTGCCGCGATTTCCGTTATTCCCATGATCTCAATCCTCGGTTTATATTACACATAAATTTATTCATTGAGTTCTTGTTGTAATCTGTACATGGCTTTTTCCCGGGCTTCGTCGTCGTTCGCCCTGCGGGCCAATTTGTCTTCGAATCCGTTGGAGCGATTCACACCATCCCATCTGTAGCCAGGGGGGATCTGGAAGCGATTTGGGGGCCAATGACCTTTGTAGGTGGGGTATACTGAAAAGAATATGACATTAGACCATGTTGAATATGAAAAATATTAGGAAGCATCTCAAAAACTCCAGAAAACACTCTCTAAATTCTGCTTACCTAATTCTGATTTCATTTTGATCTTCATTCTCCGTTTCTTCATTACATCAGCCAACGGATCATCTTCATCCAAGATCTGATCCTTCATATAATCATTCATGGCTTCATCATCCCTGTAGCGCGTGAATCCTTCTTGCAATACCTCGGCCATTTCTTTTTTCTTCTCTTCTCGCTAAAAAAACAAAATTATAAACAAATTTCAAACATTTTTAAATTGCACTAGCTATCAGCATTCCTACCTTTTGCTGTTGCACCACACCTTTGCTGACTTCTTTGTATTTCTTGTTGATTTCCTCTTGGACCTTGGCTTCCCTTTCCAACCGTTCCTTGTCTTCTTTTGTTTCTTTTTTCCTTCGGCCATAATTTGATTCTCGATGGACAGCTTCAGCGTACTTCCCGGATTGCTCAGCATCATCGAATATCTAAAACAAACCTGTAGCTAGAACAAATGAGCCATTTAATCACAAAATTTGTCGTATTTTACTTACCGAATGTTCCTTGGCACTGTCTTCTTCATGTTTCTTCATCTCATGACGACTCAAAAGGCCGGCCTTCTTCTTTTCTTTGTTCTCTCCGCCATTTTCCCTTGATTTCTTGACGGTTGGAGAGTCTAAAGTTGGATAACAAACATTAAACTGCAAAAAACTTCGAAGAGGTACCTAAATAATAAAAAAAAAGAAACCAAAAATACTAACCTGGTTCTTCCTTAACCCTTTTTCTTGGAACATCTTCATCCGAATCAGCTCTTTTCCTCCTTCTAACTTCTTGATCACTATCTGAATCATTTCTCCTTCTCCTTTTCACGTCTCTATCACCTTCTGAATCCTTCCTTCTTATCCTTTTCACCTCTTCATCTGAGTCTGGCTCTTCTTTTACTCTGACATGTCTTCTAGGTGGACTAGCGTCCGAATTCTTCCGTTTCCGCGGAGGACTGGCATCTGAATCCTTTCTTCTTCTAACGACTTCTTCATCTGAATCGTGCCGTTTCCTCCGTCTCGGCACATCTTCATCCGAATCTGCTCGTTTTCGTCGTTTTGGAGACTCAGAATCCTTTCGTATCCTACTATTGCCATCTTTCCGCCTTCTGGGAGGTGAGGCATCCGAGTCATGCCGTTTCCGACGCCTCGGTACATCTTCATCAGAGTCATGCCGTTTTCTCCTCGGAGGTGATCCAGAGTCGTGTCTTCGACGTCGTGGAGGAGAAGCATCCGAATCTCTTCGTCGTCGGGGAGGTGAAGCGTCGGAGTCGTGGCGTTTCCGACTTCTAGGTACCTCTTCGTCATCTGAATCATTCCTTTTTCTTCGATCCGACTCCTTTCCTCGTTTATCATTCCCATCTTCACGCTGATCAGATTCTGGATGCTCTGCTTTGACTAAAATTAGATTTTGTTAGATGCTTCACCCAATACGCTTAATAATCTAAACATCAAACCAAAAAGAAGAGAAAAACTTACTTTCGACGGTTTCGAACGTCTCCTTGAATCCGTTCTTATTCTGATATTCCCGTAAGACAATCTCATCCAAATCTTCCTCTTCCTCATCAGATTCAATGTCCATTCGAGGACCTCGAGTCGGTTCCACGGTCATAAACGCGTCTTCATCGACTATTCGCATACTAAAAAATGTTATACTTCAACTACAACAATATAAGTAAATTGAACAACTCCGTCACATCTAAATGATCAAATAAATCTTGCACAAAAAAGGCAAAGATAATCGAAGACTTACCCATTAGATTTTACTTGTTTCTTTTCTTTCTTGGACTTCTTTTTCTTCTTCCCATCTGACGGTCCATCCATATACTTTTTGAGATAATCCTTCTGACTGATACTCATTTTGGATAAAATAACAACAACTTTCAACAAAAACGAAGCGAATTCACCATCAACTGTGCAAGACGCAAAAAAAAATTAGAAAAATTTCCAAATAATAAATTTGCAAGCTGCGCCCTTGCAGTCTGCAGCTTGCAAATGACATTTTATACGATGGATATGTATACTAGCAAATAGTGCTGCGGAATGCAGGAAAAAATTATCTTGGGAAGAATAAAGACCTTTGTCCAATACTTGCATTTTTTTCACGTTCTATTTATCGAAATTTACATTTATGTGATCAAATTACAACTTCGCCTTGGAGATATCAATAAATCTGTCTGCGTGGAAAGCGGAAATGTCATGCTTTGTTTTCTTCTTTTCGATGAGATCACATACGATCTCCCCAACCACTGGGCCAAACTTAAATCCGGTCCCGGAAAATCCTCCAGCCAAAATTACGTTTGAATGTTTCGGGTGACGGTCGATGATGAAGGAATGGTCATCAGTATTCTAAAACCATTCAAAATGAGTGCGGACGGCTTTACAAGGAGGAATATGTCATTTTCAGTTAGTACTTACTGCATATAGACAAGTAGTTTCGATCGTTGGCTCCGTTTTCAGATATTTGTAATGCTTTTTAATGTGCGTTGCAGCGACTTCTCGGCATTTATTGATCAACGCGGTTGGCTTTTCCTTTGTTATATCAAAAGGTTCTGCTAAATGCAATCCGAATTTGACCTTGTTTTTGTAATCCGCATTTGGGATCATAAAAAGTTCCTGTTTTGTCTCGAAATTGCTGATAATTATATTGGGCGCTTTGTTTTCAGGGTTGTAAAACCCCTCTCCCTCCTTCTCAACATCCCAAAAGAAGACTCCAACAGCGCCTGGAGTGACTTTTACACTTAGTCCGGGGACAAGTGCATCAAGCCAAGCGCCCGCGGCAAAAACAATATTTTTGGCAGAGAATCTTCCAGAAGTTGTTGTTACAGTAACCGAATTGATGGTGCTGCTCCAGTTGATGACTTTATGACCATATTTTATGATGACTCCATGAGAAGTCAGGTATTTCTGAGAGATTTAGATCCTTTTAATTAAAGGCAATTTCCTTACAGTCAACGCCTCATTCGACTTCCTCGCATGGATAGTTCCGGCCATATGATCCAGAACGCTCCACCAATCCATATTGTAATTAATATGAGGGTAGCGTGATTTAAGCGATACCGGATCTAAAAGCTCATGAGGAGCGTTAAATTGCCTGAGGACATTAGCTCTTTGAACTGAACTTTCTTTATCTCCCAACCATAACACTCCATGGTTTCTGAAAAATCAAAAAAATGTATATCATTAATTTGTAATCAAAAAGTTACAAGCTGAACAGAGTGATAAAAACTTGCTCGAAAAGCTTGGAGCCGACTTCATGTTCGAGTTGCCTCCAATACTTGTAACTTTCAATGGCCATAGGGAGGTAAACAGGGTCAGAATGGATAAGACGGATGATTCTCGAGTCTCCATGAGATCCACCGTGAAGATTGTTGGGGGATGGCGCCTAAATGGACGGGCATACAAAATTATAGAGTACTTTTAATCGTCGGAAATGGACTCAGATCGCAAGGGCTCAATGTTTAACAACAATTAAGTGTGAAAGCAAGGCATGAATTTTGTCCAAGATTTTGTAAGGCAAATTTTTTATTTCCGATTTGTTCAAAAAATCGCGTCCAGATTACTTACAAATAATGGGATAAAAATGTTTGGAGTTAAATCTATAAGCCGGTCAGAGTACGTATGCAGAATTAAAACAACCCGTGATTTGTGTGACGATCAATTTTCTTGGCAAATCACCAACTCTCACCTGCTCCAAAAGTACCACTTTGTAGCCTCGTTTGCATAACTGATAAGCCGTGGACAATCCAATTACTCCACCGCCGACCACAATCACATCTCCGTCAAACGCCATTTTCCCCCAAATGCACTCCAGTTATCAGTAATCTAATATTTTATTTTATTTGCGGACTGATAAGGTTCTCTCGGTATTCCTCCGATTGTCAGGTACTTTAATGAAAAGTCATCAATTTTAGTTTATTGCCAAATAAAAATGATGTTTAAAATGTATTTCATGGTGACCATATTTTTTTTATTCTTTTGTTTTGCCCCCAGATATGGCGGATACCGTAGTAACCGCCCTTTCCGCCGGTCTCACGGCTCCACAGGTCAGCCAATTCCCCAGAGTCCGTCGATAACTCCTCACCACGAACAAAGAGAACATGCTGTTGACAAACGAGAGCCACGAGAGGGGAATTAAGACGATTCCACCGACACTTTCCACACCCACTCTGGTCACTGTCGCCAAAGACATGACACAAATTGGGAGAAAGGCGAAGAAAAATGAGGAAACTCCCTGCAAATTGGGGAAAATTCAAAGTGGAAAGCCCAAGATTTAAATTTCGATGAAACTTTGAGAAAGATCAGCACTTTGTTTTGAGTGCTGACTGTTGTAAAGGAATGACAAAGGCGGGGAATATGAGAAATTCAATCCTCCAGGATTGCCTGAGCTTCTTTCCCATCGCCTCTTACCTGTATAATAATAACCCTTGTGAACTGGGACTGTAATTTCTTAGTCTTCCCACTGGCCTCCTTGTTCCCCCCTCCCATAAACTTCAATATTTTGTAGACATAATACATGGCGCCCAGGAAGTACACCACGTTCGTCACACCGATGCAAATAAAGTACAGCATGGAGAAAAAGTCTTGCTGGAAAGAGACGGACTTATTGTCAAAGATCAAATTTACCTACCGTATCCAGCGCATACATATAAGTGTCCATACCTTCGGTGGCCCAATATGGGTCCAATTGGTTTATGTAGTATTCTTGGCCTCGAGGGACAGAATAAGTGAGGCCGGCTAGCCCAATAAAAGCGCAAAACACGGCCATGCCTAGTGTGAAGAAGAGATTACGCAGCAAAGTGTAGCCGGTGACTTTTGACGGACTGAAATATATTGTGTTTACTGGCTAAATGGGAGCTTTTAAGTACGGTAGTAACCTTCTATATAGCTAAGACACAGATCAAATACTTACTTGGTCAGCAAAGCATAGCGATATTGATATTGCGACGGTAGTATCAGCAATGCCAAAAGGGATGAAAAATTATGCGGGATAAAGAAGATGGGGTACCAGGAGCTCGGGAAATCCTTTTCCACACCTTTCGGGACCATTATCATCGCTCCATTTTTGATTAGTAGTTGCTGGAATTAAAATATTAGGGTGACCCATAAGTCTTGCAAATTTTTTGGGTCGTCGACTGTGCGAATTCCTGTGACCTTTGTAATGCATTACGGGGGGTGTTTGATACACTGTTTTTTATATACTCAGAGACATAGGAAATCTATGCTTGTTTGTGTACTTGATACGCATAAATGTATGTTATTTTTCGCGATCTGAGCAACAACATTCAAAAAATGTTAGGCTAAAAAGCATGTACATTTCTGATGCAGGATAGGGTCATAAGCACTAATTCAGTGCAACGCACGGTTGATTTAGGAATATTTATTCAATAAATCTATTAAAAAGTGCAATTGCAAAGGCACCGCAGCACGTACCAAAGTACGGAATTGCTTTCATGGAAGTGGATGATAACAACAATCCCGACTATTTACACGTCTTTAATAGTTTAATTTTTTATGATGTTTACAAGCGTAGGCCATGACGATGTAAACAGTAACAAGAATTAAGGAGTTCTGTCACTTAGGCCGTCGCTATGAGACTTTAATTCAAACCCGGAAATGAGCAAAACTTATGGGACACCTATGCTTGATCTTTCATTGCATTTTTCTTGCGATAAAATGCATATACCGGTCAAAAATTGTATGTAGTAAAGCATAAAGGCTTACATGTTGCGTTAAGAACTCGATGGTGCAAAAGAAAATGTCATAAACGGCGGTGGCGGCCAGCATCCGAGAGTACGCGATAGTCGCCTTACTGGTGTGCGTGAAGATGATAGCCAGCAACAAACTGCTTGCAATCACCCCGCAAACACATCCCATCGTATCACTGAGCCAGTAAAAGAACCTGGCGTTCACCATTTCGAATATTAAAATTAATTTCTGCCAGTCACCGTTGGCAAACAACAATTAATAGTAACGGTATGAATTGGAGCGCAATTCTCACTTTCCTAAAGAAACTTTTGACTGTCCGCAAAAATAAAAACTACTCATGTCCGCAAATGTAAAAGAAGTTACAGAAAAATGGCCAAGAAGAAATCCAATTGGTATTTCAAGTAACAAGCTCTCCTGTAATATACAAGAAAAACGTATACACGATGTATGTACATGTCTTTGCTTTCATAGTCACCGATATCATGTACAATATCAGCAGATTTGTATCCGGAGTGTCTGCCTGTCGCGATACTTATTCAGAAGTAAGATCAAAATACAACAAGATTTTTAAAAGTAATATCCAAAACTTTAACTCCAAACTTGCTGCTGAACATTGAGTTGCACACAAAAAGTATAACTCAATGTCTCTAATTTGCGGACAGTGACAAGTCTTTTTGCGGAAAACAAAAAACAGTTCCATTGGACGAAAAGGAATCAAGGAACCGTTTAGCGTCGGTAATTATGTGAACTCTGAATATTGGGTAAGGACACGGCCTATATGTACCTTGAATTTCCCAGTAGCCTGTGACGTAAAGTCGTTATTACAGCGTCTGAAGCTCGCGGGAAGCGTGGATTACAACAATCAGACTGCTACAGTAGCCATTAGCCATGTGCTAGACTCACTTTCACATGGTCGAGGTAAGGCATTTTCGGTAAACAAATTATAGATCTAAAATGCTATATTTTGCAAAGATTTTTGTAAACAAAAACCGTAGGGTCACTGGGAGTCGTAAATATGTAATTTCGCCATAAATAGGCGTAATCCCTAAGGAATAATCTTATTTATTTCTATCTACCAACCGGTTCAATTTACAAGGATAAAAAATTTTAAATAGTATTCATATCTTAGGTAAAGGGATTTCCAGGATTCTGGGGCTGGGAAGGTGGGGGTTGCTGAGGATAGGGCTGGTATTGATTGTACTGGGGCTGAGGGTGATTCGGATACTGGGTGGGATAAGGGGCAGCGTACTGTTGGTAAGCTGAAATCATAATTATCTTCTAACTGACATCCTTGATCAAAAACTGATCAAAACTTTCCCTACCATTGTTTTCCGATTGATAGGCTCCGTAGAATGGCAGATTGGGCATTGGCTGGAAATGTTGTTGATTTTGGAAGGGTTGTTGAGGATGGCCATAGCCTGGATACCCGGCATATTGTGGCTGCTGAGGCCACTGGTTATATCCCACGTTCGGCTGATACGGCTGTTGTTGGTGAGCCGGTGGCAGCGGTGCGGTGGACTGTCGAGGTGGGATCTGTGGGGCATTTTGCGGAGGATTGAGGTTGAGTTGATCCAATTCCGGCATTCTTGGAACTAAAATTTCTCCAAATTAAACTCAAATCCAATCAAAAGTGGGCGGAGACCAAAACATTATTTCTTTTCTCTATGTTACAGCCAAATCTCTATTGCAGTACGATCAAACATTCCGAAATCTTTTAGAATTAAATTTATATTGAGTTAAAACCGGCGGAAATGCGTTGCGAATTATTACAAACACTGTACAGGGATAAGATCGGATATGAAGACAAAAAGTCAGGGGGAACGTCAAGACAATTCAGAAAAGTATTGGGTTAATCGATTTGTGGCTGAATCTCACAATCCAAAACATTCAATCTCATTCAAGCTAGGCAGTTCGAAGTTTTTGGATCAAAGAAAGGAAATTAAACATACTAGCTGAATGCGAAGGTGCCTGATTCGTAGGAATGGTGCTTGGTGGCGGTGGTCGTGGAGGAGGGGCACGAGTCGATTCCAAATTCAATCCCTTCTTCGCTTTGAACGCAGTGACCACACTTGGGATCACCTCAGCCGGGCGTTTGCCGGCTTCCATTTGTTGGACCATATCCTCTCTTTCAGTCTGTCGTGCAAAGCAGAAATCATCGATTTGTTGATTCAATCGGGTCAAAAGTGCTTGCAGATCCGTGTAGAACTAAAATCAAAACCTTATAGGACTGATATCATCTAAATTCTTCAAAAAATCACCAAACCTCTCACCTTCGCTCCTTCCTGAAGATTTCCCTCGCACTCCAAAAAGACGTCATAGGCTGCCGTCAATTGCTTCAAAGCCTTTGACCTCTCATCATCCTCATTTCCTCCATGGGTGAATTTCTGATGCCAGACCTTCATTTCTTCCAAGATGGCATTCCTCAACTCGATATTCTGGTTGCATTCCACCGTGAGTCGATCAAAAAGTTCCTTCAGCTTCTCATCCGTGAACGAGTTGATTTCTGAGTCCTCCAATTGCCCTTCTTGTTTCAAGATCTTCACGAAATGAGCAGTGGGATCAAATTTGACCTGAAAATAATTGTTTTATCATATCCAAACATCATTTGAACCCCTTAATTAATATCAAACACCCCTTCAACTTTTCTCACCTCATTCAATCTCTCTTCCAGTCGCTGGACCATGTTAATTTCTTTCTCCATTACTCCCCATAATTCCTTCAGTTTCTCCACAGCTTGGCTTTGATCATTTCCTGACTGTTGAATCGGGGGTACTCTTTCCAGTAATCCATCCCTTGGTCCAGTCATGACAGTCACATCCCTCTCACATAATCGAATTTTCGATCTAACCTTCTCATCTGCTGACTGGGCCGTCTTATTGATGCCCTGATACTTCCCAATTTCCTGTCTGAATTTGATCGTCAGCTGATTTGATGGTTTGCAGGTCCATCTGGCCGAATAATGATCTCTCAACGCTTCATCTGTCAGCTCTTCTTGATCCAGCTTCTCCTTGATCTTATTAATCAACTGTGCCGTCTCTTCCGATGCCTTGAGAAGATGTTTTTCCTTCGCTTCGATCGCGTGATATCCCCCTTTAGATCGGATGGCTTCAGACTTCTTGACAATTGAAGCCGGAATCCTCTCCTGTTTTGTGGAGTCTTCTACCAAAGCCGGCATGTTTATTGAAGCTAATCCACTAAAATATTCGACATAAACCATCCGTAAACAAGATCTAAACAACGAATAAACTTGTTAAACTTACGCTTTCACATTGTTATCACTGCTCCTCAAATTGCTAACAGCTTGATGGACTTTTTCTTTGATCTTCCCTTGGAAAACATTCACTGCTTTGGACACAGCGGCCGACACCAGATCGGTAAATGGATCTTTGAACTGTTTCGTGAAAGGGAATTTCAATTCCCCGGGTTGGAGAATCAATTTCCGGGGGATTGCCGGGAGCTCAGTTCGGCTTGGAACTCTAGCATGATACTAAAAAAAATAAATTTCACTCATCTCCAATCAATCTTCCACGAGACTTACAATAAAGTTATTATCTTTATCCAATTTTTCCTTTTCATTTTTCGCATCCGCCAGTTCCTTTTCAAAGTTCTTTGGGAGAAGTTCGACGGCCTTTTCCAGCATCTCCACAATCTCTCTCGCTCGTCCCAACCGCTCTTCCAACGACGCCAATTTCTGTGGTTCAATCTCGTCATATTGATGTTTGGCGGCGAAGGCATGATACGCGTATTCCTTCGCCTGGATCACAGTATACCAATGCTGAAAAAGGTCAAATTAATCTGGCCAAACCAATCACCAACCAAAACTTCCAAACTAATTAAATAAACTCACCTTATCCACAATTCCCCTGGCCTGTTCGTAATTAAACAGCTTGTACAATTGGCCATACGAATCAGAGAGTTGCATAGCCACTGTTTTCAGGATCGCTGGGCTGTTCTTGTCTGCAAAATAAACCATAAGCTCTCTAAATGCCAAACGAGAAATCAAAATTAAATCCAATTACCCTTGACGGCCTTGATGTACATAATTTCATTGGCTTGAGTGATCATCAATTGACCTAGTGCATTCAATAATTGTGGTTGCATGTCTTTAGGGAGCTCATCATGTACCAAATGCATGGCTTCATTCTTCAGGTAATCAAAAATGTTGGCCGAAGATTTGAAGAAACCAACGGCTTGCCGAAGTTCCTCATCATCTTGAAGAGGTCTTGTGCAGACAAATTGGGACTGGTAGGCGGCAATGTTGAACAGAACACATGCCTTTTCGTACGATCCGTAGTTGTGTGCTAAAATACGAAAAGAATTATATTTGAAGATGTGAAACAATATGCGGAAGAAATCATAACTTACTCAAATCCCGTTTTCCTCCAAACAATCCACCTTTATCGAACGCACTCTTCCATCGGAAAGGAACTGGACATTCCCCATCTCTGATCGGGATCTTCTCTTCGAGAGCGACGAAAGAGTCGTAGTACCTATAAGCAAATGGAATGAAACACAGGTAGACCGAATGGACTTGTAGACTAGAAACCTTCTAATAACCACCCGTTTCAACCGCGGGTATTTCGGATCCTTTCCCTCATTAATCCCTTCTCTATACCTAAAAACAAAAACAAATAAAATCAAAAGACTTACAAATGGATGGCTTCAACACTACTCAACGTTTTCCCGATGTCGTCGTTGAAGAAGGCATTACGTCTTCTTTGATTTAGGACACCAAGGCCTTCCTTTACTGATTGCTTCACTTCTTCCGTCAAGGACATGCATGTCTCCATGTAGGAAGTGACCCTGCTCGCGATATCCACCTCCGACGCCGGTTTGCCCGGTGCGGCCAAAAAGTTTCTGCGGTTTGCCATCCTGAAACACGTTATATTACACATTACACTTCATATTCAATAAACAAAACCGGTAAAACGAGTGGAAAAGAATTTTAAAAAGCCGATAGTTCGAAAAAACTGAAACATCATGAAACCTGAGGTAAAGCTAATAATAAGAGACTTTATAGGTACCTTAATCGAACAAGGTGCAGTTCATAGAAATGAAAAAATATTTTTATATCGCTTTCTTCTAATCAAAACATAGTTAACAAAACATCATGTAGACCACATTAAGGGTTATGAAATTTAGAAAGATTATCAAAAACATCATCCTTATCAGCAAGTTTCAGATGTCATAAAAACAAAGAAAAGCGGCGATTTTCTGTAATTCACACGCGACTTGTATCCACAACTAATTGTACTCTTTAGTAGAGACTATCTGTGACAGCTAACAGAAAAGAATCACAAAAAAATTCTTGAAAGAAACCTTAGTGTACACAACTTGTCTACCCTCCTAACAAAATAAAATTTTCGCATCAAAAAACCTTCCCCTTACCCACTTTCGAACCAAAAACAAAAAGTGAACACCCCCGGCAAGCGAGTCCAAACAGTTTTTTCTCAAAGATTTCTCCAAACAATAAATGTTTTTAGGGCCCTTGGGGAGTGACTCATCCGGGGAAAAACGTTCAAAAATAACCGAATTCTTTGCGAAATTAGCAATGAAATCATTCGAGGTCAATGCCCGACCAAGTGGGTGATGTGAGATTAGTCATCTGCAGACAGAACGGTCTATAATCAATGGGATGGGTAAAGGGCTAGTATAACATACCCAAGTGCAAAATACGGAAAACCATCAATTTCTTCATTATCATACTGTTGTTATCACAGATTCCCCTTTGCTTACAAAAACGGCGATTCTAATGTTCACCGAAAAGAGATGGCAAGTCCCCTCCGACACTCCTAAGTCGACCTTGAAAGCCTCAACCAAATCAGAAAAAAATCGTCCAACCTTGGCAATTGAGCAGATTTCCCCGTGTTTCTCTTCAGCCAGGACATGATTCGACCAACCTTCTTGCAAAATGAGGTAAAAATAAGGCACGCGTGTATTCACAAAAGGATTTAAATTGACATATTCAGTCCAGTTTGAAATACACCTTGGAAATTATTATGAAAAAGAAGAAACAATAAAGATAAACGGTTTGCTAGGTTATAAATACCACAAAAACCTTTATAAAAAACATCTTCGCATCAGTTTCTTGTTTTTGTTTTGCAACAAAAATAAATAATAATAAATGTGACATTTCGTCGAACGAAGTGTCAAAAAATAAAAAAAATAAAAATTCTTAGCCAAAAGGCGAGATCGATCTCAAGTGAAATGGATGGATTCAGCTGAGGATGGACAAGTATGAGCTTGTCCCATTATTTGGAAATGAGGAGAAGATACCAGACTGCATAACTCTGCTGAATGAGGTAAGATAATAAGAATGAATGTGACCATGCTTCAGGAATGGCCGAAGTCGGAGACGTTTCGACTCAACAGCCTCAATAAGTATTGTAAACCATCACCGCCGATGTCGGTGATTCTTCTGGATTCGGAGACAAGGGAATTGATTGGGCATTCAAGATTTTTGAACGTCTGCAACTATGGAGCTGGAAGAGCCGCCTATCTGGAGTCGTTGATAATACGAAAAGCAGATCGAGGCAAGGGAATAGGCAAAGTTTTGGTCCAGAAATGCGTTGAGAAGGCCAAAAATGAAGGATATTCTGTGGTAGGCCGAATTTTTTTGTTGGAGTTTAGATCTGTCAAAAATTCTGTTTCATCTGATATTCCCTCAATTCAAATATTCCCAAAGTTTTGCTAAAAGATGGCGTTTACAGGTCCTGTTGTGCACTGAAGATCAGATGGAGTTCTACGAGAAATGTGGATTCCAATGCTGCGAGTTCTTGCCTATATTAACCATGGGGGTTGAGGCTTGTGTGGCGAGTTCAGTTGTATTCTCTGAGATCAAGCCAATCGATCGGAAGGAATGCAAAACAACTCTTCCTGTATCCAATGGAGTTCTGCCTTCTTCTGCAGCTCTAACGGCTATCTCTAATGGCCCTTTACCCCCTCCTCCGCCAGCTCCGTCGATCAAATCACCTGTTCGAGTGAATAAACCCGAACAATTCATGTTTTTGTACTTGTAACCTAGTCTTATTGTAGGCTACATTTATCTTTCAGAGTCAATGCACTGCCAAAATATTGAAAACAGTTAATTTTTATAGTTTTATTATACTGTTGTTGTTGTTTTGCTAGACATTGAACTTGTTGAGGCGGTGGTATCCTTTTTTGGACAATTCTGGTGGAATGTACATAGACACCTACAACATTTCTAAAGGAAGTAGGACGAATTTGTTCCGTGTTTTTACACGTACTTTAGGTTACTGCTTCGTTTTTGTTTTATTGTGAGTGTAGGAAGTGTGAATACAAAAATTCTAAAGAAATTTTGAGAATTCGCAAGTTTTACATTACACACCTTCCTGTTGATTAGAAGAATGGTGTTTAATAAATGTGTTGCAACAGCTTTTGAGGTTTATTTTGGGTGATATTGTATGGGGGATTCTATCCGAGTATCGTAACACTTCATATTCCATGTTCATGTGCTTCAAATTCCCTTAAATTATTCAAGGTTGAATATTTTCCGATTTAATTTGATTACTTTCCTCTGGAATTTGATTATTAAATTGCATCGGCTAACAGTCATGTTTACTGAGCAATTGCATTGCTAATTCAAAAAAACTGAGTAGATTAGAGATTTCTTAACTTCTTCTTAGTTATTTACAGTGTCACTTCCCACCACTTCCTTGAGTATTAAAAGGCATTTAATACTCAAGTTAAAAGGCATTTATGCGTTGTGTAAACTTGTATGTGCGGGGGAGTTTAACCAACTTTTTAGTCCTCAAATGTGATATGGGTAATGTTGGCGTACAGTATAATACATCTAACTTAATTTTTTGATGCTGTGTTAGTTCTTCCGGTGTTCGTTTTTTTGTTCATTAAATTGTAGCTTTTGCATCTTACTTTTCTTAAAAAAATTACAATTATTAATTCAATTAGTACGAACATTGCGGCCTCCGCAAGTCCAAGTTGAGTCCAAAAGCTGCTTGTCAAATCGCGAAGGGTCAAAAAAAATTCGTTTCGGGTTGATTCGTTGTTTAAACCGAGATTTACAAGGTACAAAGAAGATCAGAGAGATTTTTCTACATTTTTTATCCGTTCTGCTATGGCCAAGATGTCAGAAATACCATAGCTATGGTATTCCAGACAATTTTCTATATGACATATTACTGTGTTAACTTATTTACTCCGTTTCCAAGACACTTGTTGCCAATTTATTTCTTATTAAATTTTGAAAGTAGTAATAACTGATGTAAATTGAAACTCTAATTTATGCATTTTAGGGTATTGTTGATTTTGAAAGGTTTTCTTTTTGTTCTTCACGTTAAAAAAGTCTTAAATGGTCCTAAAAGATTTGTCATAATGAAATAGAAAGCTTAAAAGTACAGTAAGTTCTACTTTGAACCTGTCACTCTTTAATTTTTAATTTTATTGTCAACGTTTCTCCAAACGCGAATTCCGATCCTTTCAATGAGTATTCGAACTTTAAAAACACCTGTCGTCCTCTGCGTTTGTTTCAATTTAAATAACGGATTAACTGGCTGTGGATTATTTTAATATTCGTTTCGTAATTACAGTTACAGAAATGGTAGCTGTTGAGATGGTGGTCCAAATAAACAAAGCGCTGAATATTGTTTCGTCGACATTGCTGGTGTTCGCTATCTGTTACACTTCCGCCTTTTTGTATTTCTTATTCAGGACCAGCTTGATCCATGGGAATCTCAAATTCGTTATGGTAGGTTGCAACGTTTTATTTCTCGAATTTTTATTCGGTGGCATGGGTTCTGAAAACTCTGAAAAAAATTTCTTTGAAGCTGAAGACAGACTACATTTTTTACATGGTGGTCCACTCGGAGCTGGCTTTATTCTAGGTATGAGTTTCTATAAAGTTTATATCAAATTTGAAGCCGGCATACGCCATTTTTTACATCTAATAAGAAATAAGGCTGGAAGCCCCGAGTGAACCACGCTATAAATAATCTTGAATGAAATGATGACGTAGAGATGATAATATCATAGTATGTTGAGATCTCCCCAAATACATGCATGACGACCCCTAATGTTTCTTTCCAGACCTGCACACTGATCGAGAATCATCTCCTCCAATTCTGCCGCTTCCTGAACACTGATTACCTTGATCCCTCCTCCAACAATTTCTTTGACCGCTTTGCTTGCCGCGCCACGAATTGTGTGTTCTCTGTTTGCTATTTGGCTACCATATTCTCAGTCATAACAATCGGTGGTGAGCGATTGATAGCCTCTTTGAATATTCGCAATTACGAGCGATTTTCGAACAGTCTCGGACAAGGATATGTATGCACGTTAATATTAGTTGGTACTATTTTTGGACTGGTCACTACCGATCGGGGTTTAAACCCGCAACAAAAAACCTGCATTTTTGCAATGGAGCACACCGTTGTCTATGGACAGCTGATCTGCACAATGATGGTGGTCAGTTTATTTGGCTGGGGAATGCAGATTATTGTGTACAGATGGAATCTGAAGATGCTCAAAGACAAAGCCGTTCCGTTGTCCATGAGATATCAGGTCAATGAGAACATAATTGTGTTGCGTTTGTTGTTCCCGGTAATGATCTTTTACTTTGTCACGACGGCGGCTGCCACCGTAATTGTGCTGAAGTCATTTGTCAGCGAGACCGACGATTCACCGGAGCAAAAGGCAAGGGATCTCTTTATTAGTAATGTAAGTATTAGGGTCATCATTAGTGAAAAGTTAGCGACATGTCATAAAATGTCAATATTTCCACAACATAACGATTAAAAGTCAACGTTTTTAGATCCTCAAGCTCACGGGCCAATGCTCAACTCTGACCTTCATGTTCAGCTTCGTTTGTCGGCATCCCGGATTCAAGGCGGCTTTTGTTTGCACAACACGTCGACGAATTTGCGAGGAGAAGCGACGAGTAATCTCTCAGGAATCATGGGCTCACAACGAAACCAACGTCTACTTCCAAGAACTGAGGAAGAATTGGGAGCAGGCAAAGAACCCGTGAAATTAATAATTTTAAAATTTTGACTGATAAAATAGGGTTATCTTTGATACAAGCAAGCAATAAAGAAGATATGTGTGTATATAAATATTAGGGTGTCCCATAAGTCTTGTGTATTTTTGGGTCGTCGATTTGTCCGAATTCCTGTGAACTTTAAGGCGCATTACGAGATATGTTGAACATATGGTTTTGAAGCTCAGAAATTGCGCTTTTAAACCATGTATAGTAAGGCTGAAAAAAATCTACCTGCTACCCGCCCTGCCCCAATATTGTACTAGATATTAAAAAATTTTTGCCATTTTCTATTTCCTAGAAATTTTACTTTACGCTCTGCATGCGCAGACTATAGTCCTATAGGTGGTCTCTGGTCTCTGAAGAGGAGAGAACATGCAGAATGAGGAGAGTTGGTAACAGGGAAAATTTTTCCGGCCCACTTTTTTATAGTCTTGGAAAAGCTCTGCTCCTTCAGTAGCAATATCTTCCCAAACTTTGAGTAAAATGTCCACTTCTATTCTATATGTATACGTTGCTGTCGTAACTGACAAAATCGGATGTGTTATCCCAGCTATACGTACATATTATACCGATGCTTTATTCTTTTTGACTTTCACTTTTATTACCCTTGCCGCCATTCACCTGCCTCCGTTTTGCAGTGTTCTTCGTCCGACTCAAAATCACCTCGATTTTTGCGCAATAATTATAAAACGAATGTCCGTTTCTGTACGGTCGCAGTACATCCGGGATATTAATCGATCTTATTGTGAAAGAATTACCGGAAAAAGTTGGAAAGTTTTGTAATGATCTTGAGTGCAACGTACTTTTCGGAGCGCTGTGTTCATCGGGCTCAATTAGGGAAGTACTCGGAGTGAGAGGCTCGGATTTACTGCAATTTTTTGTGGTTGATCTGTCACGGGAAATTCGGATTGCTAAAAAATTTAGTTTAGGATCTCTAGAGGCGGTTACATATCCGAAAGTACTTAGATGTCTGTGATATCATCTATCCTACGACTATCATCAAACAAACCTACGATCTTTCCCCAACAATTTTGATAGCCTCAACTTTATATAATATTATTCGGCTCCTCCATGCTCAGGAGCCTTTTGCAACCTTATAATTAAGGTAATTTTTGAGCCCATAATCACGTCAATATTTATTACGCTTATTTTTCGCCGAAGTGAGAAAACCGGATCCATCGTTTCTAGAATCTAGAACCCCCCTTCCGATTGCATAACTTTTTGATCCCAACTTTTGGGTGAGAGAATATTTGTCGCTTTTATTACTGGTAAAACAATGCTCATTATGTTTTGCATTGGTTTTATTTTTGTTGTAGGATCAAGGGAACTTCTCTAAGATTCTAGACGTTCAAATTCAAACCTATCCTTGAAACTGTCCGATTTCCAAGTTATGCAACATTTTTTTTAAGTTGCTCAAAATATTAGAAATTGCTTCAGGGTGTAGTAAAAAGTTTTAATAATTTTTTTGATGAGAGACAATCAAAAACGAGGAGAACTGGTCGGAGAAATAGGCCGAAGTTTTTTTTACTCCTTGAGGTAAAAAAACGCTGTATTTGTGCCAGGCGATACACGCAATTTTATACAGTAAATTTACCGTTTACTTTATTCCACAACCCTTTTTTTCCTTCGAATCTCTCGCCTCCTTTAAACCCACCTTCTTTTCGATCCCTTCGCGAAGTTTTAGCTCGAATCTTACCAAATGTTTGATCAATTTACCCAAAATTATTACGAAATTCAAACTGAATTTATCCGCTCGATTGATGGTGCCGAGATCTCATCGTTTTTCGAAAGTTTTGTGACGCGCCGCTCTTTTCTAGGTCGATCAGTACAACAAAACCCCATAACAGGAAGATCGTGGGGGCCTTTGTCATCCGCTCTATGTAGGTTATATTGGGTTAGTCATTCGTTGTGATTAATCTACTGCTCGATGGATCGGGTGTTTGTTGGGCTTGGATTGATGGGCTGTAGTGTTGGTGGATGTACATCGGAATATGTTTGGGATGTTGACCGTACAATTTGAAACGTTTAGAGTCATATTTTAGTCATCGAATTTTTTGCAAAGTCTTTGAGGTCCAATGCTTCGATCTCGGCAAAGCTTGGAACGTAGTATTACAAAATCACTATAACACGTTATAGTGGGTTTCAAATTACATCATAAAGATTGTAGAAAGAAACTAATAAAGGATTTGGGACATAAATCACATTCCGCTGGAAATTGGCCGCGAAGCAATAGAAAATCGTTTTGCTCTCAGTTCCTCTCTTCATTGTCCATAGTCCCTTCTCTAAAATATTGTTGAAAGATTCTAAAAAAACAACAAACCTCCCTAAAAAAAATCAGAGGTCCCACGAGTCAAGGCTTGACTGTATTTGGCCAAAAAATAACGAAAATTTGGTTGTCCTTGCTTACTTTGACTGCGTATTAGAAGTAGTCTGTGTCATGTTTTGCCTTTACAATCCCCTTAGAAATGGAATTGGAATTTGACCTCCAAATTCTAGCCCTCAAATGTCAACGTCTTTCCATTTTTTTATTCGTTCCTGATTTTATGGAGCCTCAGGGCGTTTAAAAATGTTTTCGATTTCGGTTCCGTTCGCCGATTTTGACCTCAATTCAGGCTTACTCTCTATTAGGATCGGATCGGGCGAAAAAAAAAGATTTCGAAGAATGTTTTTCTCTCAGAATCCAGCGGCTTTTATTGTAAGCAGATTCATTGCGACGCCCCTGCCACCGGCGAAAACTTCTTTTTTCGGCGGATTCTTTGAGGTTTTCGGAGGAATTTCGACAGGTTTTCAACGCGATTTCAGCTGGTTTTCTTGGCTCAACAAATTTTTTCTTTGTGAGGAAAATTTGATTGAACTGTAATTTTTTATCAAATTTTGTATAGAGAAGTTTCAGGCGAATTTTCGACCAATTTTTCGGAATGAATGGGTCAAATTTTAATTTTTTAAAAAATTTTCTTCAGATATACCGTATTTTCACGATCGTTAGGCCTAAAAACCGTTTGAAAATTTCTCAAATTCAGTTTGAAATATTAGTCCAAGTTTGTTACAAGTTTTACAAAAAATGTTTTTCCTTCACGTCACTAGTAACTCCCGTGTTTTTAAAGATAAAGTCCCTACCACGCTTACAACAACCGCTGTTCAATATTCTTTCCAGACTGTTCTCACAGTTTGAATTTCCCTAGAAGTTCCAAAATCCCCCAAATGTTTTCGCTTTCAAACGGCGAAAGCGGAAAATCTGTGCGCCGAAACTTGAGTTAAATGGTATTGGAGTTGTTTATTATTGTATCTACGGCGACTCCGTTTTTTGCGTCAAAGAATTGACCGGTTTAAGGGCGATTGTTTGGTAACTTCGTAAACGGAATGGCACTTCATAAAAAATCATCTTATAAAGTCAAGGAGGCGGTTTTTGAACGGGCTTTGGAGGCGCAGGGGTTCATTTGAGGAAGGTTTAGTCTAGGTTGCAGTCCGTGATTAGAAAGTTAGCCTTTGTCGAAGCCCTTGGCAAGTGATAGACTACAAACTGCAACTCCCTTGGCTCCATTTGGCCAGGTTTTTTATATTGTAGTTCATACTGAAAATGCGCGACAGATCTCTCCAAAATTTTGGCTCATAGCTTCAGCTTCTGACTAGGCCACATATCAATGTTGAAAATAGATGTTAGCTTGTGCCTTTCCAAATTATTTCAATCCTCAAATTTATACCGCCCCATACAAGGTCGTGCCGTTACAACAATCCCGTTAGCTCACTTGACTTTCCCCCCTCTCCCCCTCAAGATTCTGACGACTTCCCGGATGAAGTTCAAGATCATTTGCTTCGGTGGCTTTAAAGCGACAGTGTTTCCCTCCCATCAGTCGCGACGTCCTTCACCCCGATGCCGCGGAGGTGAGAGAATTCCGTTCCGCAAAAAGTCAGTCAAGAAGGGCATTTTGTCGCCCAATATTTATTGAACCCCCTCCGGGCGAATAAAGGCGATTTCCTTAATCGGGCGAAACCAATAAGAAAAAAAATCTTGGCGGATTTTGGTTACAAATCTTTCGTTTTTTTCGATCCCTCGAGGGCGGTTTTGTGAGGTAAAGGAAGTTGTTGTAACTTTTTCCATTTTCTCGGAACAAACTCTGGTTCAAATACAATAAAAAAGTTTACCTTTATCTGTAATTCCTTGCAAGCTACCTTAAGTATGCCTGTCGTATCTCTGACCTCAACGCGATGTCATCTTCCCCACCAATCTTATCGATCTCCATAATTCCTCAGCGGCGTTTTTAAAGGCTGACCTTTTAATCAGTGGAAATCAGATTTTGCGGTCACCCAATTCCCGACTTACCCAATTCGCGAACGGCGAATGTCTTTTCGAACAACTTTATAATTTTCAAGGTTACTTCCTGCAACGGCTAAGTTAATTAATCCAACTGTCTTAATGTTCAGAAAGCTGTAGGTGCGGTAACTGTGTAAAGTTGTAATTGCAACCAGTTATACTTACATACAATTGTTATGATTTATTTAAATACCTAACCCCTCTGCTATCTAAATATTTTCATTCCGACCTTGTCCGTGGGCACTTGCGAGGTGCGAACGGTCCCTGGAGGGTCGTCATTGTCAGCGAACGGCATTGAAATGACCTCTCGAGGAATACAAATCGCACCTGAAGATTAGGATCTGCTGAGGCTGGGATGACAAGAAAGCAAACACTTTTTGGGAACTTGCGATTCTTATTGAGGAAAGGTGTCGCACATCAAATTTCTAGCCTTTAATAACAGAATTTGTATTACAATTACTGTTCTCTAATACCAAGGTATCAGTTATGATTACTTTTGGAAAATATAGGGTTTCTAGAACGTATTTTACTTACACTTAATTACCCAATTAGGTTAATTGGTATGATGCGTATGTCAGTTGAAAGGCATAGCCTTTGTATTTGTGATTTTTTTGCAGCTGCTTTTGGCTAAAATTAGAGTTAATTTTCTTCGCGTTGGAATGCTTTTACATAAATCCGAGGAGCAAAAGATAACTTTTGTAAGCTCAAGTCTATCTACAGCGGACAGTTCTAATTACAAGAGACGTCGAACGCGGTTTGAAGCTAATATTTATGAGTCAATGACCAGGGCTACCTATGATGGGTAAAGCTTTTGAATTCCTAAGACCCATGTCCTTTACATAACTTTACGTCATCAAATGTTCAGTTATTTATTATAATACTGTAATATCCCACCTCAAACCCAATCACCAACACAACCCTGCACTCCCTGTTATGCGTGGATTACCTTACTTTCCCACAGATTATTCAACCCCTCCTGTTTATCGCCTCCCTTTATATCCATCAAAAACATCTTCGAACGGTGCAAAAGAACTCCGGTCCACTGATTTTTTTCTGCGGAATCGAAAAGGATACAGAGGAATCGGGTTAGCTAACGATTAACACAGTTAGAGACATTGCTACTCGAATATAAAGGTACTTCCGAAATTGATTTACAATAGCCCGCAGGGGAATAATCGGATAAAGATGGAGGAATGGGGGAGTGTAAAAGGGGCTCCCAAGATGTTTGCGGTCTAACTTTTATATGGAGAAGGATAAATTACAATTCTATTCATGTTGTACTAGTAATGTCATCTAAATTTTTTTGTTTGACGACCAGTTTTGACCAGCATATACGTCGTGTTGGCTAATAATCGTCGTATATTGTATTAGTCGCTCCATTTTACTACAAATTTTTTCCTTTCTTCAACTGGAAATGCGAAAATTTGCATGACGTAAACATTATCCGCATCCAATTCGTATAACGTCTCATTTCTTCGCGCGCCGTTTTGTCGCCGAATGTGTGTTTCGGATCTGATCTTGCTCCTTGAAGGTAAATTCTGACCTTGGATGTGGCGCTGCGAAGCGAAAAGAAACCCAAAAAATGCCAACCGAACACGGACCTCGGGGCGTCCATCTTCGCCGGCTCCGGAGTCGGTTAAGATAAACGATTTTGGGAGAGATTTCGGCGAATCTGGAGGGGGAATCTGTGTAAATTGTAATGTTCTTGTACTAAAGATTTGGATATGACATGTGCAGTATATTGGACTTGACCTTTTGCTGGGTTATCCCTAATCTTTCGATTTTTTGAGCCCAAAAAATTCCTTTACTCAAGCTTAATTTTATGAATAAATTTTATTTTTATAGTCTTCTGAACTCTTATTTTCGCGCAATCTCGCTTCACTACTCAACTAAATCATCAAAATACCGTTCAGGGTGCAACTACTACACTAAACCATCGATACGAGCGGCCCAACTCCCTCAAAGTCATCAAAATCTCCTAAATTTACAAAATGCGGCTTCGTCCCGCATTTATTTCATCGATTGCCTTAGGGCTTTTGATGACTTCCATTTTGGCAGAGGACGAAGGGCAAGCAGGATGTGCGGCAGGCATGTTCTTCTGTCCGAAGGAGACTAGTTGTATCCCCATGGATTGGGTGGGAGATGGAGAAAATGATTGTGAAGATGGGGCTGATGAGGTCGGCCAAGTTCCTCGAAGTGATGGGCCAGTCAAGAATAAGGTATGATTTCTTTAGAGAAAAATGTGGCCGTTTTTAGCTACATTCCTTTTACTTTAGATTCAAATACCGGGTTTCTTAATGAGAAAAGTGGTCCAGGTTGATCATTTGCCTAAATTATTTCAAAGTTTCAGAACAAATCGTTGCCCTCCGGAGATCCCTTCTCGGAATCCCATCAACAAGATCAACCAGCCCCGCAAATCGGCCGAAATCCCCCTCAAAATCCGGCCGACTGTTCCGAAAGTCATCGAACAGCCATGACAGCCTGCGTTGAAAATCTTGACGCATGGGTGGTCGATCTGGCCGCTTCAAATTATTCTGAAGTCTCCATCTTCAACGATGAGCTGAGTATGGCGAAGATCGAGCAAGGATGCGCTCTTCTGCAAGAGTTCTCCAGCTGTATGGATGGATTGCCGGCTAGCTGTGTCCCCGAACAAAAGCCTCTTCAGGATTTCCAAAAGATCCAGATGTATGCGTGCGAATTGTTGGTTCCTTCGTTGAAGGAGCATTTGGCTTGCTTTGGAAAGGCGAGAGATGCAAAATGCCCCATTCCGTAAGATTAGAGCACCTTATTGTTGCGTAATGTCTCTACAGGGTGTCCAGAGAAATGTGCCGGAAAGTTTTTGTCGATTTCTGGGCGCTCAATAAAGATTTCCGAAAAATTCTTTTTGCAGGATAAAGAAGAATATGGGCGGTTTTTTGTGCAAAAGAATCATTTTCTTCGCCAGCGCGGAAGGCAGTGTATTCGGCGGAGACTTTTGATCGCTTTTATGATAATCGCACCAACTTTAAACGCTTTATTATGAACTTTGATGGTTGAAACAAAGATATTTGCATATTTTCATGTTTACCAAGTGTTCGGCGAAGGTATGGCGGACGCTCGCCGAATCGGCGGAGGCCATAACTCAGCTGCGGACAAGACATGGTCCAACACAATTTTTATGGCCTGGCTAGAACACCCTTCTGGCTTCGTATGCCTTCGAAAATTTTGTCACCAAGCTTTGGCAGAAGCTAAGCCATCGGAAAACCACTTGGTGCACCAGAAAACAACAAAATATTTTTTGTTCAAATTTCCTTTTGCCTTGCTGTTTCAAACCTCCGCACGGTGCACTCGGACTTTATCGGTGTTGCAGCGACAGGCTGCACCGTGCAGTCGCTATATGGGATCGCATTGCGATGTCGCTGTCTGTGTGATTTATTCCGTCGAAAATTTGAAGACTTTCCGGAAGTTTCAGCATCTAATATAGCGTTTAAAATTGGTGTGATGGCCAAAAAAGCAATCAAAAGTCTCCGTCGAATACACTACTTTCCGCGCTGGCGGAAAAAATGATTCTTTCGGACAAAAAACCGCCCAAATTCTTCTTTATCCTGCAAAAAGAATTTTTCGGATATCTTTATTGAGCGCCAAGAAATCGACAAAAACTTTCCGGCACATTTCTCTGGACACCCTGTATAAATCACCATAGCGGTAATCGTAATTTTCTTTCAGGATTTCTCCCGCCGACAACTCTGTAATCTGTAGAGTGGTGGCTTCAGTCCACACCGATATCAACTGCGTCGCACAGATCCGTCCCACGGAATGTGATGAGGTCGCCGTTGAATTGTTCGAGCCTATGCGTCAAGAAACTCAACATGTTCTCGACGATCTTCATTGCAATGGCCGAGCAGCTCTCCCATCCAGCCCCGTTGTCGCTACAAGCTCTGGAAGACCAATCGTTGAAGCGCCAACAGACGAACAAACACCAACAAGTCCGGTTGAGCAGTCTCCAACTAGTCCAGTTACCAGCCCCGTCGAGCCTGTTTCTCCTGCTTCTCGCGGGCCTGCTCCGGTCTCGCAGCCAAGTCTGCCCGACGATGGAAAACAAGAATCGAATGAAATCACCGTTATCGAAGAGCCATCGACCAACGACAAGTCCACCGATGAACGTACACAAAAAGTTGAAGCAGTTCAGCCAAACAAAAAAGTTAATCCAAAGTCGGAAAAACGACCAACAACTACTTCTACAGGCCTCCCAACGACAGTTAAAGAGAGCTCTGACAAGGTTCTGGACTTGTCCAACTCATTGTTCGCCTTTGGAAATGTTGAGCAGATTTGTGGCAGCGAATCCAAAGACGATGTTTGGGTGGCTGTGAGAAAGAGAATTTGCCAGAGAAAGGAAGATCTGATCCCACACAGCAACTGCTTCTTGGAAACTGCATTGAAAGATAAGCAATGTGTTGCGGACAAAGTAAGTCAATTGATTCATCTCCATGCGTAATGATAAATAATGTAATCATTAAAAATGAATTCTTTTCAGACTCCAAAAGCCTCCCCCTGTGCCGCTCTCGAAGCCTTCAACAAAAACGTTGACTGCATTATCGTCACTCTCAACGACTTGTGTCCAGTGGAAGCTCAGGATGTTGTCATTGCAATTCAAGAAAGTCTGAACGACGAGACGATCGATTTGAAATGTTATGAAGAAAAGGACAAGATGCAAAGAGAAGAGGAGAAACAGAGTGGCCAAGAGAATGGAGATGGCTTCACTCTTCAGCCTTTGAATCCAAGATGTAATGGAGATCAGGTATGGTGTTTTTTACAATACTTGACGGTATTTTAGGAAAATTCGGCGCTTGTTTGTTTGGTTGAATTGGTTGAAATCAACAAGAAGTTGGCTCAATTCCACACAGTCAACTTCTTACTCGAGGTCTCTGATTCGGATAGCAAGTTAATGAATGAGATTTGCGATCTCTACGGGAAGTACGACAAGTGCTTAAATGAGAGCGTATTCTCCAAGAACAATGGACAGCGATGCTCTTTCAACTCGCCTCTGAATACGTTGGCCAGGTAAAGCTTTTTGACATTTTCAGCTACAAAGACTTTAAATTTTTTTGGTATAGTATGAGTTCAACTGGGCATAGTGAAAGTTGACGATGATTTTATTTTCTAGAATTGGCCTTTCGCCCATTTGCACCCCCAAATACCGTCAACTTCTTGTTCAATCCCGCGAATGTTTGGTCAAAGTTTCGGCCCAACCAGCTTCTGCCCAATGCCAGGCCGGTCTTCACCATCTCGGAGATAGCGTTGGAAAGATGATCCAAGGAATTCATGGAGAAGCCTTACTCTGCAAATCTTTTTACACTCTCCGTGAGGCGTTCGTCTGTGGCGAAAGCCTTATTCAAAAAGATTGCGAGGCTAAAACTGTGGAGGATTTGAATAATCTCAAGGAATTGGTGAGCTAACTACATTTTGAATTTGTATCGTATTTAATTTTAACTTATTGAATATTTTTTTCAGATGACCTCCCTTGGTCTTGAGGAAGGTTGTCCAGCCCAAGAGCCGGCCAATTTGAACGAGATCATCAGCCGGCCAGTCCAGCCGATCCCAGTCCAGAAGACAGGCGCTCCCATGGCTCGGCCAATGTCTCCGGCTACTCCAACTCCAGCCTCCACTTGTGAAGCTCATGAGCAGACCCAGTTTGGAGAGTGTGTGAAGCCATTGACCGCTTTCAAACCCCATCCATTGGCGGTTGTTGCTCAACCAAAAGAGATCGATCAAGCTTGTGAGGCGCATAAGAAGTTCTTGGAATGCCGAAAGAACTTACAGGTGAGAAAAGTCATTCTTTTATCTAATTTCCATAAGTTTTACAGCTTTTCAAAGGCATCTCATATTGATGATTAATTCAAATTAACAAAATTCGTTTAGTGTTTCCCCTTGTGGGCCCGAGGAATGTCAGCAATGTTTGATTACGCTTGCAATGACGGTGCCTCCAAATATTCGGGCATCAAACAATGTGTTCGCAAGGTAACCACCAGAAATGACGTCAGAGATTGTGTCAATACCTTCTCTAAATCAGCTCCTCAAGAAGCATGTGTGTCCACTAACCATCTCCTGAGCTGCGCCTTGCCTCCAATCACTGAGAAGTGTGGTCATGTGGCCAAGGAATTCGTTACCGAGTATGTGAGGAAGTTTGCCAATACCATTGATCCCAATTGCAAGGTGGGAGAAGAGTTCAAAGAAGAAGGTGAGTTATTGGTCCATCTGATAATCTTGTTATTACAAAATATTCCTTTTGTCATCATTTTCTTATCATCATATTTTCAGCTGTCAAAGCTATCAACACTTTCAACTGCACTGCCAACGAAGACCAGATCGTTGAACATTGTTCAGCTCCTCTCAACGACATCTCAGCTCGGCTGGATGACTTGTTCCATGGCGGTCTTCAATCCATCCTCAAGAATCTCAACAGTCTTGCGCCGGTCTTTGCGCAAGGCTGCAATTTGACCGCTGAATTCCGAACCTGTGCCAAGCCCATTCTTGAAAGAGATGGCCCTTGTGTAATATCCAGTTGTCTTGTGCGAGCTGGCAATGGGATTTGCAATCAACCAGACGTCGTCGAAGCCATTGACACAAATTTGGGATGCATCTTCAAACAAGTCAACCACCCGGAATTCGGGAAATGCTTGAGGAACACAATTGCGACCTTGAAGGACATCAATCTGGCCAAATTGAAGGCTGTTCTTCCTCAATTTGTGGAGTGTGTGGAACCGATAGTGGTTGATAAATGCGGAATTGTGCCTGTAAATGTTCTCAAGGCATTGGGATCACGCGAGACATGTCCGATCGGCTTCATCCCGGAGCCTCTGCTGGAAGCTGCACCAGTTACAACTACTCCCGCCACTTGCACTGATGAGATCAAGAAGAACTTTGAGGAATGCACCAAAAAGATTGTTGAGAAATACCCCTTCAGAGCAATTAGTTTGGTCGGAAAGGGTGTCACTGGAGAACATGTAAGGAGATCAACGAATATGGGGTTTAATTGTGTTGCTTTAGGTTTGTCATGACGCAGATGCCTATCAGCAATGTTACGAGAAACTTGGGGTATGTCCAGAGACCGCTGAGTCATCGTCCCTTCGCAATGTTCTCAACCAACTCTGTTCCGCCCGTGCCGTTCTCGATCAGCATCGCTCTTGTTTGGCTGAAGTCGCCGAAAGCCCTAAAGGCAAGGACTGTTTGAAAGCCGATGAGTCTTGTGAATCGATCAACTCAGGGCTCCAATGTATTGCCGAAAGCGTCAACGAACAGTGTGGTCCAGACGCTCTTCAATTCGCTTTCAACGCGATGAACGACCGAAAGAGGGAATGCGGATTGCAACTTCCTTCCGTAGCCCTTCAGACTGGCTGTAGCGAAGACCAGTTGATCTCATATCTGGAGTGCGACTCGGTGATTGACTCTTTCCACTTCCAACCAATCACTTTTATCAGGTATGGATTATTAAACACAGATTTATCAGCCGTTTGATCAAGTTTGGTATGCTGATAACTAATGCTGACTTCTTTTAGTAACTCCTCCGATTGGGACCACTTCTGTAAGGTCGTTGAGGCAAAATACCGACCATGCCTGGACAAGCTGACTTGTCGTTTCGAGCCAGTTTCTACGGCTTCCTTGACGTTGTTTGAGAACCTTTGCGAAAGAGAAATCACTCGAAGGGATCAACGGAAGTTCGCTGAGTGTTTGTCTGAAGTCGCTGATAACACCGAGGGCCATAAGTGCCTTGAGGCATATAAGGTAACATTTAAAAAGCTCTTGAACAGTTGGACGCTTTATTTTTTTTAGTTTTTGTATTTTACTATGATGATGACATGTATAATATAAAAAATTTTAGCAAGTGGATCTGCTAGCCAAGAACGCCAATGAGCAAGTGTGTTCGGCAGTCAACGACATCCTCAACTGTGCTTCTGGAGCCATCAGCAAGCAGTGCGGAGACGACGCCCTTCTTCATGTTTATGATATCCATACCACTTGGGTTCAGGTATTCAATGCCACTTGTGTGTTGCAGCCAGCAAACTTCGAAGAGAAGAGCAAGATCACAACTTCGAGGCCTATTCTGAAGGTGAGAAAGGAGTATCTCTTTATTGAAATAGGCGACTTTTATTTTACATTTCTTTAGATTGCCATTGAAGTTCTAGCTTTATGATATTATGTAATGTTGCTGTTTTACAACATTTTTTTCAGACCAAGCAGCCCGAATCCTCACCAGAGCCGATCCCCGAGCCCGAGCCAGAGCCCTCTCAACCACCTCATCATGTGGATCTCCTTGATCATGACCATCATCACACATCTCCCCAGCCTGAGCCCGAGCCGGAACCCACTTCGGCCCCTCCAGCATCTGGAACAGAAAGTCTTACGACGACAATATTTGGATCCATGGCTTTATTAGTAGCACTCTACTTGATGTAAAGCTCTGTTTTCCGGAAAAAGCTAGGGAAATTTGTTGTTTCATCATAATCTTTTTGAGTTTAAAAAAAACTCTGTCATAATGACGCATTTCTCTCGCCTTTTCGCGTATTGTCGTCTTCATACGGGAATTCTCATAGAAATGATCCAAATTCGAACATCTTCGTCCTACTTAGCCCTCCCTTTCATTGCAAATTGCCTCCGGTAATCGAAAGAAAACAATTTCTATTCCACTGCTCAATGTACCTTCGAGATTGTATTTATGGCATTATAAATTATATTGTTATACTTTTAATAATAAACCGTGTAAAGCTAGTCCATCTTTATCATCTCGGATTTGTTCACAGTAATTGTATATCTTGAAAGTTGAAAGTGATTCGGTAATAGTTATTGTTGTATTTACAAGCGGAGGAAAGCAAAAGGCGTCCGGCGATTAGATCCGCATGCACTGACAGAGAATGCACATCACGCAATAGTCAACGCAACCAGTGGGTTCTTCATCGTCGTGTAGTTGGGTTCGAGGATTCGGAGTGACCGGAACCCGGCGTCGTGGAGGTGGAGAGTTCTCGGGACAACAACAGAAACAACAACTCCCTCCCCAGGTGGGTTTGTGGCGACGATATTGAGCGGGCGTGGGTGGTGGCTTGCCGGTGGGACGATGCCAAGACGTGTCCGCTCTGGAAGAGGTGAAACAATATAAAAGGGTTTTTTTGTAATCAAAAAAATATAAGAAGGGATAAGAGAAGTCTCAAGGTAATGAAAAATATATAGTTGGTTCTTAAAGCCTACGTTTTGACTTGAACAAATCCGGTAGCCCCAGGTTGAGTCTCAACAACCTCTCCCAGCCCGATTATCCTCGCGGGTTCCTGAGGTGTTGTGGCACTTGTACCTGGGGTTGTGATCATTTCCATTGATTCTAATTGTTTGTCAGGGGTCGTGACTTGAATTACATCCAATTCTCGATAAACTTCCGCTGAAATCAGAGAGCTTGTAATTTACCAATTGCTTTCTCATTATAAAGGATGCTTAATTCTAGTAATTTTAATCATTTGGCATCAGTGTGAACCTTCTTAATAGCCTTCAAAGAAATTGGACACTCATACGATTCTTATTCGCCCCTCAAATTGTATTACACTTACGTCGTCCAACCCTGTATCTTCCACAGCTCTGACAATCAGCCTTGTCCGGCCTCACCCACTGCTCTTCCCTCCTTTCGAATGAATGCATCGTCGAGAGATCGTTGAGTAAAAGCCATTCCGTAATCAACGCCCTTAGGCGATCTGTGGATGTACGATCAAGGCGGATAGTCTCTAATGCCGGCCTCAGGAAAAGACAGAGGCTTTCGAGCTCCGAGCGATCCAGCTCGAATATCGTTGGCATCTGAAGCAAGTTGATTAGACCCGAGTAAGTTCGGTCATGCCCTCAAGGCGTAACTGCTTAATAGGATTAAGAAAGCGCGATTTTTCGAGGAGAGAGGTGTTGAAAGTAGCTGGAAAGGGACAACTTTGAATGGTACATAGAAAACAGTAAGTTTGAGAATTCAAACCGAAGAGAAAGTAAGTCATGCCAAGACTTATTAGACTGTCTGCTAATTATAAGTGAACCCAGGGAAATTATGCGTTTCCCCCTCGGAAAAAGACATTAGCATAATGGCAGTGCGCTAAGTATTACATCGAAATTAGTAATAATGTATTGGAAGTTCGAAGAATGTTAGCTGCAACCGGGTCATGTTTTCACACGAAAGATCTCAAAAATATGCAGCGGAAATAACATGACGTTTTAATCCATTGTTTCTGCAAGGCGCGGGTAAAAATCACGCTCAGATCATATTTAAAAAATCTAAATTCTAAGTAAAAGAAAGTGTTTCCACCCAATGTTTAAAATTTATAAAATTTGACTTGAAAGGGCTAGCCAAAAAATAGCGTGAACGCTGGAGTAGTCCTTTTTGAATGATTTTGAAGCTTTGGCTGCCCATTGGCCAGCTTTTTGAACATTTTTTAAACCTTTGTAGGCTAGAATTTGGTTGGTTCTAACGGTAATAATCGCAAGAATTAAAAAATTTAGTTTTGATATTTGTAAAATACGTTCTCGCATTTGATAATAAAAACATAGAGTTTTGAGTCAAATTTCCCTCAAATAAACACGCTAAGTTTCTTGAATTCGCGTTTGCAGTTCATTTAATAATCATCCCGAAGGCAAACAAACTGGAATTAAGACGTTTGGCTCTGTCCCGATGCCAAAATTAATATAACGTGCAAAATTTTCTTAATCCAGAAATTAAGAATTCGCTTTTTTCGATTTGCCGCAGGTCATGGGTGACGCATTGAAATTGTTTCATTTCGCGTTAAGAGCCGAGCTGAGTGCGAAAGTGAAAAGTCGAGGGGGTAAATAAGTAAGGGTAAGTGAGAGGGGTAATTTTGGAGGGTAAATAAATAGAAATAGGTGAGGGAAACGAGTGAGAAAGGCTCATAATTTTTATGAATTTGAGTATTCTTAATAAATGAAGTCAATTAAATTACCGAAAAAAGACATTGCAATAACACTTTTACTTCATCTTGAGGGAAACAAAAATGTAAGTCAAAATAAAGTGTGAGAAAATGTGGAAAGTAAGTAGGGCAACTCAAGCCGACTCGACGTTAGAACTAATACTCCCTAGACGTAATACCCTCACATACTCTCCAGAGAATAAAACGTTTAGATCTCAATAAGCCGAAATTAAAAAGCATAGCTCTTTGAATACCATATTCGACCGTCTCTGACAACCAAGGAAATGCGGAGAGACAGTCAAAGAAAAAGCTTTTCTGCATTGTCATTGTGATGATGTTGCATCGGAAAAAAATATATTTTTTGGAAATCCCAAAAACACCTTGTATTTTATGCAACTTGCGCCTTAAAAAATCTCAACGGTTACTAAAAAATTCAAGCTAAAATCCGGCAAAGCTTGGAAAAGTTTCGTCCAAAACTTAATAAAAATTTTTACCTCCTTCCCTTGACCAAAAAATAGCCTGTGGCGATTTCTTTTCCAAGCATAGAGCCCGATCCCTGTAAATAACCGCAAGCAACAAAAAAAGGCAATTTATTTACAATCTGCAAAGAATAAACAAGAAGAGCTTGGCCATATGCCATCTCTTGGCCGCGCGCAAAATTATTCTCCTAATGATCCCGAGCTGACGCCCCCTCCCCCCTTGGCTCACACGCATTTACGACGAGTTTCCAAAACAACCGCGGAAAGGGGAGTCGAATACAGGGGGATCGAGACTCGAGAGCGTATTTCGTATTTATTCGGCGCCAATGAATATTTTTATTAACATGTCATGAGTGAGATACGAAAGGGCGACGAGGAAAGCGACACGGTTCATACGCATCGATGGGCTTTGGTCCACGGAAATTGGAGGTTAGAAACAATGCAATTTGGAGGGAGATGCGGGATTTGACAGACTTATGACTATAGAAGGCGATATATGCAATGATGGCCATCATACTATATAGGCTTAAGGGCTACATGGAAATTGGGCTTACTGTTAGTGGAATTGGGTTCAGGGAAATTAGGCTGACTTTATCACCGTAAAACGTTCACAGTTTAAAAAATTAGCCCAATTTCACTTGAGCCCAATTTCCATGCAGCCGACTTAAGCTCATATCAAAAAAATATAACCATAAAATCCTCGGAAGGAAAGGAGAAAACACGCTCGGAAAAATGTAATCCCGAGGGTTACTAAATAAATGTCCTGGCCGGAGTTTCGCATAAAGATTATACTCCGGCAAAGGTGTGTATTAATTTTCCCATTCAAAAAGGATCTTTGTAAAAAACATTCCAAATTAAAAGGCCATTCAAGTTTAAGTTTATAAAGTCTATTTTCTTCAGAAACCCTTGGAATTTATCAGGTAAAAGTATAGAACAACTTCACTGAACTGACGCTGATTTGCGCTAAAGCCGTCGTTGAAGATCGTCTAAAGCTTGCTGGATCCAATTTTTCAGTTATCTTTCCGGACTTCCAGGTCCTTTGACCCTCTTCAACTTTGGCAACAGTTGGCTGCATAAATGGTCACCTTCAAGTCTCTTCTTCAGTCTCCCCCTTGAGCTCATTAAGGGCCGATTCCTTTTTGTTGAAAAGGGAAATCGGAAACCTTTCCGGTCCCTTATTTAGTGCCCTAAGGGCTTCGCATAAATTATAACTCGAGAGAAAGTCTATTTTCTTCAGAAACCCTTGGAATTTATCAGGTAAAAGTATAGAACAACTTCACTGAACTGACGCTGATTTGCGCTAAAGCCGTCGTTGAAGATCGTCTAAAGCTTGCTGGATCCAATTTTTCAGTTATCTTTCCGGACTTCCAGGTCCTTTGACCCTCTTCAACTTTGGCAACAGTTGGCTGCATAAATGGTCACCTTCAAGTCTCTTCTTCAGTCTCCCCCTTGAGCTCATTAAGGGCCGATTCCTTTTTGTTGAAAAGGGAAATCGGAAACCTTTCCGGTCCCTTATTTAGTGCCCTAAGGGCTTCGCATAAATTATAACTCGAGAGAGTTTAATTCGATTTGTGGCCAAAACAAACACTCAGTCAGCATTAAGTTCGGATTCAAGCGGAGGATCCGTATAACAAACTTGTGCACCGCAAAATGTCTATTTTGATGACTGATTAGCCTTTTCCGTTGATAATCAAGGCCAAAACGAAACTTGCATACAACAATAGTCGTCTGCAGAGGACAGTTTTCCCGATGTTTGATTCCAATATAATACAATACCAAATTCAAAAAAAGCGATCGAAAATGTATCAAAACCCCCGGAGAGCCCTCCATTCCAGAAGGGAACCCAGGATTATGACGAGGAAAACCGGTTGTTCCGAACGGCAGAAACGGTGAAAAAGTGGATTTATGGATGTCGGATATTAGCATATGGAACCGGAAATAGTTTTTGTTACTTGCCTAAAAGTTGGCTACCATTGTTGACAAAAAGATGCGCCCAAAATATATTTAGACACATCCTTGGTTATTCTCGATAAAGTACGACTCTTTTATCCTCTCCGAGCTTTAAAACAAGGCCACACATCAGCAAAATTTTCGAAACTTGGCCTCAGATTTGCGTCAAGAAATCCCTTTGTCGCTCTTGATTGCGCACCTACTCTCGTAAGTAGATTGCGCAACAAAAAAAGAAATAATATTATGGAGAGGTCATTCGCTTCCTTTCTTCCCTCATTTTGGCACTTCAATTCATTCGCCTTTTTCTTTCCTCTCGGATGTCAGAATTGCATGACCATGGAGGAAATCCAACAAGTGAGGGATGGGTGGATGAATGAGCTATGAGAAGATACGCCTACATCAAGGCTAAAACAAAGGACAGATGTAATTGAAACATGTTTGTAAATTTCTGAAAACAGTGTAGCGTGCTGTTCTTTGATACGTTGGCAGAAAAAATTGCAGAATGATGGAAATTAAGCCACTCAAAAAAAAGTTTCTACAGTGTTGAATGTCTACAAACTCTTTAGTTTTATACTTTGAAAATAGTGAGCTCAATGAAGGCAGGTTACCTAAATTAACTGACGGTTGAGCATGAACTTTACCCGTTAAGAACCGCTTAAGATCTTTTTAGGGTTCAATTCCAGTGCCCTTCTTCCTTGTCATCGAATTCAATAGCCACGATCATTGTTTTGTTCTACCTCAAACGGCTCCAATATCATGAAAAAGAATTCTCATGCCTTGACACATCACGGTGCATCGGAGCAGGGCCCACTGAGGTCTAAATAGCCTCAATCCATCCATGTTTTAACCAGTGGTTCTCCTACAAGAAAACTTGGGAATGACAGCAGTCAAAGATAAAAAAAAATCGGCTAGGCGTTTCTAGGCCAATTCAACCTTTTGACTATAAGCTGCTGCCTTTATTGCTGTTATTCCAAAGATTTGGCATTTATGCAAATTCAGAGCTGGTCCAACTTTTTGGGCCAAAAATTTTGGCCTAGAAGAGGGAAACTTGACGCAAAAAGCAAAACTTGACACGTAAAATTCTTTTCCACTTTTTTGACAAAATAAACCAAGAATGGAATTGAATGGACAATTGATTCGTAGAATTTCTGTTGGCGAGTATCTTATAAAATTTCCCTTTTCAGGAACCATGATCAGAAGTCAGTAAATCATGGCCTCAGTAAGAAAGTCCTTGCTTGGTCAACAGAACTCCACGGGAAATCTCCCAGAGCAAAAGGCTGATTGCCTCTCGGTTTCAACGAAAACAAGGGCCGAACCGTAGGTTTCTCTTTACATTTGTGTTTTTATTTTAGGTATACAAGAGAAATGAAGTAATTTTATGTCTACTTCTTTCAGTATTTATGTTTGCGACCTGCCATGGGCGCCCTTGCGTGTATTTCCAATCCCATCACTGGATTTCAACGTTCTGCCAGCCAGGTATTCCGCTCAGAGCCTTCTCCTGGAGCTGTTCAACATCTTTGAAAAGAAGCTGGCGATAGCCTGCAACGACAATGAAAATCCAATCAACAAAACATTGCGAAGAATAGATGACCCGTATTTGGACAACATTCTGCGCACTCTACATGGCGTATGTGAGGTGTGTTTGCCTCCAGTTCTGAGTGCTTTGATCAGGTGGCATGAAGCTCAACAAAAGGTCCCGATAAATGAAAACGGAGAAGCTCAAGAGAAGGCGATGAAGAGAACATTGGGAGCAAGTTACTTGTATTGCATTGCACTCATTGAGATCCTTCCACAACTCGTGTTTTACAAGCCGGAAGAATGCGAACAATTAGTCAATCATATTCTGAATACGGCCTTCAAACAAGCTTCTTATCGAGATCCGTAAATTAACTTTTCCTTGGATTTTCCATGCTTTTAGTTGAAGTTTCCTTTGATGATAGTGAAGCTTCTATTTTAGCGACAAGTTTGGTGTCAACATCAAGAACTCGCTGTTTGTCGCGGAAATCTTTGGAGAAGTGATTGGAGTATTCTCCCAGACCCATTTTACGCTCGTCCACAAGATGTTCAGCCAGCACTTGGATGCGCTGAGGAAGGAGAGCCCTTTTACGAATCTGACAGTCCAGAAAATCATCGCTTTGTTGATGGCCATGAAATTCTTTCGGATAAAAACAAATCAAATCGAGGACTTCGAGATGGGAGTCAAGTTCCTAAACGAGATTGGATCTTATTACCTAGAAGTTGATGCCAAACAAAAAGAATTGAAGCATTCATTGGCCGGATTGCTTGTGGAGATTCTGTTGCCAGTAGCAGGGGTATGTCACCATTTTTTGCTTGTGTGAAGAAACTGTTTGTAATTTTTTATTCATTTTTTTGTTTTAGGACATCAAGACCGAAGCCAACGTCCCTTCTTTAATCGCGTTTGTCGATAAAATGTATGGCCCAACCTACGAATTGGTAAATAAAAAACAACATAGGATGACTGCGTATCCTCTGTTGACTTGCCTCTTGTGTATCAGTCAAAACAAGTTCTTCTTGAGCAACTGGGTCCAGTTTCTAAGCTTAACCTTGGCAAATCTCAAGAATAAAGATCCGAAAACTGCCCGTGTTGCTTTGGAATCACTTTATCGTCTCTTATGGTAAGTCGTTCTTATTATTGCATTCTGTTTTTAGGGTATATTCGATACGAATTAACTGCGAAGGGAATTCCGCAACTAGAAGTCGTTTGGAGTCAATTTGTTTTTCGCTGTTCCCCAAAGGAAATCGGAATGTGATACCGAGGGAATCTCCGGTTATCATTTTTGTCAAGATCATCCATTTCATTGCATATCAAAAGTTGGATTTTGCTTTCAAGGTAAGCAAATGTCATATTTGAGATGGTTTTGTCTAATATTTTTGTTTTATAATATCGAATCATGTAGGCTGTTTTTCTGTATTTGGGGTCTAATGAAAATATGATTAAAGATGATGTATGCTACTGTTATGCTTTCAGGAAATCATTTTCGATCTCCTCGGCGTCAATCGTCTCTCATCCAGGTCGATTTCAATATACCCAGAGAGAATGAACATAGGCCTGAGAGCACTGATGGTTATAACTGATGGTCTGCAGCAGAAAGATGGTCCTCCAGGAATGCCGAGAGCCACCGGGCCCGTCCCAGCTTCCGGCACAATCCAAAGAATCAAGAAGACTTACATCACAAGACCCCTCACTCCGGATATTGCCCGATCAATTGGACTCGACCAGTATTATTATCCATGCAGAAAGGCCTTCGATGTGATATTGAGGACTTTGGATGCACAACTTGGCCGTCCCTATCTACTTACGTCGACCCAAACTCGGGGAAAGGAGAGCATTGACTTTCAAACGGGCGAACTCAAACCCAAAATGGACCTCTTCCGGACTTGTATAGCTGCCATTCCTCGACTACTACCCGATCCAATGACCCACACTGAACTCATCGAACTTCTGACTCGAATCTCGATCCATGTTGACGATGATCTTCGAACCACCGCCTTCCAAACTCTTCAGCATTTGGTTGCGGAATCTCCGGACTGGCGAGAGGACATCATTAATGCTCAGTTGAGTTTCATTACGAATACAATCCAAGACACCTTCCCTTCGCTGATAGAGACGACTGTAAGATGCCTTCTTCAATTACTCTGCACATGGAAGTCTTCGGTCTTGGTGGAAAAGAAGAACATGGAAGGGCAAAAGCCCAATGAACCGATCTCTCCGTTTACGAATAGAACGAACACAAAAAGACAGGCTACTTCCTCGCAGACTACGGTAACGTCCTCTTCGATCGCTGATTCGGTCCATTCTCCGGACGAAACTCAGGTAAGAAGACACTGAAAGATTTAGTTTTGGCTGGTATAATATTATGTTGCTTTTCGAAACGAATTCTTAATTTGAGGGTGCACAATCGACCGTCAGTAACTGCTCGGACACCGGCAGTCCTTACAATCGAATCCATCTCCTCAATCAATCCCTAGTAATTGCCAATCCAACTGCTGCCGCCATCCATAATGTGGAAGGATTCGCTCTTGTCCTCCTATGCCAATTGCGAGCCCAAGCCAAGAAGATGTCAATCCAATTGCTGAAGGAATGCCGCCATCTCCTCCAGATCGTCAATATCGAAATCCATGACAAACCGATGATCAATGTGCTAGATGAGAGCACTTCGTATGTTCTGAACAAGTATTTCGAATATGTCCCACTGAATGAGCGCCAATCGTGGGGAACGGACTTTGTCTCAACTTGTGATAGACTCTCCACATTGGAGACGGACACTTATTTGGTGAATTCGGATAAAGGCAACGAATATTTCAAATGGGATGCATGGGCGTCGGCGCTGAGTGGATACTGCGAATATCATCTAATTCCGAGCCAATGCCCTACAGCGGTAAGTAAAGGGATCTCAGAAAACTATGCGGACGCATATTAAGAAGGTTTTTTTATAATGTGGAATAGGTTATTTGACAATAAAAAATTGACTTACACTTGTTCAGGTCGCATTTGCGTGGCCGGCGCTGTTCATCCGGTTCAATCATTGCACCCAATTCGTCGATCCCTCAAATTATGAGACCAGAGCCTCATTGCTAAGATCCTCCAAGTCAAAAGCGACCGCTTCCTCCATGTGTGGAGAGACAATTGGCCAGGAAAGCTACCTCAACCTCTGGCAGAAGTACCTCGTCGTTTGTTGCGCTTTATGCCCTCCGGTGAATTCCGTCGGAAATCCGAGAAGCTTCTCCCCGAGTGTTGCTCTTGATCAGGATGTGGTACGGGTTTTATTTTATTCGATTACTCGCTCTAATACCACTGATAATGTTCGTCTTTGTAGATACGGTCGATGTCCTCCTCAACTCGGATTGTCCGCCCTCCGACCACAAACTCAGCCCCATTATTCGTCAAGATTTGCTCCATGCTCCGATGGGAAATGAGTGATATGATGGATTTTGTGGTCCTCGGCGTGGGATCCCTCAGCCCAATGTGCTTTGAATATCTACTGGAAGAGATGACCAATCGAGGGATTTTACGGGAGGCCCAGGAAAAGAAAGTCAGATCCAGGAATAAACGAAGAGACCTTCTTAGGCTACAATTGCTCAGAATACTGGAAGTCGCAGTTTTTCGGGGATTATTGGTTCATGGAACCTTAACTGACCCTCAAACTGGACAATTGACCAATGTTTTGATAAAACTAATAGACTCCCTGAGGGAAAATGTCGTTTCGGAAGTGGTAAGAACATTTTATTTATTTTATAAGATTCTGTATTTAAAAAATGATTAGAAAGCCAAAATTCCATTTATTCATCTTCTAGGAGCGAGACATTACGGTAGTAACCTCCCTCCGCCTCCACTTCGCCAAGACCCTGACCTTGATCGTGAACACTTTGCCCATCGACCGTCGAAAGAACCTCCTGCCAGATGATTTGAAACGCGAACTTGTCCAGACCATGTTCCGTTGGTGTGGCCGTACCATCGCCACCAATGAACGAACCACCATCATGCCCGAAAAAGAAGTCGGCACTTTTGTGGAACAACAATCGGTCAGCGCACTGTGCGCCCTTCTCTGTTGCGGCCCAATCATGAATGAGAAAAACGACGAAGATTACTCGTTCAGGTTGGTCAATGGCTGGTTTGTAATTGCAAATTTTTTTAGAATGTTGGACGCTCTTCTTGTCTCCACCAATCAGACGGTTTGTAATCTTTTTGACGACACTCTGGCCACCATATTGCACTTGAATGATCAATCCAACAGTCTGTTCGAATGGACTGTCAACATGTGTTACAGTAAGAACAGCACGGTCGCGTCGAAGGCGTTCAAAGCTCTGGTTTTGCTGTTTTCTAGGCGGTAAGGATATTTTTTTTATTTTGATGTTATAGTGGACACTTGTAGTTATATAATTGCCTGTTCCTAATGTTTCAGAGAGTTTGCCTGTGACTTTGTGACCCTCTTTGTGCTCTGCCAAGTCTACGCGCTGGACTCGGATTCCTCGGTTCAAACTTCGGCCATTTTGTTATTGCAAATCCTCCGTCGTCAAGGTCTGGATTACGCCTTTGCCACGGAACAAAACGAGCAGAACATCCTTAATGACAGTGGAAATCATCTGACTATGGGAGCCTCGGCCAAATTACTCGCTGATTTCGCCGATAAAACCCCAAATCCGGATGATATTTTCCCCATAAATTACTCCACCATCCTCCAGCAGTTGTCCGAAACCTACCCGAAGGTCACAATGTCAATATTCTCGGAGATTTGCAGCCGTTTGGAGAATGCGAAGACCAATCGTCAAGCCGCGATGCTTAGCATCCTTCTCCATTGGATCACAAACATCGAATTGGTCGATCCTTTTTGCGATTTTCAGGTAGGATGACGGGATAAAAGTATTTTAAATGAGATTTTACTTGTTTTAAAGACCAAGATGTAGTTATGGATTGGATAAAAGATGAAGTTTCAGGACAATGAAGTCAATCTAGAAGAAAATGAACGGAAAACTGGATGGGGATCAGCTGAAGCCACCCAACTTTTACTCAACAACCTCGTCTACATCAGCGTCAAGTACAGCGCGGAACACAGTGTCGAGATTGCGGCCCTCTGGAAATGTCTGGCCACCTCATATGGCCCCAATCTGAATATTATTGTCCATTTTCTTTTCGTCATGATGTCTCTGGCACCGGATTTCTTCATTCCGGTGGCTAAGAAAATAGCAGAACACTTGTTGAATGCCACCGGAGATCAGTTGATAACTCTGTTGATCGAACAATTGAATAATGGAGGCGATACATTCCGAATGAATTTGGTCCGCAGTGAGATCCCACCTTATTTTAGGTAATAAATGTCTAAAAAAATTGTTTTTATGATGTATTTTTAGATGGCACAATCAGATCAACGAAGAGCGAGAAGAAAAGGAAGGAACGGAAGACACGGTCAAAGAAGCGGACCTCTCCAATCTTTCCGAAGCTACCGTAACCCAAAAGGAATCCCATTTGAATGAGACAAACAAAGTGTCCGATCTGAATCCCGACAATTCCATTCCATTTTCTCTGGACGAAAACAAAAAGAACCATGTGAGACAACTTCCAATGCCCGCTTATGGAGGCCATTACTCAAGTCTGGCCGCATTCCTCCCACCCACAACGCAACCCATCACCTACTTCAGCAAGTCCAACTTGTCTTTGATTTTGCTCAGCGAATTGATCGGCGCCGATCATGAGAAACCGGTGAATTGGTATCAGCACACACCCACTCTTCTTAATATTGCGGTCACTTCCCTGGATTCGTTGAGGTCTTTGGTCTGTCGACATTCAAGGCTGACCATCTTGAGGTTGTGTTTGTTGAATACGAAACCTTCAGTCAACACTTGGCAAGTGGCCAGTCTTTTGTTATCGAATCAGGTGAGAAAAAGGCTTTTGTCATGGGTTTTAATTTAAAAAAATTAATGAATAGATCAGACAAAAGTTTGGCAACAGTATGCAGATGTTATACTAGGTTGGATTGAGTGATTATTCTGTCGATTCAGGTGGCAGCTCGGCAAACCGACCTCTTTGATGGCTTCATCAACCCGTTTATTGACGGGAAAACTGCTTTGAGTTCAACTGCCGAAACCCTGGAGCCATTCTCGGATCAGAAACAAGAGGATTATCGGAGGCAACTCTTCTTTGACAATGCCATCTTTTCCTCGTCCACCGAACTTCTCCTCACATTATCTTCGTGTCTAACTGACAGGTAACTATCGTTAATATTTTTGACGTATATTCCCCCTATTGGGAATTTGAGAATTTTAAATAATTATATTATTTTACAGAATGGACCGACCCCTCTGGGCATACGAAGATATCAGCACACGGAACTGGCACATTGACTCTGCCGATCAATTGGGATGCTTCTGTCGTCATATTGCCGAGTATTTCATCGATTCGATCCCCAAAATCGCAATGGAGTGGACTACAATAGCCTTGAAAGTGGCGTTGTCGACCAATAATCGGCATGTGGCTGGACGATGCTTCCAAATCGCTGGTGCTCTTTGTCAATCACTGGCTCCTTTCCTTTCGCAGATCCTGTCCAGACTTACAGAGATTGCTGGAGAATACTCGGAAGACGTTCAGGCCTATCTGACTCACATGCTTCTTTGTGTTCATGCCGGGATTCCCAATATAATCGAGAAGAGTTCGAATCCGATCTCAATGGATACGGAATTGAAGGCCTTGTCGCCGGCATCGTCAACTCATAACCGATCCATCTCGCATACCCCCGGGCTATTGCAGAGACCACAAACGGCTGGGGTAAGGAAAATTTGAATGGATGATAGTGTATTACAATATAATTTTATTCCATTTTTTGTAGCTACAATCTCCGGATCGACGCCCCGTTAGTCCCAATCAGTCACCCATCCATCATCCGAACCTTCAAAACACCAAAAAGGACACCCGGCATTCTCTACTCATCGAAAATGAACTTGTACTTGACCCAATCCCTACAATTACTCGCTGCAAATCAGCGCAAATGCTCGCTTCCACAAGCCGAGGACTGAAAGAAGAAGCTGTTCAGGCCCTATCTCAAGTAGTCAGCATGTGTGTGTGTCTTCTGGAATCTCAAATTGACAATGAATATCTGTTGGCGGTGCATTTACTCAAAAGAATTTTCGATTCGACTCAAAGCAATGCCGAAGAAGTGATCGAACGATTCGAAGGGACAATCCGACAGCTGAATTGGAAAGATTTCAATGGAATTGTCGCGCTCTCGACCAAAGGCGTCATCTATCCGTCGGGATACGAAGACTCGGTCTCCATTTTGACAAGATCCATCGAATTCCTGGATTATCCGGCGATTGGAAATAAACAACAGGTCCCATTGATCATCATCTCCACCCTTCCTTATTGTCTGTTGCATTTTGATTCCCCAACAGAGACGAGTATTTTGTTGTGCAGACAGATTGCTGCATACAGTACGAAGATGATGATCCAGGATGAGGCCAAGGACGTTACAGAACATCCACTTCAGAATTTGATTACGGTAGGTGTTCAAGAGAATAGTTATGTCGGAAAGGGGGTATACATATATGATTTGTGCGGACCTTTGGTACCATTTTTTCATAATAATCCGTTTTCAGATGGTCAACCAATACTGTGAGAGCCAATTCGCCCGCGATCGCCTTCAATGGGCCAAGTGCGTGATCAACTACATGATCGATGGCTTCAAACCCGACCTCACGGAACTGGTCGTCTATCTCACCGAGTGCCTGGAGAAGTGCCAAGTCGCGCTTCACTTCTATATCCTCAATCTGATCCATCTTGTGATCACTCATGGCGATTGGACAAACGCCTCACCCCTCCCACTGAACGCCCATGTCATTCGAGTGGTGACAAAACACCTGCAATCTGTGAATTGGCGGGAAGCTGGAAGAATTCTGAAGGCAATTCTGGATCAATGGAACAGCATCAGTGTAAATGCAATCAACGATGTAGAGGTGGGTCGAACATTATTAGTTAAATGTTATAAATGAAATGACTGTGATGTAATGCAAATTTTTTTAGGTGAATACGGAGCAGAGGAAGCCAGATTTTGACATTTATATTGACCGTCCTCCACCTTCTGAACCATCCATTGTCTCTCCTCAAAGCCCGCGGAAATTGGCTCCCCAGCCATCGACGGGCAATGCTGATAGTCTGAAACGGCAGCAGATTTCTTCTCAGGTATTTTTTTTTGTTTGTTCCGCCTTTAGGGTTGATTTTTATCAAGCGTCGTCTGATGTATTCATTTGAACTACCAATATTGTTCTAGACAAAGGTCAGAGAACGACTGGTCACACTTATGACCGCCTCTGGCCTCCCCGTCGGCCTTCCAAGATCGTCGTCGGTGATTTTCTCACAATCGTCCAGCGATATTCATCATGAAGACAACACAAGACCACAGAACATGCCAACAAGAGCATCCAATTCTCAATACTCATCGTCTGAACTCATCTCCCATCAAGATGAACTGGAAGCGATGTCAGGGTCGAGCATGGCCAATGCTGGAAACGAGAGCATGACCACGGATTCCTTCCCGAGGGTCTTCAAGGAGTTTGATTTCTTGGAGGTATGTGGATGCTATAATTTATGTATTTTTAAATGAATTCTTGACATTTCATTGATTTCAGGCTGAACATGACACGATCTCAGAGTCAAATGACAGTTGTTTCAACTACTTGTCGACCATGCGTCCTCAGCATCGAATGTCCAATCACATTGATACAGAAGAGCCGGAGAATGATGGAGACAATGAGGATGACTTCCTCAATCCAAACGATGATGAAGAATACGAAGAAGACGATGATTTGGAGATGTCTGGAAGTGGCCTTTCATCTAATATTACAGTCAGCTCAAGAGGGAACATTGTCCGACAATTTGGGCCTAAAGGAAGAAGGAGAATTCAAAGAGCGGCACAGCGAGTTAGAAGACCACTCAGTGGAGGTATGATGGATAAAAATTTTGGGTTTGGGGAGTGTGTTGAGATGTGGTCCACTTGATTTTGAAAAAAAATTTGTTTCAAATTTATGGAGGGTTCTTTTGTCGGTATAGAGGTGACTATGATTGATTTTATTCTTTCAGCCAGCGATTCCAACGACGTTTCCTCGGACCGAACTCCCGTCCAATCGGTTAAACACAGCGACGCCTCTTTATCCTCATCAGATTCGAGTGACGATGAATTGGAGGAAGACGACGACTTCCCCGCCGATTCAAACCCAACCTTCTCGTACTACAATGCCACCCACGAACCAACGCTCTCGGTCTCAACCCCACACACTCGTCCGATCTCCCATCAAAGTCCAATTGAGACCAACTCGACGACTTCATTCCAAATCGCTGATGATACCACTGCAATGATGGAGACGGCATCTTCAGTTCAATGCAGATCAGAGTACTCGTCGAGTCAACAAGTTTCGGATACGATGTTGAGTCGACAGTGCAAGTTCTATCTGGAATGTAATCATCATATCAGTGGATTGGTAAGTGAAATATAATTTATGTTGTATCTCGGATGTTGTCGATTAATGGCAAACTGAACAGATTTTTTTGTGGATTAAGAAGCAAGTTTGTGACGTGTTTTATTTCTTTTTACTTTCAGAACGAACGTCAGTGGCTGTCGTTGTCAGCTGAAGTGATCGGAGACCAAAATGGAGATCTCACCGCCAATTCCATCCTAATATTCAGCCAGATCCTGAGGGAGAATTGTGTCCGGTTGTCCAGTTTACTCCGGGATGCCTCCCACATGCTGTCCAGTAATATTACGGTATCTACCGACCGGCCAGTCCGAGATGTCTCGGTGTATTTTAATCATGCTTTGAATGCCATCCTCAAGTTGGGAGAGTTCCCATTTATCTTCACCACTCCCCACTTTGTAAGTACTGTTATGGTTGTGTTTGATTTTAGATTTACGGTTGGATAATCATTGAATTATATTTGTTTTGGCATAATCGTTTTCTCTTTTCAGTTGAGAGCCACGAATCTACTGCAATCCCAACAAGACATGATCTATTTTCTGCATCAACACTTTGAGACATTCATGGAGAAGAGAGAGCAATGTATTAGAGCCCTGAATCAGATGAGAGCATCCCTCAAATTACAAACTCTAGGATCTCAGAAGGAGAATATAAACAATCAAGAGATGGAGCTCTGCAAATGCTTTGAAAGACTCTTCTTCCAATTGTTGAGCATTCTCGAGAGATTCAAGGGAATTATTGGGCTGATCAAGAGCTCTCCCAATTCAGATGTAAGTTTGGGAAGGAAATTTTTGAGGGATTGAGTGCTTCTTCCTATTCGACTACAATATAGGTGCCATTCTGTTTTTTATTGATTAATCCGATCATTTTAGGAGTTCGACTTGTCCCCAGCAGTCTCCCGTCTCCATCATGACCTCCTGGAATCGGTCAGTGACGTCCCGTTGGGCGATACAAGAACCTCGACCACTTCTTTGAATGTCCCACTAAACGAACAACTCATCGATAAACTGTTCCTTCATTTGACCAACAAGAACTTCCGGAATGCGCTAATTACGCTCAGACAATTGAGGTGGGAGATTTGTCTTTCATTAGGTTTTTACGTTTTTTTTATAAAATAATTTTTAATTTTTATTTCAGAAGTCAATATGGAAGTGAGTTCGGATGTTGTGATCACATGGATGTAGATGTTCTTCTCGTCCAATTCTGTCGCTCTCATCGCCTCAGGACATGGGCTTTGATTGGATCGTTGGACTCGTTAAATCAAGGTTCCGATCATCTGAAGGAAACGAATATGCAAATGAGTGCCCTGGTCCGTTCCATGGAAAGAGAAACCTCTGTGCGATCGTCAAGAGTGGGATCAGTCACGGAACCCTTCCAATAATACGATTTAAACGTGATATTAATAATATTATTATGTAACACTGCTCTTTTTCCTAAGTCATTTGCCGCCTCGCGACTTATTTTGTAAGCTGTAACTGTTATACCGCCCGAAACGAGTATTTCCACCAGATTTGTAGCTTTCCAAATGTGCAACATTGCATATTTCCCCCGTAGTCATCTCACATTCCCAATAATCTCTTAATATTTATTGTAATAAAAATAGATACTATTGAACCGGTAGTAACTAAATCATTCCGATTATGAGTGTGTTTACCAACGCCCATTTGTTTGTCATGTCCTCAATATGGGGAATGGGAATTGACCTCAGAGTAATTAGGTGTTCACGGAGAGAAGGATTGGATTGGAATGACAACTAAACGGTAAGTTTATTACCCAATTAGACTTGATTTTTGGGGGTTTCAAGGGGAAAAAAGATGGTTTTCCTTTGGCTTGAAGCTTTTTTGCATCAAAAATATAGTCTAGGAGAAGTAAAGGATGTATTTGAATATGGGAAATCGCCTTTATTCTCGGTATAAATCCTCCTAATTAAACTTTTTCAGCACCGTCCTTGTTGCTTTCACAGTCTTCTCGATGATCTCCCAAGTAATTTCCCAAGAATCCCAGCCCTCTCTTCCTTTGATGGGTCCAAGCTCGGCGGCCGTAAGTTAATTCCCAATCAAACCATAATCTTTTTTCTCAGTTCCCTCTACGCAACAGTTACGTTCCTCAGGCAGTCTCATTCGCCTCTCCAGCCTACGTCTTTGCCAGTTATTCTTCGGGCGGATATCGGCTTCAAGGTCAAGTCGAAGACGACTCCGATGACAAAGAGGACGAAAAACGCCGCAAGTTCATGGTTTATCGACGATTCCATTGAATAAACATTACTATTTACACTACTATTATTCGATTAATTAACAAGTTTTTTTAATTGGACTTATCGTCATTATCAACAAGTCCGACGGTGAATAATAGACCTGTTCTACTTCGATTATACCTTGAGAACCGAAAGGAAATCGAAAATGCGGCGCGACGCAACGAATCTGAGTCAAGGACGAGATCCGAAAACCCCAAACAAGCGTTTTTTCGCGCAAAATATTTTACTTGATCGAATTCCGGATGCATTTCGCTAAAATACGGCAACGATTTTCATTTGGAAAGCTTCTGAACTTTGTATATCATGCCGGTTTAGTCTTACTGATAGCTGGGATTTATTTTTTGCTTGTTCAAACAATTTTCACTCGAGAATTGGCCTTTTCTGTGATGAATGTAAGTCACATTTTAGCTTAGAAATTGCTTCTGATTGCTTAGTAAATGTTTCCTTGTAGAAAATACTTACTAAATTAACAGTTGACAACGTTGTAGATCGAAAAGCACATCCGGACCAATTACTTTTTCCTCGGCGACTTTCTCCATCTCCGAAAGATGGAGTACCTATGGCCAATCTCGACGCACCCCTTCCTCTACGTATCTCATGCCTTGGCCGCGTACATTGTCTCTCGGGAACTGTAAGACAACCTTTATTCAAACCAATTTTTAGAGTTTTATCCGAGGGATACGGTAATCTCACAAAACGATTGCTGATTATTTCTTCCGCCGGCTTTTTATGGACAAGGTTACAACAAAGACTCTCCGAATTCCATCTAATTGTATTGGTTCTGAGTTACTTTCATTATCTAATATCTCTTTCAATTGCTACGGGAGTATGTGTAATATCGGACAAGATACGACATGGAAAGACAAAGGTGGAATAAATTCAAATAAATAGTAAACGAATAAGAAATCGGGTATTCGCTGACCAAACAGTCGTTCTTGGAGGCCTTCAAGTCTTTATTTTTTTATCGTAGATCCGTCATACACATCAACTAATCCAATATAAATTTATATCACATAAAATATAGCATATATCTTGCTAAATTACTCATCAATCGGAGGTTCCGGTCGATTTCTTTCGCTCGAAAATTGGAATCCAGCCATTTCGAGGACTGTTTTGTCCGGATTATCGTCCCAATTCCCGGGCAATGGGACTTTTTGATTTCGTTCTGCTGCCATTCTCTGTCGCAATTTTTGAGCGGCTTGTGCCTTGAGGGCAGCATCATCTCCGCATCCCCAAACCTCGATCGCGGCCACATTATCGAAGCCGGCGTTCACTGTAAATGCGTCCTTATATCCCACGCCGAAGCCCGAAGTTCGGTATTTGAAGTTGCAGAAGATGGGCTCGGGGCTTCGACTTTCGAACACCTTGAAAGTTGGCGATATCCTCAGGCATTTCGTGAATGAGGAGCCAAAATTTTTGGTTGTATGTCTAAAAAAATATAAGTTAAACTCAACAAATGTACTAGACATACCTCCATTCCAAATTATTTGCTATGACAAAAATCTGGCCGTCATTCATCTTGAAAATGGCTACAGTTGGACTTTGATATCCAAAAACCTTTCCTTCGAAGCCATTGACACTCAGTCCATGGTTGCCACTGTCGTATAATATGTGCCAACAGGGCATGTCGACACCGGTTGGACGCTAAAATACGAATTTCTTTTTACCAAATAGTAATCCAATCTTTTTACGACCTTATTTCATCCTTCGAACAATATTTTACCTAAGTGAATATAAAAAGTCATCAAAAACTTGATACTTACCTTATTCTGAAAGTAGACCATTTCCGGGAGAGATCCTTGAAGAACCAGCATTTGGAATGGCGATAGTAACTCTGATTCGGATGCAAAAACAATGTTTTCTGGCAGGGGGGACACTCCATTCCTCAACTTCCCTAATAAGCAGGTGTGGACCAGACCTGGAGAATTGCCTTCGATATATTGCGTTGGACTGGAACGGGCCTGAAATCACTCAAATCAACGTCATTTCATATACCATCCAATCTTATAGCACAAATTATATTCCACTTACATCGTCACAAAAAGATGAGATAAAGTTGTTTTGTTCATCATTCCGCGACTTTCCCACCGTCTCCAAAACAGCTTCGCAAAACTCCTCTATGGATTCGGAATTCTCCACAAAGTCCTGAGCCCGCATTTCGTAGAGATTGTAAAATTTCTCGGCAAAACATTGTTGATCCACTGGTTTTTGGTCGAAGAACCGGTAAAGTATGGCACCCAGATGATTTCCAAAATGAGTCTGAAATGTCAAGCATACAGTAAGCCAACGACAAATTAATTGAGAAGTCAGTGAAATTATTTTACACCAAAATATCATGTTCATCCCTGCTGTATAAATAAACGACAGTGATGATAAACTTTCAACTTTGTTAACATGATTTCTAAAATCTCGAATAAGAAGAGTCAAGACCGAAAGTGAAGGTCAACCAGTTTCTTTCGAGTTTCATTGGGTTTATCTCAATTTATCTTCAAATCTATCTGCTGTCATGCTTAAGATTTCTTCCATTCTTTTTCTAGCTTTCTCCAGTGTTGTTCATCCCTATCCTATCCAAAATGGATTCCAGGACGATTGGGGGCTGCCACGTGAGTATTCTCAGACAATGCGAAGATCTAAGGCTTCGGGTTGGCTGTATTATCCATTAGTAAAGTGATAGACAAGTTGCTCAAAAAAGACAGTTCTTTTCGAAAAAGGATTTGCATATTTCATATTGGGGCCTCAGACGTCCTTGCAAAAGAGCAGATCAAGCATACCTTTATACTATGAGATATAAATATATTATACTTGATGACTAAACAGGTTCCTTCAATTTTTTAAAAAGCTGATTAGTATAGGCCAAATATTATAAGATCATGTCTAAAATAACAACCTAAGGCACAGACTAAGCTCTGCTTCCATATAAAAAATTATCTTTCAGCTCTCGACTTCAAGTCGCCGATCTGGGATATCCTCACCGGGATGTTACATCTCTCTTCAACGATTGGTCTGGACCCTATGAACTCCGTAAACGCCATGCCGACAATCCGTCGACATCACGACAACTCCACAGAGATCGAGATGACTATTCATGGGGTCAATCCAGATGCCATCAACATTACCATTGACAAACAAATTCTGACTATAGAGCATACAAGTGCTGGGAGAGTACAAGACCTAACAGTTCAGCGAAAAATCCATGAAGAGTTCTGGCTTCCACGCGATGTGAAAAAGGACGAAGTCACTTGGAATGTGAAGGGGACTCATTTGAGTATTCATATTCCACCTAGTCACGGAGAAGTTGAAAGCAGAAGTGTGCAATATCAGTTGAATAGTTTGAAGGGAAGAACGAACGGGAATAATCGAGCTTGGGGACAAATTTCGTTCAACAAAGAGAAGAAGTAATTGATTCGACTACCTAATCTTAATTCGTATTATCCATGCATAGATAATATAAAAAAAGTCGTTTAAAGTTATTTAACCTTATAAATATATTTTTTTTACATAGTAAAATAAAATTTACCGTCAAATCCTCCTTTGTAATGACATTCCCATCCGACGAAACTCTTGCGAACGCCTTCACGGCCGTGTCGAACATCGGGGGTCTCTGATTCTGTTTATTCTTGCCATGGCTGGACTCCGAGTTACCCATTCAACTGAAATAATATTTACATGGTTGAAAACGGTCTCGAGTTTAACAATAATCTAATCGCGAAAGTGGAGAAAGAGCGAGTCACGATCTAAAATCTGTTTCTTTTTTGTTTTCTATTTGACAAAAGTCAAATAAAAAAAGCTGGTAAGGCTGTCAGAAACAAGCAAAGCAACAGCAAAAAGGAAACAAGTTAGCGATCAAGCTTGAAAAAACAACTGGGAACTTGCTTCAAAAGGAAACAACACGCAAACAACGAGGCTACCATGATCGACACATGGGTAATATAAACTAAACCAAAAAAGCATCACAAAATTCCATCCCGATTTTCCATTCATCGACTACTCAGATATTTATAAATACTAATATTAGTATCTGAAATCTGCGACAACTTTTTCTCAATAAATTCCAAAAAAAAATCTGGATGGAAATTTTTCAAAGCGAACACTTGTCTCGTGTCAATTCTCACACTTTTCCCGCCTTTCAACGTGTTTGCACGCATATGCGTGCTAGCGCATCCTGCGGCATCCCTCAACGAAATTATGCCGGATAGGACTGATAAGAACGTTGATATACCCAGCTTTTGTTTAGAAACATGGTTAATTCAGTCATATTTTTGTGTTTCAAATGGAACGTTACATTGTCTCCTTGTTCGTGACTTTTTCATTTACTTTTTCTTGTTTTAGAACCATGACAGATTCTCAGGATGAGGAGTTGGCCACGCTGACGGATGAGATGAAGAACGTCCACATAACGCCAGCTCCGGAAGTGTGTAAAAGTAATGATTACTCTCACGTTTCCACAGCATGGGATCTGTCGTCGGATGAAGGCTCACAATCCGGGTCGCAGCCAGGACCTTCCCAGGCTGCGAAAGGAAATGGAGACCTAACCGATGAGGATCAAAGCGTTTGTTCGCAGGAAGTTGAAGAAGGAGAAGGAGCAACGACGGGTGATGAAGATGAGAGGAAGCCGAAGGCGAATGTTCTGAAGAAACAGATGAAGAAAGGAAGGGAGGAGAAGTATAATAGGAAGCCGATAAGTAATGAGGAGGTACGCATTTTATCTTTAATGTTTATGTCTTTAGGATCAAATTGTGTTGTTTTTTGAATAACATTGGAAATTCCATTTGACTTATTTTTGATGGTGTTGTCGTTGGAAAGACTCTGTAATTGGTTGTAAATGCATTGCAGATTGTCAAACTTCTGGTGGACAAGAGAGAAGACATTTTCAAGCAGTTGGACGTCTTTATGCGAGGGATAAAACTAAAGGAGTACAATAAAAATACAAAGTTTTCAGCAATTATTATGGATAAGATTAACATCACTGTAAGTATTCTTCCCTTCTTTTGTTTTCATTCTGTTAGTTCTCGATGTTGGACTTATTCAATGAGAGGTGCACAAAGATTGGATTCGTGGTATCTTCTTTGTTTCAAACCGAAAAAGAACCGGCCGCCCTCAACTGCATGGTGGCATTTCTTCCGAGGTCGAATGACATTAACGTCTTTTTTTCTGGCTACACCGAACTTATCGACCTCATGGCAGATTATCTAAAAAATCGTAAAGAATTTTTTAAATTTCTTTCTGTGTTTTGGTAAAGTAAACTTTAATATCTCTTCAGCCCATCATTCCCCGACTCCACAATGCTCTCTCGCCGTACTGGAGCGCATGCATATCATTCCCAATCTCGGGGAAAGGAAGAGGTTCAGCGGATATGCGTTATATTGCACATGCTGCGAGCATCATATAAAGGGAATGCTCGGGGTCATGGAGCATGTCCGATGTTTGGAACATCAACTGTTTCATGAGGTAAGGACGTGATTCAAATTAGTTTTGCGAGGTTTTGGCCTGGCTTTAGGGTTTTTATCAATTTTATTATTATTTTTTTTCTTTTTAGAGGCTAGAATCTAGAAAAAAGCTGTACGAATACGTGGTTCGTCGACCAGTGGGAGAACCCACGACGTTGTCGCGTTTTTTGATTCCCGAACTCAACCTACAACACCAGAGGTTGCTGGATATAATGGCAGATCGGGAAGCACTCGACATTGATTCTCTGCGGGGCTTCCTTGCAAAAAAGATTGCAATTGATTTGAGGGGTAAGAATACTCTGGAGATATTTTGGTATTTGATTTCTAGATTTTTGAAATATTCGATCTTATTTTGGTATCTAAAACATGATTCTTATAACTTTTAGAATTCACCTCATCCTCTCCTACGGTTACTGTGACCTTATTTGGAGGCATTACAACTGGTCTGATCTCCCCCGGTCGGCCTTTCCACGTGGATGCTTACATTGATATCAGATGTGAAAAGGAACCCCCGGCCCAAAAAAAGAAGATCTGGCTTCAGAGGGTGTTCCACAAATCCCGGGCTTGTCTCGACTTTGCCTTCCCCGGCGCGACAGCGGTTGTTTTATACCGGAAAAAGCCGATTGACGTGTTTTACACGACGGATCATAGGGCCTTGGACGCGGTGAAGGCCTCAATGTTACTTAATTTTTACTGTTCTTTCTTCCCGTTCTTCCCCTTTGCCGCTTTCCATTTGAGGTGTTGGGCGACGGTATGTTTGCACTGTCATTTGGAAGAATAGGGGATGAAATTTTGACTGGTTTCGGAAAAAAATCCTTGTTTTTTAGATGTAAAATTATCTTTGAAGTAGATTTTATCGAATGAAATTTTCTGGGGCTCTGTGATTCACTATGAGAAATACGGTAGCATCTTTCAGAGAATGGGATTCACCTCAACGTTTGATGACCGAGGAGTCTCCGGCTCGGCTTGGGACATCATGACCCTATTCTATTGCCAAAGGATGGGCTGGCTCCCCTATATTAATGAAGAGATCATCGAGATGTCATGGGACGAGTTTTTTTCTCTTCCCTACCCCATTCAACAACAAAAGGTCCAAAAGATTGTAAATGGGTCTCGGCTCGCAGAACCGGAGGCTGTTCCTCTCATTGTTTTTGGCCTCTTCCGATTCTATGGCGCGGAATTCGATCCAGCGGAAGTGATCCAAATTACGCAAAGAGAACCCGTTTTCAAGGAGAAGAATGGCACGAGAACTTGGAGAGTGGAATGCCCCATCTCCGGGAATAATCTACTGCAATGTCGGGCCGAAGTCGACGCTTTTTTGCAGGCAGTTTTCTTCTACGCGGCCGTGGCGGAAAGTCAAATGAGGGACGGACGGGGGGATACGCAGCCATTGGAGTAGGTGGAAGAATATTTTGGTAGATTTCCGGATCTATATTTATATTACACTTGTTGGAGATGATGTGTTATTTATTTTAGGACTGTTTTGTTCAAGAATCTCCGAGGACACAAACTGTCATTCGTCCTTTTGGCTGGACGGAATTCTAAAAGGTCGGATATCTTCTACCCGTTGTCTGCTCCGAATCCTGGGATTTGGGCGCTTCATCCAAAAATTGTGAGTTTTTTAGAGAAAGGTTTTATTAATGTTACTAAATTTGAAATTTTAGTTCACTCCCAACCTACTTTGCGATTTTTGCGGAGGAAATCACAAGGAAAGAGAATGCCCTCGGCTCAGTGTGATCAGTGTCACGGTGAATGTAAAGGATAAGGTCTTGAACCGACTCTCCGAACTGATCGAACAACAGTATGAAAGCCTGAAAGCGAGTGAACAATTCATAATGGATGCCCAAAACTTTATTCAGGAGCTACAAGTCGATCTGAGAGAACATTTGCAAAATGAAAACATTCGATTGGACCTGTTTGGCTCACTGATCAGCGGATTTGGGAACATGTCCAGTGATCTGGATGTTTGCCTAAGGCTGGATTATGAAGACGTGGACGAAGGTGAGGGCTTTTGAGGAAGAAACAGAGCTTTGAGTTTTCGAAAAATTAAAATTTGTTTATTTCTAGATGATACCGTCGGTCATTCCCTCCTGAGACAGATCCATTGGCATTTAACCGAACGCAAATTTGACACCCGCTTGGTTGCCCATGCCAAGGTACCCATCGTCAAGTTCAACACCGAACAGTTTGGATGGAGCGGCGACATCTCCTTCTACAATTGCCTCGCCCTCCACAACAGCGAAATGCTCCGGGAATACTGCGACTTCGACGACCGTGTCCCCCAACTCGGCGTGGCCATAAAAGCCTGGGCCAAGGCCTTCGATCTGAACGATGCATCCCAAGGAACCTTCAGCTCGTATTCGTTGATTATCATGATGATTTATTATCTGCAAAAGGCGGGCGTTTTACCAAGGCTTCAGGATCCGATCTCATGCCCCGGACTCAAGGATCATGAGCCGAGATCGGTGGGCGAATGGACGGTTCATTTTTACAAGCCAACGGAGGAATTCAAAAGAAACTTTAGCAGAAATAATAAGACGGTGGGGCAGTTGTTCTCCGGGTTCTTTGACTTTTACATCGACACTTTCTCCATCAACGATGAGGTGGTCCAGATTAGAACTGGCCGCACTCTGACCAAGATTGAGAAGGAATGGACCAAATGCTTGTGGGCTGTGGAGGATCCCTTCGATCTAAATCACAATCTGACCTCAGGCGTGAAACGAGTTAGTAAGTGTCCGGATTTTTTTTTTTTTTTTTTGTAGGAGAACAATTTTTCTTGAGAGTTTAATAATTTTTTTTTGTAAAAACGTTTTGTATTGCAGCCGGTCTCTATGTCGTCCAAGCCATGAATATCATGCAGCATATCCTCCGAACCCAGGAAGCCAAGATTTGTTCGCCGGACTTTACCCTCAGCAAGCTGGAAGAGTTTGTTCCGAATCCAATGGGAGCCGTGGGAAAGGTCTGCTTCAATTGCCGAGAAAAAGGGCATACGGTGCAAAAGTGCCCCAAGTTGGCAGAACAGAAAAAGTAAGTGGGTCTACTGTAGGATCTTGAAGTTAGGGTGGAGTTTTGGTTTTTGCAGCAACTTTTTTTTATTTCTTTGATTACTGTTATTGATTTTTTGTTATTTTTAGGCATTTAAAACAAATCAGAAAGGAAAGATTGGCCAAGAAAGCGGAGAAAGACACGAATGGAGCGGAGGGGAAGAAACCTTCAGCACCTTTCAATAGAATGCACATAGAACGGAATAAGAGGCCCCCTCAGGCAATGAGGAATTATGGGCAATCGAAGTCGAAAGTCAACAAATTGATCGAGAATCACATAAAGACCGTGTGGGCGTTGAATTCTGATACTTCAAATGGCTCGGAAGAGCCGACGAAACCAGCAGAGTCTTCAAATGGAAACGAATATGCCCCAAGTTTGAGCCCTCAAAGTAAGTATACGGTAGATTTTTGTTTTTCGGGAATATTTCATTATTTTTATTTGATTTTTTAGAGAGCAAAGAACATTTATTGAATCACAAGAAGTCAGATAAGGGATCGACAAAGTCTTCTTCGAAGCCCCCAGCCAAAAATGAGACACCGGCGGGGGAAAGAGATCCAGTCCAGAAGGGCAAGGCCAAGTCAAATGATAAGACCTCGGCCAAGTCAACTGCGGCAGTCCAGAAAAATGGGAAGTCCGCCGAGAAAGTCCACAACTCCCAGAACAAGCCTGCTGGTTCAGTCGAGGAGACTCGCGCCAAACCCTCCAAGAAGATGGAGAAGGAAGAAGTAAGCACTGTTGAACCAATACAGAAGATTTCGGCCGGGCCGTCTAAGGCAGCCAAACCAGTCGAAAATATTTCTAAGCAAACAGAGCCAGTCCAAAATCCCCAGGTTGAATCAGCTGGGCCTGCACGGAATTCCGATCCAGACAAGTCCTCGAAAAAGAGGAGCAAAAAGAAAAAGAAGAATTAAAATGGAAATGCCTTCCCTTTCTTGTTATATTACTTTTTAACTCTGATCTCGGAGTGTTTGAATCTCATTTTTTTGTTTTTATTACTTTGTATTCTCGGTTTTGAGCTGTGATTTAATCTCTACACCACCAGGCGCGGGCCGAAAATCCGCGCCTGCTAACGGAGTTGGACGATTGGGGAAACCGAAAAGTATTATTTTTCTTGCATCAAATGCCGAAATTAGGATAATCGAGGTTGCTCATTTCGAAAATGACATTCATTTTTTTGATTCGTACTTTTTTTCTTAAGTAGTACTGTAAAGTAGTAATTTTTGATTTTTTCATAAATACTCGATTTAGCGGTTTTCGAAAATCATGTTCATTTTTTCTAGTTGTTACTTTTTTCTTAAGTAGTACTGTTATATAGTAATTTTTTGAAAATTTTTCACAAGGAAAGTACTTCTATGGGGTGTGGAATTACCGGTCGAGATATAAATCAAAAAATTCGCAAAAATTTTCTGATTCAGAATATACAGGGTGGGGCATCTTTGTGGCCCGATTTGAATTGACTATAACTTCTTTTGTTTTTGGCCAAATTTTAAAATTCTTTTTTTCCCTGAATCGTCAGCCAACCCCATTTTGTTTGATACCAAATATGGTATACATAGCTAAGTGTCATCTACAGTTATTGGATTTATTCTTGGAGTTCATTTTTTCGGTCGTTTTTCGGTTGTTTTTTCGGTCTTTCCCGGTGTGTCCGGAAATGGAGTACGGTGCGGAAGAAAAATATGGTGGAATTTCCCCTCCCGAAAATCGACGCTGAGAATAAGAACAAAAAGCGAAGATCAACCTCCAGAGTTCGTCGAATGGTCCTTGCTGAAGGCATTCCCTCGGTTTTGGCCAAGCTTCGTGTACTCATATGCGGATTTTCTCGGAATTTTGACAAAACTTCTTAAATTTTCAGCTCCGTTCGTACTCATTTTTCCTGCTTTTTTTGTTTCCTGTGAACGCTGCCAGTCTCAAGGAACTTATTCCACGAACGTCGAATTGTCTTGCGATCTGGAAGTTGGGCATTACATCCGTATTTCATGCGGTATTCCATTTGAACATTTATCGCCGAACCGTACTTTCCGTACCAAACCACAGATCAAGCTTTTTCTTGCACACCGTACACCATTTTCGGACACACCGGGAAAGACCGAAAAAACAACCGAAAAACGACCGAAAAAATGAACTCCAAGAATAAATCCAATAACTGTAGATGACACTTAGCTATGTATACCATATTTGGTATCAAACAAAATGGGGTTGGCTGACGATTCAGGGAAAAAAAGAATTTTAAAATTTGGCCAAAAACTAAAGAAGTTATAGCCAATTCAAATCGGGCCACAAAGATGCCCCACCCTGTATATAAATTAGCTGCCTAATTTTGGTCTGATGACATGTTTTTGTCCTCAGAAGTTTTCTCGCGACACCATGCAAGTGTCTTTTTGACCGTGTTTTTACCAATAAAAAAATTTTTTTTTGCGCTAAATTAAATTTTGAGGCCTTGACAAGCCTTAAAATATCAAATTGGATTACAACTACACCTTAAAAATAGTTCCAATGTAAAAAATGGGTTCTAGTGTGGCAAAAAGAATCGAACCCGTTTTCCTCGGATTTCCAACCCAGCGCTCTAACCACTCGGCCACACCGCTCTCTTCCGAAGGAAGAGACCGAGCGCGCTTTTATTGCCGCAGATTTTTTTCCTCGAGAAAAACATTTATTAAAAAAACTCGCTGATAGATCAAAATTAGGCAGCTAATTTATATATATTCTGAATCAGAAAATTTTTGCGAATTTTTTGATATATATCTCGACCGGTAATTCCACACCCCAAAGAAGTACTTTCCTTGTCAAAAATAATTTTCGAAACGAGCACCTTCGAAAACCCCTAAATCCAGTATTTTTGGAAAATTTTCAAAAAATTACTATTTAACAGTACTACTTAAGAATAAAGTAAGAATCAAGAAAATGAATGTCATTTTCGAAATTAGCAACCTCAATTATCCTAATTTCGGCATTTGTATCGAAGAAAAATAATACTTTTCGGTTTCCCCAATCGTACTTTTCCCCCAATCGTCCAACTCCGTTGGCAGGCGCGGATTTTCGGCCCGCGCCTGGTGATGTAGAAATTTTTTTTGTATTTTAACGGTGTTTTATACTTATTTTAATCCCGAGTCCTTTCGTTTAATAATGCTCATATCAGGCTTTCTTAGCGGTTTTCCCGGCGTTTTTGTCCGACGGTGGTAAATAGTTGACATGCTCAGTTTAGGAGTAGAAATGGCCAGACCAAAAATCGGGCCGTCTAAAAATCTCAGTAATTTGTTACCAATCAGTTGAATTATTCGCCAAATTGCTTGCAATTCAACTCTTTGGCTAGCGATTCTTGAATGTTTAGGCCTCTCCAGTTGTTCGGCTAGCCATTTCAACTCTTAAATTAGCCAACTATTCACGACTGTGGGACATAATCATGTTTCACGGTTAAAGTTTTTCTCGTTGATTCCTTAGAACTCGGGTGATTTTTGTTGACTGCGAACCCGGGTGTCCCATTTTATTGTGCTCAATTTTGGTTTATTTCCGGGTTACATTGTTTTATTTGTAAATGAATAAAGTCAGCCTTGCTGTATTTAAGTTCTGTTGGAATTACTGTGTTTTGAATAGTTTTTTCTCCATTTTCTTTGATCACAATTAGCCAAGGTCATTTTCTCCGATCGAGAAAAGGGCTCAGCCCTCTTTTACCTCGTTTAAAAATACTTCTGGCAGTTTGTTTTTGGGTTAGGTAACACCTAAAACAAGATGAAATGTTTCCATGGAAATATTAGGTAAAAGATATTTGGAATTAGCAAGTGATTAAGGGGTTTTAATCGTCTCGAAATTGGGCATCATCTGCGTCAGAGGTTGTTATTGTGAGTATCCTGGAATTGTAACATTATTTTTGGTGGATTTGGGCTGAGTCATGTGATTATGAGCTTATTTTTGGGGGAATTCATACCTGCCTCTTGTTGTGGCCTATGTCCTGAAGGCTGAACAATCAAATTCCCTTAATTTTCTTTATCTCAAAAGTCAAATTTACAGTTTTTTGAGCGAAGTTTGGGTTATTTTTTTGTAATAAATAGAGGTAAAATACGAATTGAGTATATTGTTTTCTTTAAAACACGTGTTTCATAAGTATTAAACAAATTTCAATTGCCCCCATGACCTAAAATTCTACAATGGCAACAAAGGAATGTGTATTTCGATAAATCATTTCTCGGGACGAATTTTTAGATCGGCCCCTGAGGCTATGTAACACCGCGTGAGTCAGTCGCCGAGGCCCTTGCTACAGATTTCGCTGAGTGTCTCTTATTTCAAATACGATTTCCAAAATGTGTCTATCGCATCTTGGCCAAATTGCCTATGGGACTGTGGCTACGGTCGCTGTGATCGCCTTCTCGGTGGCGTTGGGCACGGATGTGTGGGTGAAGACGGCCGGCAATGAGGAGCTCGGATTCATGCAACCATGCGTAACAGGGTCAAGCGAATGCAAAATTTGGCAGGAGGTAAGGCGTTGATCCGTGATTTTTCGAACAAAGGGAGTATTATTAGGATAGTTTCGGGTTTTGGCCAAGTTTCTGCCAATTTTGCCTCTCCGTTAAAAATAAAACTGGAATTTGTGAAACCAGACTTTTTGGTAGTTTTTAGGGCCGAGAGTGTCGCAATGGGCTAGATGATCTGTCCAGAGAAAAGACCCATGATTTACAAAACATAAGCCCAATTTCTCATCGTGAATGTTCAAGAACGTGGAATTTACATAATATTCCACTTTCTTAATAATAATATTATATTATAATATAAAAAATTGATGATCAAACTTTCTTTCAGTACCTTGCCGACCACCAGGTCCCAGTCTTCATTTTGCTTGGCCTCAGTATCGCGTTGGTGGCCTCTGGGGCCATCTACAACTTCACGACCTTCTTCTGCATCTGTTGCCGCTCCTTTTTCCTCTTACCGCTGTTGGGGCTGGCCTTGGCCAGTGTTCTGACTTCAGGCCCGCTATTATACTTGGTCTACCGAGGCTATGAAACGCTCGGCAAGTGTTGTTTTGATCGATATTATTATTGCCTTTAGGAGCCAACCAAACCCTCGCCAAACACGACCCCGGCTACAGTTTCTACATCGCCGGTGCGGGAGGATTGGCGTGTGTAATTAACATTATTGTCGGTGCAATTACCCTTCGTTGGACCTGATCTTCCATCGGACATATCGGATGATTTGAATTTCGCATGTTTTAGTCATCAATTTTAATAAACTCATGATTTGAATCCTCTATTTTTGGTCTTTGATCGTGTTCAAACAAAATATTAAACATAGATGGGAAGATTTGAAATTGCCTCGAGCGTTTTCATTTTTTTGAAACGCTCATTGTACTGTCCAAAAAGGGCCACTTTTTTCTAATTAGTTTCCTTCTCGTTTCCCGCTCTTTTTCGGAGGGTTTGCGCTTGAAATGAAACATGTTTGGAGATAACTCTGACAAGAAAAGAGGCGTATTTTAGTTTAAGATATTTGGTGAATCGGACTTTGAGAAATTTTATTTTTAATTTTTTTGTCATCAAAAAATTTTCTGGAAAAAATTTCGCATTTTTTTATTTTGAATAAAAAATCAACTAAAAACTTGTCTTTATGAAAAAACTAGGCCGATTTTGCAACGCTCAACCATTACCGGGTCCATGACGTCCACTTCCTGGGGCAGAATTCATTTCCGAAAAGTAGTTCAAGCGTCCCAAAAACCGCTTTTGATGGATGACTTCCATGGCATTTTATTCGGTTATCGTTGGTTCTTTAAATCCCGTTCCTTTCAATCGAATTATTCTGTTTATTCCGTCTTATCCAGTGGCTGTATTCTGATTGGAAAAAAATTTTTTGTAGCTGCTTACTATACATATTTTTTAATGAAATACAGTGCGCGACAAAATTATAACCGCACTTTAGGAATTGCTGTAACTTTTTTGTTTGTCAATAGAAATGTGCCATATTTGGCTCCAATATGCACTAGTGTCTCACGAATCATGTGCCAAAAAATTATTTCGGGAAATTTCCCCAATTTGGAAAAAAATTGAAAAAACCAAAATTTTGATGATTTTCTATGCGACAAAATTATAACCGCACTTACGAATTTGGTGAATTAGCCTAATTAAATCAATGAATAACAATAACTAATGTTTAGTTACGTTGCCTGAGGCTTCAATAACGTCGATTGAATAGCCGGGAATATTCTGGGCAAAGTTTTTTTAACCTCTTCTGGCCAATATTGTGCCAGAATCGGAAAAGTGCCTATTTTAGCTCAGTTACTGTAGCATAATGCTTGTTGTCGCGGTGTAGTTAACAAACCAGGAAGCCCCACACGTTCTCTGTCGGATTTGAATCCAAGGAACGCATGGACTCGTCCGGGATAGCAATTCCTTGTCGTTTAAGAAACAGCTTTGTCGACCAGCTAAGGTATACGCGAGCCCTGCCCTGCATTTACGTGTAGTCTGGTTGCCAATACGTTACCCGATGCTTGCCTAAGACTCCCTAGTACTCAAGGATACTTATTTGAGTTGATGTGGCCTCTAACGGAAGCACTCCGGTTCTTCGAATGCGCCGAAAGATTATCAGCAAGCCACCTAAAACCTTACGGCGCGGGAAATAATGCGTTTCTCTTCTGATTTCAAGTCTGTAATGTGGGTCATGTGTGAAGCCGTCAGGTATATCATTTGGCCATAAAATCTCCAAGGATTTCGGCACTGTACTGATGTTAAACTAACCTTTAACTGATCAACCTATTTTGCCAATGTCACCTTGGCAAATCTCGGCCGCGCTCTGCCGTGGACCCGGCCAGCTGAGGCCACCACTTCATACGACGCCCAGTGATGACGTAGCTGTGTCTGACAACCTCCAGCATAGCTTTACTGCTACAATTGAGGCCTATTTCTTAGCTTATATGAGCCCAAGGGATATTGGAGTTGGAAACTCGGCGGATATATCAGCCCTTGCTCTGCTGCAGTGGCGCAACTCTTTTCCCAGAACGTTTAGATGTGTTATAGGCTTCTGGGTTACTCAGTTAGTTGCTGGCAAATTCTGTCCGAATGGCCTACCTGAGCTAAAATAGGCACTTTTCCGATTCTGGCACAATATTGGCCAGAAGAGGTTAAAAAAACTTTGCCCAGAATATTCCCGGCTATTCAATCGACGTTATTGAAGTCTCAGGCAACGTAACTAAACATTAGTTATTGTTATTCATTGATTTAATTAGGCTAATTCACCAAATTCGTAAGTGCGGTTATAATTTTGTCGCATAGAAAATCATCAAAATTTTGGTTTTTTCAATTTTTTTCCAAATTGGGGAAATTTCCCGAAATAATTTTTTGGCACACGATTCGTGAGACACTAGTGCATATTGGAGCCAAATATGGCACATTTCTATTGACAACCAAAAAAGTTACAGCAATTCCTAAAGTGCGGTTATAATTTTGTCGCGCACTGTATTTTCCAGCTTTCCAGTGGAAGTGGACCTTTCAAATTGAACTGATATCTTTTGTGGGCCACTCCCACGGTAACAGGAGAAGATTTTTGGAAGAGAAGTCCCATAAAAATATTTGACACCAACGGAAAATTTGGAAGAGAAATGCAGGAAAATAGAATTTGGTTGTTTCTTTGGTATTGGAGGCGAAATATTTGAGATTTTGTTGACTCTGTGGGGAAGTTCAGTTCATTTGAGTGTTGGTCAAAGAATTTGGCATTTATGCTCTATGTAGGGCACAATGGAATTACTGAAAATATTAGCTCGGGCTTTGCAGAGTCAGCAGAGATATTGAACGATCTCTGGAAACGAGGGACCATAGAAAAATGTGAGAAATGATCACAATTTGAGCCCTCACCTTGTCTACTCGTTTTCCTTAACCGCTTCAGTGCATTTTCTACAGTCTGTCGTCTATTGACAAGCGCAAGCTAAGATTTTTAGTGTCTAAAAAGTGGGTTATAGAGACCATAGAAGAAAACTTTCACAAAACGCCTTTTGCCTCGATGAATTCACTTATGAATTCGCGCACTTATTCAAGGATATCCTTATGTACGAAGCGAACTTTTTCGACCACAAAAAAGTCCAGTCGATAACTAAATTCATTTTACTTTTTTTGGAGCTATCTCATCCAAAGATCCCCCGTCCTCCCACCATTTTTTCGTCAACGTATCGCGCCGTTCTCACGTCGAGGGAAAGCACTTCAAAACCCGCCCGCCGCCCCCCAACGGAAAGTAATATTCGGGCGTGGAAAAAGCCCTTCGCCGCCGCGTCCCCGCAGGCACAAAGCCGAAAGCGGAGGGCGCATGAGTTTTGGGGCCGCTCTTCTCGTTTCGGCCGCGACGCTTTTCTCTTATTCGCCCCGCATATAAAGCCGGTTTCCATTGTTTATAACGGGTATTCTCGACGCGGTTATCCCATTTTTGGCTCAACTTTATGCCGTATTTTATCCAGAGTTTCATTCAAAGTTATTTTGGTTTGAATTTAATTGAATTTTTTTTTGGATTTGAATGGCAAATGGAGTAGGCGCCGCCGAAAAATGTTGATGTATCTGAAGGAAATTGGCTTTTTACTAGGAATTACTCGTAAACTACATGGGCAACGTCTCAGCTATGTATCAGCGGGAATTTTAGAACCTAGAGATTGTAAAATACGACGTTAGCAATGAGTACTTTTTGAAAACCTTCAAATTTCGATAAAAACCCCAACTCTTGCGTTCAAGTGGCCTTTCTATAAATATATTTTATAGGCAAGAGCTGAGATGGCCATACAATATTGAGGAGAGATTTTGATTACATTTTAGTCATGACTTGAAGACATTTGATTTCGCAACACACTTTGCCTTATTTTTTGGCATACAGAAATTCTCAGTTTGGACATGGGTTATAAACCGACCATAAAATCATTCCCTGAAAGTTTTGGCTCAGACTTGTCAACGGCACTCAAAATCTCAATGATTTTTTCCAAAATATACACTGAACTTCTTGCCGTAGGTCCTCAATGTCTTTTGTGATAATTTGCGCCAAATTTCGTCGAAACGCAATACTTTTTTACTCATTTTTTTTGATTTCATGTGAATCCTTAACCTAAGTGAATTTAGAATTTTTTTATAACCGAGAATTTGGGGGACAAACATCTTGAGGCTTCAGAAGCCCTCCTCGAAAGTAATTTAATTAGGATTAGAGTGTTTCGGGGTGGAAAAGTGAGCCCTCAGGGCCTCTAATCGCCTCCATTTTCCCGGAGACTTTTCGGGGCAAAAAACGGAAAATCCGATGGTATTATGCATTTTTTTTGAAAGGATATACATCGGGGTGTGTAATGGCATGGTATTATTCCGGAATGACATTTGGTTGATTAGGGGGATTACTAAAGAAAGAATGGTTGTTTGTAGCGAAATTGGGGGACAATTTTGAATAATGTCAGGTCACTTGAGCTTCCTTGGAAGTTCAATTTTTTGCAGAAATTCTTCAAAAATTTTAAGTCAAGGGTTTTGATGAGAGGCTAGAGATTTTTAGCTCCTTTTTTGCAGAAATAATCAAGATATTTAAGTTTTTTCTCTAACCGTCTCTCTTCATTTCCTATTGTCTTTTATGTGAAAAGATTATTGAATATATCGGCTGACATTTGGGGCAAAAGTTTTTTGTGATTGATTTATGGCCCAGACAAGATATTTTTTCCAAATTTAAAATAAAATCTGAGCATTAGATAGCCTTTGAGGAATTTCCTTATTAATTTTTTTTGAGTCATCATTTTTTCAAGCATGACTTATGAGCTATTTCGTTTTTTAATCTAGATGTTTCCGTACTTTTAACGATCGTAATTAGTAGTCGCTTCCTTTCAATTTCAAATTTGAGCCAATTTTTGTCCATCTGGCCATGGTTTATGTAAAGGATGCGTCTTGATCTCTATCATATGGCCATAATCTTGGCCGAAACTTCTTTTACTTTTGGATTGGCAAACGAGTTTTCTTGTAATAGCATTTACTTAATTTACAACAAGAACTTTATGATTTTTTTGATATTATTTTGTATTCTAGGTGCCATTTTGATTGCTCAACACAAATTTCCTCCGAATTTACAATAAAAACCTGCTTATTTCTACTTCAACGTACTTCCTAGAGATTAGAAGAAAATGAAGAATGGTTAAGTTGTCCTCAACTCCGAGTCGATCCCCTCCTCTGCCCTCAGGCGCTCGCTCAATGTGAATCGGCCGTTTCGCTCGAGGATCGGCCCGCATGGGCGGCCGCTGCACCCGGCGCGCCTCCAGTCCGTCGCAGACCCAGCTCGGCGACTTCAATTTGGTCCGTTCGATCGGGAAGGGCGCCTTTGGCAAGGTGAGTGAGATTGGCATCAAATGGATTGCATTTTTAGAAAAGGCTGTATGTTAGACGTCAGAGTTGATGATGATTGAAATTTTTTGATATAAAACGGATTTTTGGCTTTTAAATATAAGCAAATTCCGCATACTGTGACTTTGAATTTTTGCAAAAGCCGAAAAAAATTTAGTTGTGTCCAATTCGATAGAAGAAAATAAGGTTTTTAGTCATCAAAAATCTATTCTGAGCAGTAATTTTTTTCAGGTCGGTATAGTTTACCATCGTGGGATGAAGAAGCACTACGCCATGAAATACATGTGCAAGACCCGACTTCTCCACAAAAACGTGGCCTTCAACGTGTTGCGGGAGTTGCAGATCCTCCAGGAGCTCAGTCATCCGTTCATTGTCAACCTCTGGTTCACTTTTATTGTAAGTCCGATGTGCATACTCACGGATGTTACATTTAGCACCTAAATATTTGACACTGTACTCTACAGCATTCATAGTCGACTTCTTTCAGGACGAGGACTACATTTACATGGTGAACGACCTTCTCCTCGGCGGAGATCTCCGTTATCATCTCATGCAATGCGGCCGCTTCACCGAGGCCCGTTGCAAGCTCTATGTCTGCGAGATAGCCTTGGCCCTGGACTATCTGCACACGAGGAACATTATGCATCGAGATCTGAAGCCCGAGAATATTCTCCTCGACGATCAAGGGCACGCCCACCTCACGGACTTCAATTTGGCCACCAAGATTGGAGAGGGAATGTTGGCAACCAGTTTCTCGGGCACAAGGCCCTACATGGCCCCGGAAATCTTGGCCACAGCGTTGGGACAACGCGAGGGATACGATGTTTGCGCGGATTGGTGGTCGCTGGGGGTGTGTCTATACGAAATGTTGAGGGGAAGAAGGCCGTTTGAGTTCCATTCTTCTTCCAGTACAATACAGGTGAGCCGAGAGGCATTTTTTATTTTCTTTCCCTTTAGTTTTTTTTCTTTTTTCGAAAATGATCTACCTAAAGCTATATATGTAAATTTGTAAGATCATAGAAATTTCAATTTTTGCAGGTCTTATCCTTAATGATAAACGGGTCTATAACGCTGCCAGCCGAATGGCCAAATGATCTCAAGAAGTTCATCCTCGACCTCCTTTGCCCATCAACTCGAAGACGTACAAATACGCTCCAAAAGTTCGCGAAACACGATTATATGCAACGAATCGACTTTGACAATGTGCTTGCAAGGTAAGAGTCGTTGGTTTGCAAAAAACTAACAACTTTTTGGTCAGCGATCCCGAGGACAAATAGGAAAAAATTAATTTCTACTAAAATTTCATAGACAATAGTCAGAAGGGAGTTTTTCAAAGCGTCAAAATTTATGATCTTTGTAGACTAAAGGCTATGGGAAAGAGGAGAGGCGGTCAGAGAAATCTTCTTTTTTTCTTTTGCGCGGGAAAAAAGTTTTTTTTTTTGAAAATGGCCTAAACGGAGCACCAACTGAAGTTTAAACGCAAATTTACTAGCCATTTTGGTCATCAGTGAGCCAAAATTTCTTGAACAATATTGATCTTCCCTTTTCAGACGGGTAATCCCATCGTTTGTGCCGAAACGCACCCGATTAAACTGCGATCCCACCTACGAATTGGAGGAGCGAATCTGCGAATCCTCCCCTCTTTACGGCCGCCATCGGCATCGACGGAAAAAGAATTCTCAAACACCCAGGGATTCGAATGATGTTGATGCTCTGAACAGGACAGCGATGAGTCAGGAAGAGCAATTGGATCGCACCTTCCGCCCCTACAATCGTTTCAGAGCTTCGGCGGAGAAGGAAAACGAGGAAACGAAGATGGATCAGAGTCCGTTGCCTTCAACCTCATCTCCAAATAATCGACCGTCCCAGGCACAGCTGTCGATTACATCAAGGAGTACCAATTGCTCGTTTGGAGGGAGGAGGTGAGGATTCGAGGCGTTTAGTAATCTTACCCAATCCTTCCAGACTCCTCGACCTCACGGATTCCAATTCGCCGCTCAACTTTTCCCCGGCTTCTTCCACTTGTTCCATTAGTAATAACACTTCGATTTTGAAGAGTCGAACTGTCACTACGGGCAATAACAAGGTCGAATTGGATGGGAAATTGTCCAAGATCTCCGAATTGGGGACATAAACTTGTCTTATCAGCATCAAAATTCTATTTTATCAAGATTTACATTGTACAGGGACTTCTTGTAAAATAAAAAATTTTTTTTGACTTTTACTCCACAAAACTGTAAAATACGTTCTCCAAATTCAAACCTGATCACATTACTTTATTGAACAGGGATTTCATTGATAAATAAACGAATTTATATTAAGTTATTGGTTCATTTTCACTAAAACAATATCAAATCTACGTTAACAACCTAATTTGTGGTTAATAAATAAAAAAACACCCGTTAAAAGTTGCTTGGATGGTGAAAAATTTTGAAATACCAAAATGCGTAGTGAAAAAAGCCTGTTTGAATCTAGCCTTCATCAATTTGGAGGCCATCAATTGGGCTGTTGTCCCGCTGATCCCGGAAATCTCGGTCGTATTTTTCTTGGACCAATGCTGCTTGATGAAAGGGTGCTGGATGGGTGGGAACGGGCTTTTCTTTTTGTTGACTTGGGTTGTAAAACCGTCCTAATTGAGTCGTCGAATTTGGGGGTTTATCTCGGACATATGGACCGACTACCGTGCTGCTGGTGGAACTTCTGGAAAAGGTCGGGCTGAAAGAGATCAAATAATAAAAAATGCTTCAACCTTTCTTCTCTTCTCACCTCCCACACCAAAAACTCTCAAATTGAATACAAAAAACTCAATTTTTACTATTTACAGGGGAAGTACCCCAAGTGCGACGCTCAGATTTTGATGAAACTTGTCACAAATTTAGATCAAATTTTTCTAAAATATATGTGAGAATCCTTGCTCGCGCTTTGCTGAAACAACCGAGATTTTTAGATCGAAAGTCGGCAAAAATTTAGGACTTTTTACCGAATTTCGGCACGAAAAGTTTCATGCCTATTTCAACCGTAAAGGATAACGTTTCTACAAAAAATCAAATTTTTCCGCACGAAACTGCCAAAATTATGGCCAAAAAGCGCTTTTCTCTCTGACCGCTCTCCACGTTTAGCGTACTCTCTCGGCGGCAAAAATCGTTCGATATCTCGGCGGCGCCCGCAAAACGCGAGCTAAAACTTTCAGGAATTGATATTTAGTCCATACCCGACGTGTGTGCAAAATTTAAAGAAAATCTGAGCGTCGCACTTGGAGTACTTCCCCTGTTAATGCCTACTACAATATACAGGGTGGGCCACTCGAAACTGACAAGTTGTTTCTTTGAATTTCTCCGCGGAGGCTCTGCGGATTTTTCTAAAATTTAGATTTTTCTGGAGCTGAGACCCGCCATTTTCAACCGACTGAATTTCAAAAAAACGTATTTTGAACTAACCTTTCCATGCCTTTTCAAAGTTTTGAAAAATTATTTTCGGGCCGAAACCGCTAAAACTTATAAAATTTTTGGAATGATTTTCAATTGACTTTCTCGGACTTGGAAAATTTTTGGTTTTTTTTTGGGGAAATCGTGGAGTAAAAAGTTGCTAGTGTTCGCCTTAAACTTGTTTAAAGCAAATTGAAAGCCACAAGAGGGTTGTTTGTATTACCAGCAGGGCACAAACATTCAAAAAAAAAAATTTCAAAAAGATTGTTAAATTCGACGTCAATGGTTATCGAGTCAGGCCTGGGGCATCTTGAAGCTCAGATACGTAATTAAAATTACGTATCCACGATACGTAATTTTAACTGCTCATGACTCTCAAAGGCACTGCAAGTTTGTGATGCGAGAGGAGGTGGACATAATAACTCAGATAGAAACATTAATAATCAGATTGTTAAATAAAATTGTTTTTGAAACAATATTTGATAACTATCTGAGGTAAAACAAAGAAAATTTCACCCAAGAACTCGGAAAAATGTCCAATTTTTCAAAATCATTCCAAAAAATTTCCAAGTTTTAGCGGTTTCGGCCTGAAAATAATTTTTCAAAACTTTGAGAAGGCATGGAAAGGTCAATTCAAAATATATTTTCTTGAAAGTAATTCGGTTGAAAATGGCGGGTCTCAACTCCAGAAAAATCTAAATTTTGGAAAAATCGGCGGAGTCTCCGCGGAGAAATTCAAAGAAACAACTGGTCAGTTTCGAGTGGCCCACCCTGTACAAAATCCCCCAATTCCCCACCTTTTCATTGGTTCTGTCGGCGGTGCCTTCCTCGATCTATAAGTTGAAGATTCCGAGTCGAAACTTCCTTGACTGTTCCCCTTTATTGATCCTCTTCTCGCCGTTCGATTGGCTCCTCCAAAGTTGGGCATTCCAAAAAACATCTTGCCCGTCGAATGATTCGAGTAATTCTGGCCATATTCTCTGTATCCATCCCTGGAACTGTCCCTCGAGCCTTCTCTGGGACCGTCTCTTCGATCATCTCTTGAAGTCGAAGCCGATGCCGTTTCTTGTTTTTCCTTCTTCTCTGCTGTCAGAGGAGGAGGGGCGGATGATTCTGGTTTGGGATCCGGTTCCACGACTTTCGGTATTTTGAAATTCCTCAGGCTATTGATGGTGGGACGTCCCATATTTCCGAGGACATCTTAAGCAATAAAAATTTAGGTCAAATCTTATAAAACCCACAAAAAAAAGGGACCAATCGCACCACTAACCCATTCGAAAAGCCCTAAACTAACCTTGTAATGCCGAATTTGACGTTGAGTCCTTCCGTTCGACCTTCTCCTTCTCCCTTTCCACGGTTGTCCGATCACTTGTTTTCCTTAATTTCTTCTTTTTATCGTCCAATTGTGAAGTTGCCGGACGTTTCAATCCAGATCTAGGTTCCTCTCTTCCAGTTTTGATTGTTTTTGTCAACTTTTCTCCTGGCTTCTCTTCGATTCTGATCTTTTTTGGTTCTTCTCTATCTCTTTTCTTGGTCGGGATTGGAGATGTCCTCTTTCTGGTCAAAACAGGTGATGGCTCTCGGAGTTTGTAATCTCTGGGGTCCTTTGACTTCTTGGTTTTGTCTTTGACCACTTCTTTTTTCATATCCTTCAGAGGTTTCACCGCAATTCGAGAGGATTTTATTGAGGATGATGATGAAGTTGAAGCGTCATCTCGGTCTTTTCTTAACTAAAAAAGGTTCAAGTTACTCGACAGTTTCGTCATAGAAAACTCCAGAATCAAAATTACAAAAATATATATCTCACAAAATTGTATATCGCACTTGCCTTTTCTTTCTTTTCCTCCAAATCGACAATGGATAACCTCCTATCCCTCTTGTCCCTATCCTTTTTCACTCCATCCTTCTCCTTTTTGTCCCTTTTCTTTTCATCTTTCTCTTTTCTAGCTTCTTTTTCCTTCTTTTCCTTATATTCATCTTCTTTCTTTACAGGTCTGGCTAAAATAATATAAATTAGTACAAAATAGAGCCATGCTGTCTTCAAAAGTCCTTTCCGCCCATCTTTAATTCTAAAAACTTACGAGACTCCTCTTCCTTCTTGAAATTCGACTCGCTTTGCAGTAATGGAGGACCAGATTTGGAATCCTCATCGCTTTTGGCCAATGAAGGCGGTGGGGAATTTGTTGACGAATCAGGTGACGGAAAATTCGAATTTCTCTCTTGTTTCTTCTCCTTGTTCATTTCCAATTGCGGTGGATTTTGAAAATTGGATTCATCGGGCAGGTTTGAATCCTGACTGTTGTCATCATGGGAAGATGAAGATGATGATGGGGACGTGTCTTTATCATCTATTTCAGACTTGATCCGCCTTGAAAAGGGTCGGTCGTTACTCCCATCATCCTCTTCTTTAATTGGGGGCGATGCTGACTCCAATTTGGCCGACTTTAACGCGTTTTCCGATTGTTCGGCCTAAAATAATATGTAAAAATTTTCATGAGCTGTAAATCTACTTACATTCAGGGACAATCTCTGCCCAATTTGATTGATCCGAGCCGCTCTTTGGAGCTGATTCTGTTGGCTGGCCTTCAATTTCTGTTGCTCCAGCTCCCTCTCCTTCTGATCTTGTTTTATCTTGTTCAATCTTTCATTTCTTGCGGCCAATAAATGTGGTTGATAGATCTGATTGTTGTTGGCAGGGACTTTCGGAGGTGGTGGCGGGTCTGTCTCATTATCGTCTGAAGAGTCTTCCTCATCCTGGGTTTGATAATTCATCGGGATTTCGAGTTTCGTCCGTGCCATTGGTTGAAATTGAGAGGTGGGGAAGATTGAGGTGGTCTGGGGAGGGGGCATGTTCGTAAAATCCGGGTATCGACTGTAAGGATCTTGCTGAAAATACACAAAATTATACTAGACACCCATCATAAACAAAAAAATCATCAAAATTTTAATTATCATATACTACAATATAAAATTTCCTTAAAACTTCCAAAAAAACCTCCAGAAAACCAACTTTCCTACCTTTTTGATTTGATTCTGCATCTTTGCACCTTCCATTTGAAGCAATTTCCTCCTATACATCTCGATATTACTATTTTTGAACATATCCTTGATATCCGGCAATCTACTTGAATGCATTTTTTCGATTCCAAATCTATTCACATTCATCCTGAATCTTCTTTTGGAGAAAACTGTGGACAAAAATCTTCGTCCTTGTCGCCGGAACATGTATGAGACAGCCGGTTTCCATGAGATAAACAGGCCAAAAGTTTTGGGTTTAAATTGCTTCTGGATCTTTTTCCGTTTTTCATTTTGCGGATTATTCACGGTTCTTCTCTTCAGGATGTTCACGCGTCTTCTCCTTGTCACGTTGGGTTGCCGTTGAGTGACATTTCCCGACTTCAGGGCCTTCTGGAGTTCCACAAATCCTTCCGATTTCTCGTACTTGGCCATACTGATGACAGATTTGGCCGAAATCTTTGACTCCTTTCGTCTTCTCCTGTGCCTTCCTATCGTTCGTCGTCTTCTCGTCTCCCTTCTTCTTAGCATCGTGTAAGTTGAAGGGATTACCACCGGTTGTGTGCTTTCCACATCGTGAATTTCCACTTTTCGGCCGCTTTTCGAGTTCTTCATGAAAAATAAAAGTCGCCATCTGAAGTTGCAATGCTGGAGTCCTCTTTTGACGGCCTCCATCTTCTTCTGTGAAAGTCTTAACATCCGGAAATAGAAGCGGAATGGGAAGAGGCGAGATCTGGAGGACATTTTGTAATGATTTCGGAACACTCTGGCGGTTATTGGATCGAGTAATCGTTGGCAAATTGACTTCGATTCTGAACTTGTGCGCTCGGAAATGTTGAGGAAAAGATTTGCCAGACTCCAATCTCTAAAACATAAATAAAAATATTCATGTTTCCTAAATTTCAAACAAAAGTTCAAAAAATCTTACTCATTAATTTTGGCTTCTGATTCTTTTTCAAATCCACAAATTTCCTGCGGATGCTCTCCATCAACATGAAATTGAACATCCTTCCCAAGAAGTCGGCCAGTTAGCGCCGAATTAATATTCAAATGCAACGATAATTGGGCTCCAGTTGCGGTTACATCAACTAAAACAAAAAATATATAAACTTAATAAAAATCCCCACCATTTCCATAGATAATGCTATTTGAGTCTACTTCGATATGAATCTGATTATAATCAACAAGTTGCAGCTTCAAAGCCATGTCTCTTTTCACTCCAAGTTCCTTCTTATCCTTGATGGAGAACAAGTTTTTGATCAGTCCAAACATTTTGATATGCTCAACCAATAGGTTTAAAACTTCCACAACGCCTTGTGGAGATGAGACTGTGATTTTCTTCACGAGGAAATCAGTCTGCTCCTCGGTTTGGTTGGCTTCAATTATAAAGGATAAGGTCTTGCTCTCGCCAAAAGAAATCCTCTTGCAGACCAGCCCATCGGCCGCTTCTGAGAACCAATTAGTCTTCGTTGCGACGGCCATTCCTCCCGCAACGTCCAGGAGTTTCTTCATGAGGCCTTCTTGGACTGGGATGGCTTTAGGAAAACTCAAACAATATGCAGCATTGACCGGTCGGGACTGAGAAACTTGGATCCATTTCAGCTTTTCATTCAGACAGGATTGTGTGGGAAAGGTGAATTGGACTGATGTAGTCGGAGCTATCGTCAATTGGCATATAAATCGATCACCTCTGACCCCCAGTTCATTTGGTTCGAATTGCCCCGGCCTCCAATCCAATGATATCGTAAATGGTTGGAGATCAGATCGAGGCCAGAAATGGACGGGTTCATGGAGGCGGAAAGTCAGTTTATCTTTCTTGAAAAGCAATGTGAGATCATGTTCGATGATGAGGAGAGCGTTTAAGCAAACAACTCGGTCGTTTCTGAAAGAATTACATTGTACACATGATGTCAAATTCATTTTCAAAAAAACTAATCTTTTGCGGAGTTCTAATGTCCAGCCAACAAATGTAAAACGTCTTCGGGCAATGCCTTAACCTTCTGCTAAATATTTCATACCAGATATCTTCATTCTACCTAAAGAAAAACAAAAATGTAAAGAACTTACAATATAATAGAATGTGGAATCAAATTATTCATCAACTTCAATGCCCGTAAAATCGTCAACCATCTATCTTGAAGAATAAGTTGCCGAACCTGTTCGTTGGGCCGTAAAGGAGCTCCAAACCAAGAAATGAAACACGCTGCGACACTTCCAAATTGATCTATACCTACTTGAAGAACAATATCAGAATTCCTCAATATAAAGTAAGAAGTGTGATCTTCGAGGTCCATTTTGACTAACTGAGCAAATGCCTTCAACTTTTCCTTCCACTTGATCATTGGGTTCACTGGAAATGAGGATTTAGTTAGTTTAAAATCTAAATAACATAGAATAAGAAACAGAATCCAAAATCTCACATAATTTATCGTAACAAAGCTTCCGAAATGCCATTGAGACGTCGAAGTCGGGGATATTCTCATAATCAAATCGATTTTCATCCACTTCCATGGCATCCAACTCCATCCCTTCGTCTTCTTTTTCGACAATTCCTTGTTGATTCATCGTTTCATATGCCATTATGTTATTGAGATCAGTTTCAGACATTTCGTCCGCCGAGGGCCACTGAGGATTAAGTTGCACTTGGTGCAATTGTCGATGCTCGAAGGGAGCATGGTATCCGGGATCCATTCCAATGTCTAAAAGCAGATCAAGGTTAAAAACGTCATACTTCAAATTTAATTTGCGATAAATATGGAATCACAAAAAATTTTCTTTCGTTTTACTGCTTTCGTTTTACTCTTCAAACTCAAGGGATCAAGGGACGTTTTGCAAAAATATCTTTTCTTCTCTCCTAAAACACAAAAAAATATTAACTAAACAACTTACAATTACTATAAACAAGTCAATGCCAACATTCAAAACGTCCCTTCAACCTTTGTTACACTTCAATTGGGCGTTGGATATCGACTAGTCGACTACGAACATAATTTTCAGCCGCAATAAATATAAGTCAACTGTCTCTCCGGAAACGAGCTCTTTTGGGTCAAGTGTTTCCCCGTCACTCACGAATCGTGTGTAAGATCCGAGAGATTGACAAACCCGAAGAGAGACCACACAGAAGGTACTGGAGGGAATTTTCGGACAAGATGTGCGTCTATAGGGCCGATAGGAGCAATAGAAATGTGGGTGCAAGGGGGTAAGGAAGAGTTTTATTGTTTTTTATATCTAAAAAGGAAGGTGCGCATACTAGCGAGACGAAACGGTGCGTCTATGCGCACGGCATGTGGTGTGACCAGTGAGCCTAATACGTTCGGCTTTCCTTTTTCCGGCTGCCTTTCCATCAACATTTTTTCGAGCGATTTCAGAAGAATCTGTTTTTGGACTCGGGATTCCAAGTATTTGGGATGTAATTGGGTTTTGAAGGATTGATTAAGATCCGGCTTCTTTCAGACTCTTACACTTTGTCGTGACCACGCCGAACCAATTCAAGTTTAATCAGTTCTTTGCAATGCCGATAATATGACTAGACCATCAAGTTTGAGGTAAGTTCTTTGTGGTTTTTTGATAGTAAATTTAGTCTGGAGATAACAAGGTGTTCGAAAACTAAAAGAACATCGATCTTTCGCTTGTTTTCCGGTCTTAAACAAGAGTCTTAAAATCTTAAAACAACTGCAATATCATTTATAAAAAGTTAAATGTAAACTTTCTTTCAGAAGATTGGCAATGATTTGGCTGCTACTCTTTCTGAGTCTCCCATTCATCATCTGTTTTGAGGAAGAGGATGATGACAGCAACATCAAAGCCTTTTTGAATATGAATGGGACGATTCGTCGGGTTCCCCATTACGTGGAAGTTCACGGAATCGAAGGTGTAAATTATAATCTAGACGAGCATGGGATGCCCTACATTTACTGCGATGTAAGATTTTTTCATTTGTTTTTGTTTTTTAGATCTAGCAATTGATGTTCAAGAAGAAAATAATATAATTTACCATTTTTAGGCGCTGAATACAACTTGCAAAGGGTCAGAAGCAGATTGTACAAAGCCGAAGAAATGTTACCAAGAGCGACGTTCGCATCGTCTCGGATGTATGGCTGTTTTTGTATATAACACCACAGAGATGTCCTCTTCGGCGAATAAAACGATCCCTCAGGAGTCGGCGATGCTCAAAGGTTGTTGGAGCCAAGACGAATCGGAGCTGAGGGAGTGCGAGGAACACGATGAATGTGTTGCCAGTACCAGGAAGACGGGCGCACAAGGACGAGCCGCGAAATTCTGTTGTTGTAGGACACATAATTGCAACCAGAATCTCACCTTTTATTCGGACGTGTTACCGAAGACCCGTATACACAGTGAGTTTGTTATCTTTGGTTTTTATCTTTTGACCTTTAGATGACCCAAAACTCATGTTTTTCGACAATGTCCACTGGTTGAGTCGACTTCTTCTGAGCACTGATTTCTTCGCGGTCTCCGCAATTCTTTTGCTGATCATCCTCTTCCTTTTCGGCCTTTGCTTTGCTGTTTGGATCTACAGGAAACAGAAGAGGCGGAAGACGACCATTAAATTGGAACCATACGCTCCCGAGGACATTCATAGTGAAGGGACCGTGGAGATTACAACTGAGGGAACTGCCCTTCTTGGACATAAAGCCAATGATCTGAGACAATCAACCCTTCAAAATGTAAGAAAATTTTTGTTATGGATAGAACAAGGCATTTGGTGGTGAAGTTATATTATACTTGACCTCTGGGTACCTAAAATCTTTTTAGATGACCTCTACTGTTTTGATTTCCTCCGGCCATTTCTCGGAGCTCTACAGAGCTGAGGTTGCGGACGCTTCGGTAGTGTTGAAGGTTTATCACAATGGAGACAGTGACTGTTGGCTAAATGAACAGGAAGTTTATTCCATCAAAGCTGTCCGGAAGCACGAGAATATGGCGACGTTCCTAGCTTCATTCAAACACAATGCGCAGTACTGGTTTGTCATCCGGTATTATCCGTTGGGAAGTATCTTTGACTTTTTGGAGGTGAGTTATTTCCAGTTTGATTATTGGTTTTTAGAGTAATGTGGCGAATGTGCAAGAAGCTACCAAGATCTTGTCGACGATGCTTAATGGACTGTCCTTTCTGCACGAGGAGTTCTTCTTCGAGGGAGAGCTGAAGCCAACTGTTGTTCATCGGTAAGCGAGATATTCAAAATTTTATCAGTTTACATTATGGGTAATATCTTTATTTTTTTGTTTTTTATTTTCTTATTTTTTTGGTCAGAAATGCAAATCGTGACTCTTTGTTTTCTATGTCGTTTATTTTCAGTGATTTCAAATCAAAGAACGTCCTTCTGAAGGCAGATTTGACGGCGGTTATCGGTGATTTCTCCTTGTCCATCAAGTGTGAAAACGGTCGAATGTCGACGGACGAGAATCAAAGTCAAGTCGGAACTAGACGTTACATGTCTCCGGAGGTGTTGGAAGGAGCCACCGAGTTCACTGGATTCGCTTTCCAGCAAATTGACGTGTACGCGGCTGCCTTGGTCATTTGGGAAGTGGCTTCAAGAACGGTGGTTCCAGAGCATCCTGATGGTAAGTTGGGGGTTTTACAGGAGATTTAAGAGCACAGGGAAACGCTGAATTCAAAAAGCGCCAAAGTTTTCGTTTTTTGGGGGGAAAGATTAGTTTTTTGTGAAGTATTGGGAATGGGTCTTATGGGCAATATAAATTAGGTCTGAGTTTGATGTTTTTCTTTAAGAGAGGGTTGAATAAAGCTTATTTCTATGCGTACCCGGCCTGAATAGACTTACTATTTATGAGAAACTGCATCAATTTTGGTATTGTCCTCGTTTCAGAGCCCCTTCCCGTCTACTTCTTGCCGTATGAACTGGAGATTGGCAAGACCCCAACTCTGGGCACAATGAGGGATCTGGTGGTAATGAAGAAATGCCGCCCACAATCCCGCTGTACCCTCTACGAGAACCCGATTACGTCGAGGATTCTAAAAACAATGCAGGACATGTGGGACAATGAACCTGACGGTCGAATCACCTCGAGCTGCGCCCGAGATCGAATGGTTCACCTGCACGACGTTGCGCTGGGCCGATGTCCGATCGATGGCCATATGATCGAAGCCGGCCCCACTCCCTGTGGCTCCGTTCATTCGCTCGATGGGACAACGAGAACAGAGTCATCTCTGGGCGTGCCCTCGGGCACGGGGACGACGATCCCTCTCGAACAACTCATCCGGATGGCGGACACTCCATCCACGTCGACGTCCTCGGTGACTGGCTACAACCCGGTCTATAATCCTTGATCATGGTCTTACTTTAGAATAGTTTTTCTCGGTTTGAGAGTATTGTACAGTTGTTATGGTATGTTTGTTATTATATTTTGGTTGACTCGATTTATTTCTGACTTGTAAATCTTTTTTTACTCGTTTTTTGTGTGGAGTGAACAATTGTTGATAGTTATAGTTTTTGGGAAATCTTGATGTTATAGTTACTTGGTTGCGTTATATACGAAATTTTGATTCAACTTTTGTCCCACTCCCGTTGAAATTGCATTTATTTCTTTTGTTTCCTAAATAGTACTTGATTTTTAGTAGTAATTTGCTCAAAATGGTTCAAAAAAGTTGAGTATTACTATTTAAAAATGTTTGCAATTTGACTACTGTTTGCTAATGTTCTCCGAGATTATGTTGAATGCTCGTTTATTGTACCTATTGTCAAATATATTACTGTTTTCGGCTTGTTTCACTCACCTGTTTAGTTTTTGTTTTTGAAAGTCTTATTTTTTTCTCTGCACCTCTCATAGTTGCCTAGACTCTCCGTAGACGTGTTTACCGGTCTGAGTAGACGTTGTTTCCTTCGATAATCATTACTGGTTCCCCTGATGTTATCATTGTATAGACCCCCCAATTATTCCACACGAACATGGTCATTATTTTTATAAGTTACCGACAGTGTAATAAACTTCTAACCATAACATCAGGGAATTTATTTGCGATCAGTTCAAGAGAGAAAAAGAGAATTAAGGAATGAGAACAATATTTTACGAGCTTTCCACTCTTCTCCACTTTCGACAGACCAACTCTATCGTATCTTCGGACATGTGTAAAACCAAAATTCAGCGTGTTTTTCAACGAATTGACGGCCAAATGAGCCAAAATGGTTTTCCAATTTTTGTGTTCGATCTTATCTACGGTTATTTTTGAAACTAAACATTTGCGCTGATGTTAATTTATTCTGGTACAACGACTATGTAAAAGATCAAAAAATTCTGAGGCAGTTGTTTTTTGGAATGTCCGGGCCATCTTTCAATCTGTAAAAATCTCTCTTCTGACAATAATATTCGCTTGTCCAAAACAAAAGATCGATGGTAAAAGTCGTTTTAAAAACAACGCCAGTACTTTTAATTGGTGTTCCTGCGCTTCCTCTGTGGGACTGAACGGAAGGAATAATATTGGCGACGATGCAAAGTGAATTTGGTTTGGTTTGTGTCTCTATGCATGAGGTAAAGGGGCGCTGAAAAATGAAAAAAATGTTGTTGAAATTAGACATAGCTGTCATAAAAAATGATTTTGATTTAAAAGCAATAATCTACATATGAATTCACTATTCATTGAAAGAAGTCAAAAATTACTAATTTACAGCAGTACTTAAGCAAAAGTATTAATTAAAAAAAATTAATACGGCTTTTTTGAAATCAACATCATCCATTTCCCCTAAATTCATTATTCTTCAAGAGAAATTCGTTTTAACAATACTACTTATAATAATAAATAAAAAAAGTAGTACATTACTAAATTGCCCCATTCATTGTCTGTCGTTGGGAAAACATTACCTCCATAAGTTTCCTGATACCATATACTGCGGCGATTCTCCTCCAAAACATAGAAGAATTGTTCTGCTAGACGACGAAAAACACACGGTTCATCACAGTGCTGTACGAAACGGAGGACTGGCTTGTCATTTATGCGTTCACCCCGAGGTTTGTTTTCCAATTTTTTCACGTTTCTGTTTTAGAAGTCGAGATGCAGTTGGCGTATTACCGAGAGAAGTACAAGGTCAAACCGAAGAGTTTTGTCCCACTCCACCACATTTTCAGCGAAAACGGATTGTATTGTTGTTCTCTCCGGTGCCCGTTCTTGTTCTCCCCTGCAGACATCATCTTTGAACAGAATCAACTTCCTCATACGATGCAAGAGCGGAAGATTTACGCTATCCTACACTTGATGCTTCATCGGACAGTCGTCTCATCGCCCCGGTAAGATTCATTTCGTTTAAATACCCAATTGTTTAGACAGGCCTTGTCCTCCCGGCACCCGTTCAGACGGCATTTGATGTAAAAAAGTCGGAAGATCGTCTTCAACACTATGGAGCAACTATTATTGAGGTTCTGGGAGAAGACGTCTACAGGTCATTGTTCAACTACTTGCAGGAAGCGAAGACATTGAATCCTGTGGATTTTGAGGAATTATGTCGTCAGATAAACGGAAAATGTCGTCCTCTTGCTCTTCTGGCTCCGGTTTTGCGGGATCCGAACAATGTGCTTTTGAATGATTTTAGAAATCTTGTCACCCTTCAAGCACAAGCGGTTCAAGTGAGTCATGCGGTCTATTATAATAATATTCTCAAGTTTTTCCTAAACGGCGAGTTTCCCGACGGTCAGTTGTCATTTGGCTTCAACGGAGATGCCGTAATCGGTGAGGATGGCCACGGGACTGATAATGAGGTCAACAATAACAATGAGGCTGACAGTGGGGACAACAATGACGATGGGACTGACATTGATGAGGCCCGGAATCTTCCCGTCGACCTTCCAAATTTTGAACAGGATCTGCCCTCCCAAGGTGATTGTCGTCCTCCCGCAGTTTCGACCCGCGAAGTCCGATTGGAGGACTTACCATCGACCAGCCGAGCTTCCCGCCCAGAGTCTTCTGCTGGAACCCAATCAAGCTATGGTCGTCGTTATCGCCCCAATCGTATTTTCGATCCATCTGATAATCAATAGAAGACGTCTTAATAAATTTTGTTGTTGCTTTGACTTATTCTTTATATTTTCAGTTCAAATGGTGTTGTACACGCCGTAATTACTTGATTAGTTAAAATTTATTTGAGTTTTCTCCATGCTCAGACGTTAAAAAAGAGCAGGGCTATAGTAAGGCAGAGAAGTAAAGAAGCCGAGAAAATGTCCAATCTGTTATTTCAGAAATTTCCTTTTTGGACCAAAATCGGCGATTTTAGTCCAAGTTCTGAAATTTTCTGCTTGGACCAAAAACGCCGATTTTAGTCCAAAATCAGAAATTTTCTGCTTGGACAAAAAACGCCGATTTTAGTCCAAGCCTTGGAAATTGTGAAAATTGTCCAAAAAAATGGACTGACTCCATTCGTTGAACGAATATGGTCGAACATGGTCTATTCGTTAGATTTTTTTTTAAATTCTGTGTCCTGGATAAAACTGAGGAAATTTGTTTGATACCTGGACTCGATTACGGCGGATTCTGTACAAAATCGATTTTGGACAGAATCTGCTGGGTTGGGATGGACCCGTGCAAAGAGATTTAGAAGTCCCGAGCCATATATGATAGCTATCAAATTGTTCGTGGTCTTGCATCATCAAGTCGTGTGGATTTCCTAGCTCAAACCTTAACTCTAACAAACCATCTTTTCTTTCGCATTCACAGTTCAAAACGAATGTTTTTCGATCAAATCCACGTCGTTGATTGCTTGGCCTTTTCAAAGTTAGATGAATTCTTCTCCTCACGAACGCGGTCTCAAACAGCAGTTCTGCACAATAATCCTTGTAACACAAGTTTGCACCAGTAATAGGGAATCCCCGTTTTGCATTGTTCCAAATGAGACTTTCTACACCGGGCTCTTCATAAAGGCACATATCTTTCAAGGAAGAAAGGAATCTGAAAACGTGCTCTACCTTTGCTGCAACAGCGTCACCCAAAATAACGGAGAGCAAATATTTCCCGTTTTTTCTGCGACTTATTAAACTTCATTAGTAACTCTTTATTTATACTGTAATACCACGTTAGGATAGTAATACATATATTATTAATGCGCTTGTGTTTCTCTAACACCTGGCTTTTGCGATAGGAGCCTTAAAATGCTGTCTCCGTTATTTTGGTTCGCCCTGTAATTCCTACCGTTTAAATTCGCAGTACCATGATGTGTTCTTCCCATTTTTTGGCGCGATGTTATTGCTACGGCAAGCCCGCTCGAATCTTGTTGTATTTCGACTGCACTGGGGATCTAATCGGTCGTTTAAAAATGGAAGCGGGGTTTTGTCGAAAATTTTGTCTTTCACCTAGAAAAAAGGCCAGTACACAACAAACTGAAAGAAGGACTTTTTAAAATTATAATTAAAAATAAAAAGTTCACGAAAAAGGAGGAGGCGACTTGGCCTTAGGTACCGAAGAAGCCTGGGGAACACCTTATGCCTCAGGGCAATACCGGACTCAGAATCGAGACTTCACTTTTAATTGTCGGGACTGTATGTAGACTTTGTCGCGGCCCACGTTGGATTTTGCGTTTTTTGCACCGTGCGCAAATTTTTGAAAGACTCACCTCTACCGGGAGCTTCGTCAGGATGTACTTTGCTGATTGTTGTTGCTAAAAAACATTTTACAAAACTTGTCTCAAATTTAGAGCATAGTAGGAGTCTATCGATGAAAATAAATATGTCATTGGAATTCTGACTCCTAGCAGCATCGAAAAATAGCCTGTTCCAAAGTTTTGACGTGCATTATACTGGCCAAATCCTTCAAACTGTAAAAATTCTAACTTACGGCAGTAAGGAATTCGCCTCCAGAGGTGATAATTGTTGAATGTGATCGTTTTAGCGTCGACATAACAAAAAATAAATATAATAGTCCAGCCGATCATACGCGAGATGTCTTTGGAGAGTTAGCTTTCCGAGCAGGGACGCTTACAAGGGAAGTCATTTAAATCACGGATCGATTTTGTAAAACGACTGTTATAGCGATGGGGAGGGTAGAGCGGAGATATCAAATCTGAAAACCGCTACCTCCACCGGCCTCTGGGAGCCGAGATAATCGACCAAAAAGTTTGACCAAATTCCTCCGAACATTTCTTCCTTCCGAAAGAAGAAAAGGCAGCGAACCGAATGGTCCGGTGGTCTGGAAGCGCGCTTCCGGGCCTTCACCTTTTCAGGTTCGAATCCGCGCGAGTCTCGAACTTGTGAAAAATCTATAAGACAGTTGCTGTGATCCAGCAAATGAACGCAATTTATTTTTATATTTTATGCCTATTTTACGGTAAATTTTTAATCTTGAAAATTCAAATCGTTTAGAACTCGCATTCAAATTATTACTCCGAAATTTTAGAGTAAGATATGCAAAAAATCAAAAATTTTATCTTACCGGTAAATTTACTGGATTACAGGAAAAGTTTAATAAATTATTTGAACCATGCGGATTCGAACCTGAAAAGGTCAAGGCCTGGAAGCGCGCTTCCAGACCACCGGACCACTCGGTTCCCTTTCCTCTTCCTTTCGGAACAGCGGACTACTCGGAGCAACTTTTTTTGGTCAAACCTTTTTGGTCGATTATCTCGGCTCCCAGAGACCGGTGGAGGTAGCGGTTTTCAGATTTGATATCTCCGCCCTACCCTCCCCATCGCTGTAACAGTCGTTTTAAAAAATCGATCCGTGACTTAAGTGACTTTCCTTGTTAGATTATGAACAGAGAAAACATTTTGAGCGTCTTCTTACAAGGGGTGAAAATTTTAAAAAATTAAGCCTTAGCTTCGGCAAAAACAGTTTCTTCTGTCTCTAAAAAAACATGTTCGCATACTTTCACATCATAAATTACCAGAAAATCAAGTACAACATGACATCAAAAATCTGGAACAAAGTTTTTATTTACACAATTTCAAAAAGTGACTTAGATTGAAAAGTTGCAAAATGGCACTGGTTATAAAATAACTTTCCTAAAAATCTGTAAAACTATGTAATCTCCTCGTATCCATAACTCTATTTTGAACTTGTACAATCACTTCTCCGGCGGGGCGAAGATATCGATGAGGGCTTTGATCACGTAATGGGCGGAGCCATACTCTCCACAGGGGGCGCTGTCGTAGAAATGGCGGCAAATGCCTCGGGCGCCGTCACAAGGACGGCCATCGGCACAGCATTCCATGACGATTGTGTTGAGTTCCCGCTGAAATTTTGGGTACAAAAAAGTTTTATTTACCATACATCTACATAGAGCATAGTGCAATATAAAATCACCCCAATTCTGAGTTTAAAACCCCCGTATAACTTACATTATGCTCCACAAAGATATGATTTGCCAGCCAGAGAACCTGATCCACATCGAACGGACGATCTTGCGGGATCTTGGGTTCAGCGACGATAATCTTGTCCAATCTCCTCATTAAAGTCAGAACTTCCACAATCATCTCTCGATATTCGGGTTCCCCGATCAAATTAAGGACCTGTTCCACTTGCAGAGCAAATTTGATTTCTCTGCGGGTCATCTACAATATAAATATGAGCACAATTAAATAGAAAACTTATAAATTTATATTATCCTTTACCTCTTGAGTTAGTCTGCGATCCAAAATGGTTCCATTGATCGATAATCCTCGAGGGAATTGCCTGACAGTGTCCCAGAGGTCCTGAAATTTATCAAACCTCTTGAAAAAATATTATTTCTCTTACCGAATAGAAATTAGGAGGCACTCGATTCAAAGCTCCATCAATTCGCCGGTGTCTGAGCCAAATCCCGAACTGAAACTCTTCTCCATAAATTTCCTCAGGCTCTGAGAGATCGCTCATCAAATCCGGGACCTCTTCCAATGGCTGGGACCTCAACGACTTTGACTTTCGCATCGATTTTCGGACTTCAATCTGTTTCCTGAAGGATCCCATGCCAGTTCTAAGTTCTCTGATGCCTTGATCCTCGTCCACACCCACATCTTCGAGGAGTTTTCCACTGAGCAAGGAGAAGAGCATGCATTTCAGTTCGAATGGGGAGATCGAGAGGAGTTGTTGGAGGGCTTCGGCTCCCGAAACTCCGCGGATTCTTGAGATTTCCGAGGCCAAGATCTGAAATTATTTATTTCAAGGTAAAATTTTTTTGTAAATTCTAACATCCAAATTCAAATTCAAAAAATCCCTCACCTGTATGATCAATCCAACTCTTAATCTGAGCATTTCAATAAACAAATTGGGTTCCGTTCTGACCAGACTTCCCAAACAAATTATAATTTCCTGTGCCAACGTGTACGAACTGGGATCATCGCTGTAAACTTCATCCAGTAAATGCTTCAGTTCCTCTCTAGTTCTGGGCGAAGTTATTGGACGTTCGATTTTACTGGGTACTCCAAGGGTGATCTGCTTTTGTCGGACTAAAAGATGAGTAACGGACTTTGTTAGTTCATCCATTTGTCGCTTCAGAAGACCCGCTGTAAGGCGAACCCAAGACCATTCTCTCTGTTCGCAGACCTTTTCGTAGACTTCTTCGATGAGAACTCGGACTGTTACTCCTTGGTTTCCATTGAGACGGGTGTCATAGTCAAGGCCACTGAATCGCAAAAATTACAACTCAAAACAAGAAAGTATCACACTTTTCACTCCAAAAGTTGTGGGAAATCAATTTTTACAAAAAAAAATTCTTTTAAATCACGTTCATCCAAAAAACAGTGGAAAGAAGTTTTATATCCAAATTTTCGACCAAATTCCCAAATTCATAAGCTAAAGAGCCTCAAAATTACTGCTACTTACTATTTCAAGTACAAGAAATGGACCAGCGACGCCTGTTCATCCAGATCGTCGGCCTCGCTCAGCATGTTCACCAAGTCATCTCCGTGCATTTCCTTCATTTGAGCGTGGTCCAAAGAGGACGTGGAATTGCTGTTGTGCATTGTTTGATGAAGGTGAGCTGCCTTGTGGGACTTGTGCTCAATTTGACCTTCTCGGACTGGAGAAAGATGCTCAGTGTTGGGTCGATCCGGCTTCAAATCCTTCTTGGCATAGGCGAGACGGAGCTTTTCCAGGTCTAAACACATAACTCTAGGTAAAAACATAAAATATTACCAATCTAGTGTCAAAAATAATATTACACTAGACAAAAATTACTGTTTTGATACAAAATTTGCTTCTCACCTTGATCATTGCTGTCCATAATGATGCTCCGATGTCTCATTGAGGTCTGATGTACCGTATTGAACTGCTTGTTCCACCTTTCTTTCACCGAATCCTGCCTGCGAATGCCCGGAGTGGCCGCTTTCGCTTCGGCTGCTGTCACCGGCAAAGTTTTTGGAGCCGTATCATCATATGAGTTGAAGTAGGAGTCCACATCCAGATCTCTGAATTCCAATTTAGAAACCGAGGTGGTTCTGAAGAAGTCTCCGATATTCTTCATGACCACGCGGGCACCTCCAATATACCCATTTTTGATCTTTTTCAGCGCTCCCACAACCGTCGACTTCTGGCGACGACGAGCAAGACCATTTCCCAGGACAATCGAACTCTAAAGCAAAAAAATACATCACGTTTTAATAATTAAGGTAAAAAAATTTATATTGTAGGAGGTCAACTTACAGCCTCGAGCATGTTCTTGGAGATGGATAAGACGACCAATGGTCTTCCCGAGATGCTCACCGAGTTCCAACTGGTATATATGTAATGTAATTCGGAGGCCCATTCATCCATGAGTATTCGAATATCATACATCAGATAAGACCGTCTCCGATCCATGAATTGTGGGAGAAAAGCGACAAAGCGTTGGCCAAGATGGTAGAGTCTACTTGTACTGAGCAGTCCAATGTCTCTATCAGCTGGCCGTCCAGTTAGATTCAGTTTTTTGGACTCTCCAACTCGCTCGAGGATCTTGGCGAACGCAGAAGCAGGTTGGATGGAGAAGATCGGGTCGATCTCATGGACCATCTGGGCTTCAATTTCATTCAATTCGAGTTCTCTTTGGACCTCACGACTCTCCGCAAGGATTACCACTGAAAAAAGTATGTAAATCAATTAGAAAAGATAAAAAATCTAAATCCTCAAAAAACCTTTACCTTGAACTTCACTGGAAGGTCTCTGTTCAATACCAGAAAGCCGTCTACTCAATGGATCAATCTCTGCTGGTGTTAAAAACCCATCGTAAAGCAAACAGGCGACAATATACAACGATTGGGCCCATACGAACGGTCTGTAAATCATCATGTACAATATAAAAAAAAAAGATTTCCTCACATTGTTCCTGTTGGCACCCGTGTTTGCGTCCCTCTCTCAGCTCTCTCCATTTCAACAACCTCAATCGGTACTGAGTATAATTCCGGGAGCAGAAACAAATTCTTCCCGTCATTCGACCTGATGATTACCTAAAACAAAAAATAAATAACAAAAGGACGAAATTACCTCTTGAAGCTGTTTGTAGTACTTTTCAATGTCGTCTTTGTCCCTGCGGAACAATCCATCCAACAGAAGATAGCACAAAAATACTGGCCATTCACATTCCACGTTCTCAAATTTTTGTAGCTCATCGTTGTTATAATAAAGCCGACTTCGGTCCTAAAAAACGCCAACTTCAGAAAAGAACGCCAGCCAAATGGTAAAACAGACTTTGCGGTATCGCTTACTTCCAACGCCGTCTTGAACCCGTCCCGAAGAAACCGTCTACATCCATATTTGCCATATAAAGTATCCAAAATTGTCTGTCTGGTGGTTTCGACTAAATCCGAATCCTCCACAGCGAATGCCGGATAGGAAATAATCCCAAGCAAAGCAGAATCAGTTTCCTAAACGTCAACAATAATAATACGGATAACTACTCACCTTACTAAACGATTCCCTTGGCAACATTGAACATAAAACAGCACTACACTGTTGAATTTCATCGGGTAAAACATGAACAACCGAGCCTTTTGAGCCGTCGCCAAACAAATCCCCGCAGTCATTCAGAGCCTGCAAAGCTGCTTTGGCCATACCAATCGAGGAGGCGTTGAGTTCTCGAATCCCTTGATTGGTTTTATCTCCTCGCTCCCAAACCCCGAAATCTGGCGTTCTGTAGCTAACTTCAATGTAATAGACCAGATTTTGGACAAAGGCGATCTCATCCCAGTTTCGGATTATTTGAAGACCTAAAATATGAAACTAAGAATGCAATGACCCACCCGAAGCCGTCATTTGAGCCAAAGTCAATAGGAAAAGAGAGATTGAATCCAGCTGTAGATGCCCCCATTCATTATCTCTGACCACAACAGTTTTGGAACGAGTAGAATACTTGGCATGAATACTGTCAAAGCTTCTCTGATGTCGCTTGAATTGCTCGACCTTATCTACTTGTCTCATCATACACTCCAATAAGGACTGCATCAGTTTTACACTAAAACAATTTGACGATAAAGGTAGTTCCTTTCTTTTATTACCATTGCATTCCCAGCTGATGAGCTTTTGCCAAGTCCTCATCGAATTCCGCACTTTTCTGGTACGCTCGATACATCGCCCAAACAGCATGGACCGCATAGACATTGTCTCTAATCCAGGCATGTTCTAAACTCAAAAATAAAACCAAAAATAAATTCAAATACCTGGGAAGTCCTTTGGATCATTTGTCACGAGTCCAGTGACCGGATCTTGATGTTTGAGGACAGTTTCTTCCACCACATACAACAACTGGTCCAATCTCATTCCAGATTGAGTTCTGGCCCTCATGGTGAATATCTGGTCGTTAAAAAATTCTAATTACATAAACGAAGACATCTTGCTTGACAAACGATAAGCAGTTTACCAAACAAACATTCGTGTTCGTGATAAAAAAAATAAATTTTTTTCTTGGCATTCCGTCTCAAGTCGATCTGCCAAAAGCCCGCAAAATAAAAAATTTGAAAAAATACCGTGATTTCTTACCGGCAAAGTTTCACTATTTAGTAGAATTACCAATTGATTGATTAATTAACAGATTTTATTCTGAAAAATAACAACAACTTGATCATTATGATTGGAAGGCATGGATAATATGAGCAATAGATTTGGGAAATTAAGCTTACTGTAATTTCCCCCCAGTAATTGAAATTTGACTATTAACAAACAAATTTAGTTTGGAAACTACATGTATCAAAGAAAAGCGAGATCGGTTCACAATTTATACAACAAGATTATTTTGAGAGTACGGTAAGACACGATTTTGGACATGGCGGAAAGGGAAAGCACCAAAAATAGACAAGTGATCTTGATTTAGCAAGGCAGATACTTCGCAAATTCATAGAAAATAATCTTAACCATAGAAATAATAAAATCAAAGCATGATAACAAAATTGATCTAAAATAATATCAAATATTGTCGTAGAAGACGCTCCGAGTCACTTTCTGTCGCTTTCTGGATCTGGAGACTTGTCGGACTTGGGGCTGATAGGATTCTGAGCTATTTAACTGAGGGACAAAGGGGAAACAACCGGGAGATTGGGAGCGGAGTTGATCCAATTGCTGTTGATTGAAAGTTCGGAGGAGCGCGGAGTTGGCCGGGAGAGGGATCAGATTCCGCGAATAGGGGGATCTGGAAGAAAAAAGGATTATTGGATGATATGAATAAAGCTGATATAATAGTAATAAATCTTCCAAAAAGAGTATAAAAGCAAAATTTATATAACTTTATAGACCATGAAGATCTCACCTGCTTCTTCGTCGATATCCCAGCTCCCCAGCGAAATTTCGACCATTCATAAGCGGCGAATTTAGCTGTGAAAACGATGTATTTCCAGGCGGTGACATGCTCCGTTGATACCTCAACAGCTCCTTGAGATGTCGCTGTTTTTTATTTACCTTCCGCGAATGAAACAATGGCTTTGCCTGAGGTCTTTTACTCAATGGTTTCTTCTAGAAATTAATAATAAATCAAAAATCAAGACATCTCAATACATGAAAAATTAAAAAAGCAGCGTTTCCAACCTTTTTAATAACAGAGTATTCGAATTCCTTGGCCGGTTCCAGCTCCGAATCCGTCAACCGTTGCTCAAAATCGCTCCACGTAAGCGTCGTATGAAATTGGGGCGGGCCGACGGGTCGAATGTAAGGTGGTGGGGTGCGGGTGGAACTGATGAGATCTGTATTGTTGATAGAAGTTCGACGGAGACCTAGAATCAAGTGTTTTGATATTATATTAGACATGATGACTTAAGAACGGAAAATCCCAAAAAAATTTTTTTTGATTGACCTAACATTTTTGGTATAGGCTCCGAATAGGCTCAATATCAATGTTTGTAAATCTTAACCCATATTTTACAGAGAGGGTAAAGATATTCAAACTTTTTAGCGATATTTCGTTGCCCAAAACAACCTTCTAAGACCTACCCTTGCTGATGGTAGTTGGCCGGGTAGTAGACGGGTCGGGCTGCCTCATAGAGTGGCTGTATTGTAGCTGCGGGGGAGGGGGCGGCAATACGGGCGGCTTCGCGGGGCATGCTGGTCGAGCGGGACTTGTCGCCGCGTTTCTGTAACGGCGAGGCGGCGGCGGGGGCGGGGTTGGCATGGCTGAAGTACTGGTTGAACTGATGGTAGTAGTCCGGCTGAGGTGCTCGGACTCGGTCCGGATATAGTTCTGCGTAGCCGGGGGGTTTGGTTGGGAGGCGGCTCGAGCCGTTTCTTGCGAATCCGGGGTGTTGTTGTAGGTGGATATCCGATGTTCCCTCTTCTTTTCGTAGGACTCCTCCTCGACCGTCTGTTCGGCCTTGAACCTGGGTTCCATTCCGAGGTCCTTGCTCTTCTCCAGGTCTTCCAGCAAGCGCAGGTCCGTTCTCCGATGTGAGCAGGGCTCGGTGCGGGTCCTGACCCGAACAATTGGCATTCCGATCAAGGGGCTGGTCTCCAGCAGACGGCGCTGGTCGGGGATTTCGTTGTGATTCAGCCAGATCCGACTCGTATATGGGGTGCCGGGTGAAGTAGGCGTAGTGGGCGTGGGGGTCGACCAGCCAGAACCGCTGACTGTGCCGGTATCCGGTGGCCTGCGGCGGCTGGGGCCAGAGGACCGCGGACTTGGAGTGGAGAAGCGGGTCGGCGCGCGCGCTGGAATGGGGGTCCATGGAGAGGCGTTCGGTTTGATATCGAACGAACGCACTCGGCTGATTCGGCTGAAAATCGAAAATTCAGGTATCTGTATATTGTACATGAGAAATGAAGCAAAGAATGGGCAGTAAATATAGCATAAATACTACTCCAGCATGAAAATGACCTAGATTACAAGCTGAACGGCACAGAGAAGCAATTTCACAAAGAAATAAAACATCAGTAACTTTGTATACAAAGTTGCGACAAACTAAAATAAAGGCCAAAATAAAAAGATTCAAGAGTCGTCGCGACTGTGAATCATCGCAAAAACGACCTAAAAAAGCACGGGGATACATGGACTCGATAAGCGGTCTCTTTACCAGTTATAAACAACATCCTTTTCGTCCTGGCTTAGGTTAATTAAAGACGTCGTTCTCATCGAATTCTGCTGTTAAAATAGGGTTAGTACAATAAAACATCAAATAATTAGTTAACCACGCTCTTAGTACTATTTGTTAATTTTAAGGAAGAGTTTGAGCACTATTTTTAGACTAATTTTATATTGTACTAGGGAATTTTGAAAAAATGATGACTAAAAAAATATATTTTTAATGCAAAAAAGTTTATTGATAATAAAGTTTGATACTCAAACTCTCCTATTATACCTCAACCACAATTTACAATATCAAAGTTCACTGCAAACAACATTAAAATGTCTTGAAATTCACCTTGACAAGTGTATTATAAATAATTTTTCGAAAAACTTACCGCATTTCCCATCCAATGCTCTTGAGCCGAAGCAAATCGCTGATGATAGTGATGAGGCAATGAGTTCTGTCCCAGATTCTCCTCATTTTGATCTAGTAAAACTTTTCTTGGCGAGATTTCATCCACCGATTTCTGAGGTTCGGCCTTGGTTTGGAGGAACTTGAAGACTGATTTTCGTTTTTTCTCCTTTTCCTTGAGATCTTCGGCCTTTTCCAGACGATCGTGGTGACTTTTGGAGCGAAGTCGAGGCACTGTGGAAGCGGAGGGACCTTCGGAGACAGAGCGGTGGGACTGTCTTTCATTTCCTGGAAAAAAATTATATTAATGATGATAAAACAGGGAGATTTTTGATTTTTAGAGGTGAAAGGGAGATTACTCAAGGTTGGACACTCCGATTTTGATGAAACTTGGAACAAATTAAAATTGGAGGTTATTCAAGCAAACTTGAAATTTTTAGCTCGCGATTCTGCGAAATTACAGAGATTTTTAGATCAAAAAATTTCAAAAATTTCTTTTTTACCTTCGGGTTAGAAAAGTGAAATTCTGGCCGAAGTAGGAGTACAAGCGCAAAATAAACTTTTTAAAAATAAAAATACAGCCTCTCAGAGTACGTACGATAGATTTCAAAAAAATCCGACTATCGCAACGTTCGTAATTCCCTCTCAAAAAACCCGACATTTTTAGTCATCAAAGCGAACAAAACAAACAAAACGACCAAAAACAAAACAAAACCAAGTAAACTACCATCATCTTCGTTCTCCTTGTCGCTCTTGGGCGATGGCATTTCCCTTTTCACCTCCACTTTTATCTCCTTCTTCTCCAGTTTGGGTGATTTTTTGAAAATTCCCCAGAAGTTTGAGCTCTTTTTCCTCAGCATCTGCGGTGTTGTTGGAGCAGTTTTCGGTGCTTCTGGAGTCTTCTCGTCACTCCAAAATTCCGATTTGATCATCCTTCTCCTCTGCCTGGAGATTGTGGATCCCCCGCGCTTCAGCGAATTCACGGAGGGCCGTTCCGTTGGTGTTGACAAGGGTTTGGCTAAGGGGGCTTTAACAAAAAAGTTACAATTACTTGACAACGGAGCTACTGACAACATAAAATTGAGTCTTTAAGAAGAAAATTTAACTGCTGATTTTTTTGAAAAAAAAAATATTTTTGCATTTTTTGAACCAAAAATAAACAAAAATGAGGCCAAAGCTACCAATAACTAATCCGCTAGACGAAAAACGAAAAGCAAAAAGAAAAAAGATCAAAAACTGAGTATTATGGTATCCTTACCACTAATCTGCCGATGATGAGCGATCTTTTTGAAGCTCTCGAAATCACTGGGACTCTTCATTCCGAACGGTGCCTTCTCACTGAAGCTCTTCCTGGACGCCGCATTCCTATCAAACGCGTCTTCTGGTACCACTGATGTCAAACTCGCCGTCTCCTCATCCATTGAGCCTTGTTTGTTCTCCCTGAGCTTGTTCAAAGTCTCCTCAGATTCATTTATATTGTTGCTATGGCTAGTTGAAGGTGGAGAAATCGCCGATTTTTGATTTTGAGACGAAAAATTTGTCGACGAAGACCTTCCAGTTGTTGATGAAGGAGTTGGAGAAACGGGGAGTCCCAGCTTCCGAAGTTTGGCCGAGTCTTCCGCTTCTTTCGCCCATTCCAAGAATTCTTCGCGCGAGATTCGGCAAGGAAATTCGGAATTTCCCTCGATTTCTCGGCCAATCAAAAGCCGAAAGTATAAAGTTGAAGCGGGCATTTGAGAGACCGTGTGGTTGAAGGCGTAAACGGCATCCGAATTGCGTTTAAAACAAAGAAGATTTACAGTTTCGATCCCTAGAATTCGATCGCCTTCCTTTAAACGGCCGTCTTTGAAGGCCGCGGAGCCATGAAGAATCTGAAAGTCGAAGGTTATTACGCATAGTAGAGAGCTCGCAGAATTTTTGCTTGTTCTTCGAAATATCCAAATTAAAGATTTTTTTCGAATTTTTTTCATTTCCAAATTCAAAACTCACCCTTCCAACAAAAACGCCCCCTTCCACAACTTCCCCATTGGCTTTCCTCGTCTGTTTCGCCTTTATCGTCAATCCCAATCCAGCTCCGACTTTTTCATTCACCGCGATCTTCAAATCCAATATTTCCAAATTGTCATCAAGCCCTTGGATTTCGATTTTTGTCTCTTCTTTCGCAGACCCAATGCTCTCCGTATCCGAATTCTCCGTATTCCTCGAGATCTCAAATTTGAGCTCACTGTTCACAGCGCATTCTCTCATAATCTGGACAACTTCCGGTTGGGATTTATCGGCAAGTTCTTCGCCGTTGATCTGAAAAAAATTTTTTTTAGCTTTGAAAAAATCAGTGTGTCTGTTATAGATGCAGTCCAGAACCTCTCTACAAAAAATCGTTTTTTCAGAACAGGATCAGAGGAGAAAGAGCTGAAAAATTTTTTTAATTTTTTTGTCTGGCCGACTCTCCGCATTTTACGTGCTCTGTCGCGAAAAGGACGCTCAATGTCTCCACAGCGGACATAAAGCTTGCGCTAAAGTTTTCTGGTAGATAGGGCCATCTTATGTAGAGTATGTAGGCCAAGTTTAAAGAAAATCGAAGAAAAATTTGGACTGCGTCATTTGTTAGTCAAGTATAATATAAAAATAAAATTTTTAGTACGTATTCAATTAGTTGCAAGTCCCTAAATCCTCTTCAAAACATCCAAAGTAAAACCCTCAGCATCCCCGCTCACCTTGATTATCCGATCTCCCGGCATCAAAATTCCCTCCGCCGGACCATCCGGAACTACCGTAGTAACCAAAAATATATTCGAATTGTCGGTGGGACTTGTCCTCGACGCGATTCCAAAGCCAAATCCAGTTGGGCTCTTCACAACGGTCAGCTGGATCTTCTCGTGGACCTGGGAAGTGTTCCCTTTTTGCTGTGGAACACTTATTTTCTTGTACTGCAAAGGCGTTTCCCTCTCGCTATCGGTCGGTTTGGCTGGTCGGTAAAACGAAATAGACGGCTCTTCTTGCGATTCCAACTCATGGAGATAAATTCTGGCCCGCGACAGAGACATCTGAACAAAAATTATATTTAGTCATCAATTTTATATTATCCTTAAAAAGATGTGTCCAAAATGCCTTACCTGATAAACCGGCCGCCCATTGATCTTTGTTATCCTATCTTCTATCCTCAATTGATCATCCACCGCGATTCTACTGCCCTCTTCAATATCAATCACCTCAATTGCCACCAATTTCTCTGGTGAATCGGGCTGTGGGACCCCCGTTACACTCAACCCGGTCCTCAAACCCATTGTATCTTTGCTGAGCACGATCTTCTGGACTTTTGCACCTTCAGCTTCTTCAATTTCCTCCTCACTTGCGGGCTCTAGACCGTAAAAGAAGCCGGATTTGTGGGCCTTATCCCTTTTCAAGGCGCTTAATCCCGAAGATTCTGATTGGGACTGGCTGATGGCACCGTAATGGGTCTTCGGCCGGATCGATTCATCAAATTCGATTCGTCTCCGAGGCTTTGATGGCGAGTTTGGTTGGATTAGCGATGATTTGGAAGGCTTTTCATCATGGTTAATATCTAAAATAAGGTAAAAATTAGATCGTTTATTGTTACCTGGATCAGCTCCAAAATTCATGACTTTGACCACTCCCTGCGCTGCAGCAACCCTCCGGCCATAGGGCGAAGAGGGAGAAGATCGGCAATCCATGGAATGGGACTTTAATCTCCCATCAAAAGAATCCGAGGAAACTGTGGGTTGAGTGGAGGTAGAGGCCGTGGAATCACCCGAATGTAAAGGGGGAGGGATGTTGTTGTAGTTGGCGGAGTTTAGATACATGGAATTGGTGGGACTGTCCGGAATGGAAAGGACCTAAAATAAGGTGATTTAGGATATAAAAATAATAAAATTTAAAGTCTAAATTTATATAAAACAAAGAGAAATGGAATCTTTATCTTGTAAAACGACTTGAAATTAAATTTCCAATTGATATTCAATATTCCTTGAACAAGATTTCTGCAAAAATTAGAAAAAGAAATTTTGATGATGCTAAAATTAAAAGTGGAAGTTCTCAAAGTGCGAAGCTCCGATTTTTATAAAATTTTGCCCACTTATTCTATATACCACATGTTTTAATCACTAAAAATTTTAACTCATATATTCCATTCACGGCCAAGATATTTAATAATATTTTTCTCGAGAGAACACAAAAAGTGAAGAGAGTGGATCAGACAAAAAAAATCCACTTTTTAATCCTGCTCAAAAAAAAAATTTTTTTTGTCGAATAATCAAGTTTGTACCTCTGTTGAGACGTGTTTTGAATTTTTCAAGCACAAAAAATCAAAAAAATATTGTAAAAGTTATCTGATTTTTGCCAATTTTTGGTCTAAAATTCCCAGCGGTTTTATAAACCGCAAATTAATTTTTAATCTATATCTAAAAAAGACCTATTCTAAATTTGTGCCAAGTTTCGCCAAAATCAAACGTCTGTAAGCATCGCAGATGCAGCATCTTCCCCGTAAAAAAATGATGACAATTGGTCTCACACAACAAAAAATCCCTCTACTAAACTTGTTGCAAAACACAATCTCTCTAATGATATCACCGTAAAATTGCATTAGAAAGATTGGATTCAACAGTTTCTCCGCACAAAATCTCCCTTTCACTTTCCGTGAAAGAATCTTTTTTTGATCCGTTTATTACAAAAAATCCCATTAAACGGATATAAAATCTTCTTCAAAAAATGGAAATTTAATCAAAAGGTCAGCGAAAAATATGTTTTCCGATTCTGGTTTCGGAAATCCCTGCCTTCAAAAATGGTGATTTTACTTTCATTTTGTGAGCAAAGCGCTTCCAGATGGGGCCATAAAATTGAGGGGATTCTGAACAAATTTTGCTGTGTTATTCTTAAATCACCCGTGAATTTGGTTGTTTCGGAGGTCAGCTTGCTCTAGAACATGTGATTTTATGGATAAAAGATCAGCAAATTTTTGCGGAATATGATTTTCATAAAAATTTTTTGTCAAAAAAAGGGTAGTAGAAGGTAAAAACAAGGGGAATTTACAAAAACATTGCGCGATAGCTGTACAAAACAAATTAAAGTGTGGTCAAAAAAGTGTAATGGCCTTTTCAAGCCCATTTCCCACATTAACTCGTGTTTTTTATTTAGTTTACAGCTAATTTATCGATTTTGCTGACAAAAGGAAAAAAATCCTAATTTTTGGAAAATTTTTAAATTTCGTAAACTCAAACAGTCCTATAAAAGGCTACAAGATTATAGAGAGGGTTAAAAAATATTATTACATCCTTAGTTTGTACCACTAACTATTAATTTTTGATAAAATCCATTTTATTTCTGAAAATGCCCAAAAAATCTATTTTTCATCCAAAAAATCCAATTTCAGCTTTCAAGAACTCAATTTATCTGCTGGCGTCATGCCTTGACTCATATCGAATCTCATATGTCACTATAGAAAGCATGGCCCATAAAACAAAAGTTATTGGGCGAAATCGAAAAACTTTCCCCAATCCCTTTGTAATGCCTCTTATTTTGTTCGAAAAACCTTTGAAAATACCCGAAAATCCGATCGAATTTCGACAAAAAACGGAACACTGGACAGAATACTCTCGTTTGCGTTGGTATTGGGTCGTCTTGGGATTGCTCATCGTATCAGAAACAAATAAAACGAGCGATTAATCATCACTTCTTGTCGAATATTCGACTTCTTTTCGGTGAGGTGGCGCCAATTTTTCGGATTTTCTTATCAGTTTTGGTGCAAAATCACATAATTTGTTGTTTTCGATGCTACCGAGGGTTACTGTAGAATTTTGTTTTTGAGAATTTTTACTTTTTCATTTTGATTTTTTTTTTACATTTTTGAAGACAACTGTAAACTTCAATATCTCAGAAATTTTATACTAAATTACTTACCGTGACATAATCGTCCGTACTGGACACATTCAGCATCGGCCGTTGAATCATTTTCGTTTCGTCGAAAGAAACTGATGACACGATTCGAAAAATTGAAAATTGAAATACATAAGCACCAAAAAATAAAACTAAATCTCCTCTACACTAGCCAGGTTTATGTACACAATCTGAAAAAAATCTTTCATAGAAATTTAGAATATTTCAATTCGTAAAATTCCCATCAACCAGCGAAATATTTTTGCTCGTAAATTCCCGAAATACTGACAAAAAATCAAAAGCCCAACGAAAATCAGAAGAATGGATTGGAAAATGGTAAATATTCATTAAGTAAGCCTTGGGAACGGCGCTTTTCAACCGTAATGTAATCAAAATCGTATCGAAAAAGGCTTAATGTCGAAAGTGAGGAGGGGAAATGGAACAGTCGGGCCGGGTAAATGGCCTAATTCGGCCGGACTCCCCATTATTCCCATATTAAAAGGGGAATTTCTCGTTATGGAAGTGGAAAGCATGGAGATAGATGGAATGAATTGACTGCTGGTCGTTTCTGAACAAGGTCTGAATAGAATAAAATCATCGTTTGTCTAGGAAGTATGCGAGGTCTAAATAGAAAAATTTTTGATCCAAGTTTCGTAAAGTTTGATTTTCTTGGGCATGAAAAGTAAAGTTAAGACAGAAGTATCATGCAAAATTGTCTAAAAAAATTTTTTCCCCGAACAAAATTCAGAAAACAATAGCCAAAAACGTCTCTTTCTTGACCGACTATCCTCATTTTTCGCGCTCTCTCATAAAAAGATCACTTGATTAACCAGATAGGAGTTGAAGAATTAAAATATTCAGAGACTAATAAATAAGTTTCTGGCATTTAAGGTACGTGGGATAGCTCTGAAGGGAATCGAAACGTTCCATTTAGTGCACTCGTCGCATATACACATAGGGCTTTTGACACCACAGTAACATCGATTTACTACTTTCCCAACTATTTAAAAAGTTCAATTTGCTTTCACAACTATATTTCCAAAGTCTTGAAGGTTGTGAGAAACTCACAAATCTTGCGATAAAAGCAAAAGAAAACTCTTATAACGCCAAGTGAATGGAATGCATCGTCACCAAAAAAAAAAAACGATCAAAATGGAATGTGGAAAAGAAACACGATTGAAAAATGCCGTTTCTTGACATGAAGGGAACCTTTAACGCAAGGAATATCAAAAAATACAAAGCGTGGGTTTTAGAAGATACTGGTAAAATATATTTCAAAAGTTGAGAGTGTAGGAATGACTAAAAAATCTCAAAATATCAAAACTCCCAGGGTCATTCAAGGTTTTGACAATACGTTTTCCATTAGTATTCCTTTTGTAACCGTCGAACGTTTGAAAAAAAACCAATTGGAAAGGGCTGATTATCATAAAACCCATTTATTTCCCTTGAATCCATGCCTTTCCTCCCAATCTGTACTGTAAAAATTGGTTGCTCCAAAAATTTTTTTTTTGCAATGTCTACGCCCAAATTTGAGAAGCCACTCAAAACGTGTCTTGTGTTTATTTATTTTACAAAGTATTTTTAAGGAAAACATTTTTATTTCCCCTCCGGAAATGTAAGCATTGCAACGGAAGTCGGTTCGCGGTTGCGTAATTTGTCAAAAATTTTTTTATGAGATTTGTAAAAAGACCGGACAAATTCAGGAGCTTCCTTAAAACCTCCGAACTGTCAGTTTTGTAAAAAAAAAATCGGTGGGAGAGATGATTAAGAAAATAAAATCTCTTTACTTTCCCAGATAAAAAAAAAGAAGAAGAGAGGGCGACCACAGAGCCGGACAAACAAAAAATTTCCTTCAGAACAGTGCAAATTACACACCGGGAAAAAACAAAAATCCATCCAGCCCAAGAAGCATTTAAAAACACCATTCATTCGCTTCACCATTTTTTCGAGACCCCAAAAAAAGAGTCCAATAGCGTGCGTTTTCCCCTTACCTGGTCCTCGCCGACCCCTCCACTTTTCCGTGCTTCGCCGCACTCTTTTTGTTCCTTTATTCGGAGTGTCTCGCGCCCTCCGCGCTCGCCCACATGTTTCGCGGAAAAGGTGAAAAACACTCATGATGGCGATCTGCCTTCTTTCCTCGCTGTTTTGCATCGCTTGATCTCACAATCAAGAGGTCGACGGAGGGAAAGGAAACATCAAAAAAACCAACTCTTGGCGCCTTGATTTTATTGCGGCTTTCGTCAAGATCATGTGTTCTGTCCCTTTAATTGGCCTTAGTCATCTGTGGCTCTTATGAGCCTTCTCTGAATCTGATTTAGAGCTTAGTCACCATCTTACAATAGCTTCAAAGATGGACTGAAAAGAATCTTGTTGATCCGTTTTGTGATCTCCTTCATGCTTCATAAAGTAAGAGACGTTGACCTACTTTAATAATTACGATTTGTCATGTTGACCGCGCAGATCAAGTGGACAAAACGTAAGCAAAATAACGGTGACGAAACCCAGCATTCTGCGCGAAGACGATGCGCGCTGCTCAAAGCAAATAAACAGCGGTGTTAATTCATTTACGCGAGACAAATGTATAGTACCAGCTCAAGTATCCGTTAGCTTTATTCGAGGTAAAGTTTGAAGGCGAAGAAGGCACAATTTGTTAATATTTTAAAGTTGGAAATTGCACAAAGAATGTGAAGTTGGCAAGGAAGCAAAGTTGCAGGTCCTTAGAGTAGAGCGTCACCACGACGGAGGCGCACCATGCGAAGAATGTACGGTAAAACAGCGGCCAAAAGACACAAGTTCACGATGATTGATATGATGAACAGATTGCGCCAGACATTGTGTTTGTACTCGCATGGAATTGGGCAACTGAAACAGGGTTTATTACCGTTTATTACCTCCTCTTTGTACTAAAAATGAGTCAATGCGCAACGGCGTCTTTATACACTTGAGAGGAACACTCGACCCGCAGTGGGTCAAGTGGTGCTCTCGCTTTTTATTTTCATAAATTCTTTGGGTGGAATCGATATAAGCTTCAACATGCCCAAAAGACATGCTGAACCGTCGCTTTCGTATCCCGATCCGAAGTTTGTTCGACTAAACGGTGACTTTAATAAGCCCACGCCGAGCAATGCTCCCCAACCGGCTGTGCAGCCGGACTATAGCGATCCCACCTGGGATATTGGGAGGTATGTGGAGATCGTGAAGAATGGCCACGAACCCGATTTTTATACCAAACTCAAGTTCTTCACTGAGCCATACACTCCGGACGAGGATTATCAAGTAAGTGATTTTATTATTCGTTTGTAAATTTAGGTATGTAGGATTCTTTTTGCAAATGTTTTTTTATGATCCCAACCTCCCGACCTCTTTCAGGAGTGGCCAACTTTTGAAAGAAGAAGAGGATCTCGACTTGTCCGTGAGCGGCTTGGCAGAACATACTTTGATCCGGAAAAGGCCAATAACTACTTTAGTTACTCCCCGAAGGATAAGGGGATATATTGTCGAGCTTGTGCGATCTTCGCCGCCGAGAAAGATGGTGTTGTGGAGACTGCGAAAACAGACAAACTTGTGAAGACACCTTTTATCAACTTCAAGAAGTTCAATGGCGGGCAATCTCAAGGAAAGACGAAGCACGAAAGAGCTCCGTATCATATAGAAGCGGTTCAGAGAGCAATGAAATTCCTAGGTACTCTCTCTACACGGTCGGATGTTAGAATTCCCGCACCTTTCCAGAGTTCCGCTCAACCCTATAACGTGAACGTCCTGTTCATGTTAAATTCTTGAGGACCACTGCATCGAGGGCATACCAGGTACTTTTTTATATTGTACTCCTAGTTCTATCCATTTTAACGACCTTTCTTTCGCATATCCCAATCAAGAAGGTCTTATTCGAAACACGGGTTGTATTTCGTTCCTTTTGTGTCTTATACCTTCGTCCTCAGGCTGATATTCCGGTGTGAGTTGTAAATATGGATAATAAATCAAATTTCGTACCTGTAATGAGGAGTCCAGCTGATTAAATGATCCGATCTTTCGGACACTTGTTCCATTAGCTCTGTAATCACTGTTCTTACAGTTGATTCGGTGATGACGTCGTCTTCTCGGAGGTAAGACACTAAAAAAGAGGATTAAAAGATAGTACGATGAATACCGTAAATCGTCATAAATGACTTACATAGTTTGGTAATAGATCTCTCCCGCATTCCATCAAAGTCAGGATTGTATGGCTTCTGATGCCGTCGATTCCATTGGTCGATATTCATTTGGACCGATACGTAATGCCTCATATGGGCGAGTAATAGGTGCTCAAAGAAGCCAAGGGTTGTATTCCAACAAGTGAGATCATCATCTTTGTAGGAACAATGCGACCTTAAAGTATGCCCCTTACACTTCCTTAAGATAAAGAAACGTCGCAAGTATCAAAGTTTTTGTAATCAACTTGCTACTTTTTTATTACTCATCACTAAAATAAGCTATTCGGATCGCTCCACGACGATCGTTAGACCATTATACATTTTTAAAGATTAAAATCTATCCAATACAGACCTAAAGACCAAAAAACGGTTCAAAGAAACTTACGAGCATCCAATAACAGTGCTGTTGTCGCCAGTTTCAAAGTTTTGCCCATAAACCAGATTAATAACTAACATAATAAAAAACGCCGCACCCAGCCATTTCATCCGAACCATGACTAAAACGCGTTCTAATATATTGTATTACACCTTTGATGACTCAAATAAAAAATTCTCTTCGGTTACACAAATAATACTCGACGAAAATAAACATCTCACAAGACTAACCCGAGCAAATAATTTGAGAATTCTTTATTATTTATCGTATCTTCATGGCCGAGGTTCCATAGAAATTTATTGGATTTGTTTGGAAATGCGTTGAGCGGTAAATAACTCGGAAATTGTTGGTGGTGAATAACACGCACCCCTTCCACTTCGATCATATTCTTCTTTTTTGGGGAAAAGCGTCAGTGCAAAAAAAAAAAACAGTCCGACGCTGAAAAAAAGGGGAAATAAGCAGCATCCAAATGGGCTAAATATCTCATTTCAATTGCTTTACAAATAACTGAAGTTATTAAGGAAATTCGAGTTACAATAAAGAGTACTCTTGAAAGAAACTTCAGTAGTTTTGACTCAAAATAACTGGTGATTACATAACAAACTCCAAGTACAATAAGATTATTATATCGGGAAGTGAATCGACTCGTTATGCCCAGACTAAACTGTTGAAAATACAAATTCGGAGGAAATTGATTATAAATAAGAGAAGCCAGAGAATACCAGATTAAAAGGTCTAATTTTATAGTAGTACTAATCTTCCTAAAATAAAGACTTTTATAGAGGGACGTGAGAGAAGAGATATGAGACTGATTCTCCGTTGTGGGTTCGACGAATGGCTTCGGCTAGGATCATGGAGATGTCAATGCATTGGATCTTGGGGCATCTTCTCATGTTCTCTTCTTGAGGGATCGTATTGGTGACAACAATGGCTTCGAATGAGCTGTGATTGATTCGATCCAACGCTGGGCCGGAGAAGACTCCGTGGACGCAAAACGCGTAGACTTTGGCGGCCCCTGCTTCAACCAGCCTAAAAACAAACGTTGGTATAAAATTTCGTCAACTCTCAAGCTAAACCCTCTACTTCAATATCCAATTTGTTCTCTCGAAATAGCCTTAACATCGTTTTTACTTACTTATCAGCTGCCAGACAGATTGTTCCGCAAGTGTCGGCCATATCGTCCACCAAAATTGCGCATTTGTCCTTCACATCCCCCACCAATGTCATCTTTTCCACTTCGTTGGCTCTTTTCCGTTCTTTGTGGATCAACGCAAAGTCCACATTCAATCGATCCGCAATGGCGGTCACTCTCTTCGCTCCGCCTGCATCCGGACTCACAATCACTGAATCCTGCCAATCGGTGATTGACTCTCGGATATACTTCAGGATCGCAGGTTCGGCATACAAATTATCGACCGGTATATCGAAGAATCCCTGGATTTGTGACGCATGTAGGTCCATGGTGATGATATGGTCGGCTCCGGCGACTGACAACATATTAGCCACCAACTTTGCGCTGATTGGAGCCCTTGATTTATCCTTTTTATCTTGTCGGGCATAAGGGAAGCAGGGGATGACAGCTGCAACTCTGGAGCATGATGCGATTTTGCAGGCATTGATCATGATGAGGAGCTCAATAAGTTGGTCATTCACCTCTCCACATCCACTTTGAACGATGAAGACATCTTCTCCACGGACTGATTCGCCAATCTCAACATTTGTCTCCTAAAATCAGCAAAGTAATCAAAGAAAAATCACAGATTGGATTCAAAAATTATTATTCTAATCACTTCTTCACTCACTTTATTACTAAATTTCTTTGACGAAGCCTTCGAAAGGTCTAACTGGAGCCGATCGCAAATCCGGACGGCCAAATCTCGATGGGAGGACCCCGAGAAAACCTTGATGTTGGGCATTCGAGCTTGATGGTAAGGGGAATGGAGGAAAGTGTCAGGACTGTGTGTGTGCGGAGACCAGAATCGCTCGACCAGCTCAAAGTCGGTGGACGAAGTGGTGGAAGAGCCCTTCGGCGACGTGTCCAACGTTTCAATGGTGGCGATGGGGAGTGGACTGCAATTAAAAGACCCAGTAATCATGTTCACCATAACATTCGAATACATAACACATTTCATATACAAAAATTTGCGAAAACTCTCTATAAAAGCTCAGTACCTGCTGAACAGTTCCTTCATGGCTTCTATTTACAACGAGCCCCGCCAAAAAGCACTTTAAATTTCTTTAGGACAATAATAAATACAATAATATCAGTCTTGTGCAATATCTCGGACGAAATCTTCGACAACTCCTTTCTATATTCGAATTGATCACAATGCCTATCTAAGTGCACGCGCGGATCTCTTGTGTATTTAGGGGCGTCCATTCTTACATAACGATATCATTTTGAGAGATCAGGTCAAAAGCAGAGGGTCAGAGATAACAAAAACAGAGTTAATGCCCATTAGGGAAGGAAGTCAGATGCTCGGTAAGGGTTCTGAGGCGGGGTTATGCCACAACAACAACTATAAATCATGTCTTGATGATAAGATTACGGCATCGGATGGAAACTGTATAAAAATCACATTGGACTAGACAAATCCAACGTTTTTGGGACAAATAAGAAATAAAATGACCAGACAATGGTCACCGCGGTCAAAGATAAGATCTAAAGGAACTTGGTAAATCGAGCTAGACATCGCATAAGAACCCAGAAATTTCAAGGACAGATTGGCTCCTCCTTTTCAAAGTTTTCGGGTGAGAAGATGGGAAAACGACCTACAATCAATGGGGTTTAAACAACCACAGTAGGGAGATGATTCTGAAGGATGGATCATACAAACAGCAAGGCGTTTTGAGACAAAAATTTTGGTAAAATCAAGTTTTTTTGCAAGTCTTAGTTGTCATGTATAATATTAAAGGTATCAGATGGAAAAGCAATTGTAATCAAGTGTAATAAATGCATAATAAAACGTTGTTATCTCTATTACAGTTGTGAATAATGAACTTTCTAAATGAAAATTTGTTTTTCTTCTTTCCAAAATTTTTTTATATTCATCATGACCCAAGATAAAAGTCAAATCAAAAAATCACGTACTTCAAATTTTTCGCCAGAGAATCAATCAAAATAGAGAATATCACCTATCTTTTGGTCTGTACCTCACCTCAATGCGTCTCCATCAGCACCCATAACAGTCAATCTTATCATCTACACTATGCACCTGCTGATTTGTGATAAAACATGCAGCTTTTCACAAAGAACAGCACATGTTCAACGTAAATATTTTCGCCAAGCCTTACTCTTCGCTTCAATTGATAATTTGGGAATTTGCAAAAACAGTTTTGATAAGAAAACACAGTTTTTTTCCTTCCTTTTCCGTTGATTTCTCAAAATTTTAAGTCCACTGTTCGCTAAGTACAATAACTATTTATGTATGTTAAAAACAGAAAGCGTGAAGGAGCAGTGGAACGTCTGCAATTAAAAGTTCACAAGGAGCAGGGAGAAGGAATTAAAACAAGGATGTCATCGACAAATTTTGGAGACCCTTCCATTTCCTAACGTCTTTTTGGTGCAAACGGAAAATTAATTGTCAAAGGAACAGAAAAGTTCAAAGTCTTTTCGAAGAGACTTGATAAAAACTCGGGGTTGCCTGCAATCTAATATTGTTTTAAAGTTTAAATAAAAATCACAATCTATGCCTACTACAAGATAATTTTTTAATGCATGGCTGAAAAATCACTCAAATTCTAGTGATTTATTTCATAATAGAGCTCAAATGACCAATTAACGCTCCCGCGATACCTTAAATATAATAAATTACATGGCGTCGGGGGATTCCCCGCACGTGATCACCTATCAATCAAAATTATTTCAAATCTCACCAACAAGCGCATTTAGAAATCGAACGGATAGAGTCGGCAAAACAACATGTTGTAATTACCATAAGCCATAGTAGTACTTTGCAAAATTTTAGCATTTTTATCGACTAAAGGTCAGATCTAACCTTAGGGGATTGCCATATAAGAAAACTTGTTCTGAAATCTGCAACTACGTTACGGAAAATAGGGGTCATTCTCATGGTTGACGAGAAACATAAAGGCCAAAAGTAAATTAATGTCTAATTTATGGGTAAAATAATAAAAAAATGGGATTTTTTTTAATGGACAAAATAATAAATAATAAAATAAAATGATAACATCTCCCCAACCTACAACGGCAAACTCTTTACAACACGAAAGACATAAAACTGGCTGCAAAACCTCTTGAACCGTGTTTCGACATTTTTCGCACAGGATTTCCGCTTCAAATCTCGTGGAATATATTCGGAAGGAAGTATAATGCAAAGAAAAGTAGGAAACATCACAAAAATCGACTAAAAACTTACCTCAAAAGAACATCTGACCGTGCGAATGGACCTAAACTGCTAAAAATATTCTTTTCTCCGAAAAATATAATTATTGCAGAAAGCCAAGAAATTTTGGCATTGCAGGGTTTTTTAAAGCCGTTCAGTAAAGACGTCATGATGACTCGGAAATCTGACTAGTTTGCACAGGCTTGTGCACAAGCCGATTCCAATTAGACCGCAAAAGAGTTGGACGAAGTCTGTCACCTCGGTTTTCGAAATCCGAGTCATTGGAACAACTTTACATTCGTACGGTATCTGATGCTCTCTTTTTCAGCCTTCAAGGATGTTGGTTCGGCTCGACGAAGCCAAACAATTGGGCTCTGTCCTCTTTCACATCACACTCTGGATTATCCTTCCATTGGTGTCCGTATGGCTTCCCATTTACTTGTTTTGCACTCGGTTCTGGTGGATCATTGCGATGTATTGCGTATGGTATGTCTACGACTTCAATACACCCGCGCATGGATCAAGGAACTTTGTAAGTCCTCTTTCTTTTGAGGTCTCCTTTAGGTCTACGTAGAGCTTCAGAAAATTTCTGGCATTTTTAGAAAGCCTTCAGAGAATCTCGGATTTGGAATCGTTTTGCCGAATATTTCCCGATTTCTTTGGTGAAGACCGCTGAGTTACCTCCAAACAAGAACTATATTTTAGGGTAAGTTTTTTTCTTATTTCTCGTGCCCGTTTTTAGTTGAACCCTCCATCTTTTTTGCAACAAACTTGAAAACTAAATTGTAGATGCCATCCACACGGTGTTTTGAGTGTCGGAGCCTTCACTCACCTCTGTACGAATGGAACTGGATTCAAGGAGAAGTTCCCTGGGCTCAAAAGCAACATTCTGACGTTGAGTGGTCAATTCTACTTCCCGTTTCGCCGAGAATTTGGCATTCTTTTGGGTATGTACCTACTTTTATTTTTGTTTTCATTTTTAGGTGGCTGCGAAAGCTCGAAGAGAAGTCTTGAGTATCTGCTGACCTCTGAAACCAAAGGAAGATGCATTGGAATTGTTGTTGGCGGAGCCGAGGAGGCGTTGGACGCTCATGACGGGAAGCATTATCTGAATTTGAATAATCGTCGGGGATTTTGTAAATACGCTCTGAAATACGGTGCAGATCTGGTCCCTTCTTATTCCTTTGGCGAGAACGACATCTTCAAGCAATCGGATAATGATAGAGGCACCAATTTGAGACAACTTCAGGTATGTTTTAAATTATTTTTTTAATGCTTGAAGGTAAAATATTCTATTCATTGGTTTAATGTTTAGAGTCTGATCAAGAAGGTTTGTGGTTTCTGTCCACCTCTCTTCCATGGCCGAGGAATTATCTATCGTTCGTTTGGTATTCTCCCATTTCGACGTCCAATCAAGACAGTTGTTGGAGCCCCAATTCATGTGGATCGAGTGGAGAATCCAACCAGGGAACAGGTGGATGAACTTCATCAAAAGTACGTCGATGAGCTTGTAAAACTTTTCAATCAACACAAATTTGATTGTGGATTGACGGAGAACGACCAGATTGTGATTCACTAGACTTTACACTCTCCATTTTTGGCATTTTTTTATCAGATCGCTTCGCTAATAAAACGGGTTAATGTGAACTAAAACACCGAAGATTAGAATAAGAAGATCTTTATTCAAAAACATAATTAGACTACAGAACGATTGGAAACATTGCCACAGACAAAAAGCAAGGCGATTAGGAAACATTATAAAATAAATTATACACCAAAAACAAATTTAAATACTTATACGTAGGTTCAAGGCACTTGAATACCATACATCTAGTCCTGAAATTAAAGGATTAATCCTATAAACATCTCATCCAGTGTCAAATCCACTCAACAGTTATGTAATTTTATGTGCACTCTGTTAATATTTGTTATCCTCGCCTAGTGTAATATCGGACAATATTAGTCTCATGGGTCATTTTCATTGTCATTCTCAAAACATTAGCCTGTTTTATCACTCTATTTTACCGTTTCTACAAGTTCCGGGGCAGCCGGATGAGTAAATGCAATAGCGGCCTAAAGGTTTTGAGTAATAAAAAGAGGTATCCAAACTTACTTTCAGATCCCACAGAACCAATTGACCGTCCAGACCAACCGTTGTGAACTTTGTTATGCCCTTAGGGCCGGATGCGTAGGCGCGGAGATTTCTAAAAAATAGAAAATTATATTGATCAAGGTGTCCAATACGGAAAGAATTAACAATTACTTACGTAACAGTGTTTTGATGAAGAGTTTTTGGCTTCCCATCGTCGGCCGTTTGTTGAGCGGCCGTTCGATCAATGGAGCGGAACATTTTGAAGGCCGAAGCGGTAGATTCATTCTTCTCGGCGGACGGAATATCAATTTTTCGTTGATACTTTGGTTTTCCATTCTCAACTTTGAATTGCACTGGAGAAAATTCATGCCCCTGAAAGATAAATGCACTCTTCTTCCGTCTAAATTTCGAAAAGACTATAATCAAAGCAACTTACAATAGCTAGCAGCGTATTTTCATCGGTGAACATTATCTGATTGAAGGGCAAAAATTGATGCCGAACAGTCTCTGGCTTGGCTTCATTTCCTCCATTTGCCTTGTTGACCACGGAAATCTCCGCGGCATGTGTCGTCCAAGCCAACTGATTTCCTGACGGCGAGAATGCAAGAGATCTGACCCATCCGTAAGTTGTGAACTCGGCAAGAAGGATCCCGAAGGGCAATTTAGATCCCCATGGGTTCGGGGCGGGCTTTTCATCTACTTCCTTACAGTACCCCGAGAAAACATACACCTAAAATGCCAAATTGACTAAACAAAAGCCTCTTTCTCACCTTAAAATCAGTGGTTCCTACAGCCAGTAGTACATTGTTTGGATGCCAATCTAAGCATTTAACTGTAGATTGAAGGTCCTTTTTGATATGTTTTGAGATCCACCAGTCATTTTCCTTCTCGTAAAAACAAACGGCCACGGTTTTACAGTGCGTTCCAATAGCAAACTTGTTTTCTGAAAAAGAAAAGTACATTTTTCCCCACCACTTCCCTTCATCGATTACCTAAACTTCATAGAAAACAAAGAAAAAGTGCTTACCAAGCGGAGACCATTTACAACTCGTAATCCCCCTCAACGCTCGTACCAACACCAATTCCGGTTTGAAAACGTTATCTGGAGAGACTGTGAAAACGAAGGAATTCTTATCATGTGATCCGGATACCAAACGATTCGTTTTGGCGGCCCAATCCAAACAAGTAACGTGTAGATCATGTTCGTGAATCTCCGTGAGTAAATTCCACTCCCCTTTATCCAAGTGGAAAACGTAAATCGTTTCTGCGGACGAAACGGCAAGCACTAAAAAGAAAATATGTTGTTGTCTAAAATAATGTGAAATTATATAGAAACTAGTCCTTTTCTACTTGGACTGATCCGGCGCACCTTTGTTGAGGCCTAGACTCCAAAAGAAAAGCAGAAACGACTTACTACTACGGTCTGCATTGAAGGAATGGGCCAAAATTGGGCCAACCCCTAAATTCCAGTGCTTTGTTGGTGCTTTTGCCGGCACTGGAGGTGGAATCCCATTGGACATGACGACGACTGAGGAGGAATCAGCGATTCTTGTCCAATATTTTACGAATGAGTCAACCCGAGAAAAAAGAATTTTATTTTTCGACAAATCATTTTACGCAGCTCGCGCCCAAGCAGCGTGCAGCTTGCAAATCGTCAGACCGCGGTCTGATGTATTCCCCTTTGCCACGGCCTGGATAACCCTAGGAATAATAAAACATGTACGAGGAACAAACCCCGAATTTTTTAAATACCATTAAAAATACCAGGTGAACTTTGAATAGGTTTAGTTATTCGTGAAAAATGACATAAATAGGCAGCTTCCTGTTGCTGGTCGTATAGTCAAGACAGTTTTTTACTAAGATGACTATGATCTGGTACGATTACTGCATGATCGCTATCAGTATCTTGTCCACAATTCTTCCTGCAATTGTGATATATGTTGTTCTTTATCAATCGCCCGAAAGTATGAGGGCTTACAAACGATTTATCATCAATTTTACTGTAAGATAATGTATTTAAAACAAAGCGCTCGCAGATATTTGATTTATTGTTCTCTTTGGCTCTTGGCATCATGGTGAGGCCATTTCCATTGTTTCCGTTTACCGGCGCAATCATTAATGAGCCATTATCATTGCTGGGAGAGAGCGGACCCATCGTTGCGGTAAGCAGATTGCCTGTTGGCGGGCTTAGAGCGCGACAAAACAGTTTCTTCTTTCTTATTCGGTGGAGGTTTTAGATTGTCTTGCTTGTCAACAGAGCTGGTTATGCAATTGTTGCCCAAGTCGCCTGTTTGTTATATCGGATGGCTGTCTTGAGGCAAAGCGAATGGCTTCTGAATTTTGTGACATCCGTTAGAACATGGATCATAACATACGCAGTAAAACTCACGGCTACAGTTGGCACGGCATTCGTTGCTATACTGTTGCAGGTCCCACAAAATGTAAACGTTTTGAAAAAAAATTCGTTTGCAAGACCTTTATGTCCTTGCAAGGACATCTTTTGTACAACTAACGTACATTATGACAATCTCTTTAGGAAATCCCTTCAAGAATGGTGAATATTTTGAAATTTTATCCCAATGCGGTAATCCCAGAGATCCACGATGAAGTTCTGTTGTATATAGATTCGGCGACCGATGATCGAGCCGGCTTGGGCGGTAGATTGATCATCTTGCTTCTGTTGATCGCTGAGATGTTGGCTTTAAGTTGTGTTTATCTTATCCTTCACAGACTGGAAGAACAGAAGTCTAGCTTCTCGGCTAACACTTATAAACTGCATCGGCAACTTACAATCGCACTAGGATTACAGATAAGTAAACTTTTTGCGGCTAGAACAAACGATTTTGCCAGAAAAAAGATTCTTTCAGCTATTTGCCCCATTTTTCTTTATAATGTTGCCGGTTGGATACGGATTAATCGCGAATTATTATCATTGGGATACCAGCGAATTACTCGGGGAGATTGTGATCGCTTTTATCGACTTTTACAGCGCCACAAACTCAATGATTACTTTGTATTGCGTGAAGCCATATCGAAAGTATTTACAATCACAGTTTAAGAACGCTTTACGGAAGGTTTCTTGTGGATTTTTTGGAATGGAAGAGGAGCAACTGTTTATCAGACTTCCAGAATCTACGATAAATACTGGTGGATAGACCTATCTTCAATTGGTTTATTAAAGAGAAAATGGTAATCATAAAACGTTTTGAATATCGAGATTTCTCTATTTATTGCCTATCTGCAAGTAAATTATACAGCACCCGAGTTGATTGTATTATACTTTCATGACTAAAATAACATCTTCTGGTTTCATCGATCTTATATACTCCGCGCATTTAATTTGGATCAACCTGGATCTCAAAAATTAAGCAAGGCCTGGACTTGATTATTTTTGTATAATAATCTATTGTCATAAAGAACATGTTTGAGCAACAAACAATCACATTTCAGGTAAGTGTAAAATTTTAAATTGCAATTTAAGATTTCGGGTGCGCAGAAAATTTGGATCAACCTTGCAAAAAATTATTTTGCTCGCTGAGGTGGTCGATTTTATTGTTGTAAATGGTGAATATGGATACTACGAAGAAATAATATTCTGAGGGTATCAATTTTGTGCAATATTTCTTATGACATGGCCTATTTAGGGAGATACCAAGGAATACGGTAAGAAAACTCAAACAAAGCCCAAAAACTGATAATTGAAAACTCCTCAAACTGCTTGAAAAGTGTACTAATACTTACTTGTAGGCCATGCAAAGTATTTTAGTAAGGCATCTGGTAGAGTTCACGGCATCTACGACTTCTACGAGACATAAATCAGAATTTTTCTGACAAGGAAAGTACTTCTATGGGGTGTGGAATTACCGGTCGAGATATATATCAAAAAATTCGCAAAAATTTTCTGATTCAGAATATATAAAAATTAGCTGCCTAATTTTGGTCTATCAGCGAGTTTTTTCAATAAATGTTTTTCTCAAGGAAAAAAATCTGCGGCAACAAAAGCGCGCTCGGTCTCTCCCTTTGGAAGAGAGCGGTGTGGCCGAGTGGTTAGAGCGCTAGATTGGGAATCCGAGGGGAACGGGTTCGATTCCTTTTGCCACACTAGAACCCATTTTTTATATTGGAACTACTTTTAAGGTGTAGTTGTAATCCAATTTGACATTTTAAGGCTTGTCAAGGCCTCAGAATTTAGTTTAGCACAAAACAAAATTTTTTTATTGGTAAAAACGCGGTCAAAAAGACACTTGCATGGTGTCGCGAGAAAACTTCTGAGGACAAAAACATGTCATTAGACCAAAATTAGGCAGCTAATTTATATATATTCTGAATCAGAAAATTTTTGCGAATTTTTTGAGATATATCTCGACCGGTAATTCCACACCCCATAGAAGTACTTTCCTTGTGAAAAAAGTTTCTAACGGAAAGTTTACGGTACTTTTTAAAAATTTTCTGAAGGGTTGTTCGATGCGCCGGCAGAAAGACAACAACATTGCTGAAATTTCTACGTAAAAAGATTTGTCAATTTTTACCGTTTGACGTCGCCTGACGGAGCGGGGATCAAAAACTATACCGTGCATCACACGCGTTCGGTTGGAAATTCCCTCCCTGAACTAAAACCACCGTTGCATTTGCTTTTATAGCAATCTACAAGGTGCATATTTAATAAGCAAACAAAAGAGGAAATTCTCGGATGCACTGTAGCTTCTCAACGAGTCTTCCATATTTTGAATTTTCGCGGATTCAAAATATTGCTAAAGTTTTGTGCCCTACGGAATTGATACCAACGAATCGTATGAACTAATTAAATCAAAAGCTGCCACATCATGTCCTGTATATGCTGAACCCTCAAAACAAGCACTAGAAAATTTTTAAAAAGTACCGTAAACTTTCCGTTAGAAACTTTTTTCAGAAAAATTCTGATTTATGTCTCGTAGAAGTCGTAGATGCCGTGAACTCTACCAGATGCCTTACTAAAATACTTTGCATGGCCTACAAGTAAGTATTAGTACACTTTTCAAGCAGTTTGAGGAGTTTTCAATTATCAGTTTTTGGGCTTTGTTTGAGTTTTCTTACCGTATTCCTTGGTATCTCCCTAAATAGGCCATGTCATAAGAAATATTGCACAAAATTGATACCCTCAGAATATTATTTCTTCGTAGTATCCATATTCACCATTTACAACAATAAAATCGACCACCTCAGCGAGCAAAATAATTTTTTGCAAGGTTGATCCAAATTTTCTGCGCACCCGAAATCTTAAATTGCAATTTAAAATTTTACACTTACCTGAAATGGGATTGTTTGTTGCTCAAACATGTTCTTTATGACAATAGATTATTATACAAAAATAATCAAGTCCAGGCCTTGCTTAATTTTTGAGATCCAGGTTGATCCAAATTAAATGCGCGGAGTATAGGTGTAGGTGAAATATCACCTGTACGACAAAGGTTGTATTCTTGTATGCGCTGATGTCTGAACGAAAATACTTGACGACCATTTTTAAGAAAATTGGAGCCTAGCAATTATTAGAATTGGACATGACGCTATTGGATCATAGCTTAATTTATTGCGTTTTAAATATAGAAATATCTTGAATTTATTTATTATTAATATTAACCATCCTGCAGAAATCCTAGGCATAACCTGAATTTATTGTACTTTCCGGTGCCGTCACCAGAATTACAGCCTCTTCTTTTGCCAGTCTTCCAAACGACACAACTCTCACAATTTGCAAGAACTTCTCTTTGAGATACGTTCTATACGGTTTGATAAAATATAAAGTTACGATCGAATTGGAGGTCCCATAAAGTTCAATATAATTGATAATCAGACCGGCTGTAAAACTGTCTACTCTTATTACAGGATAGATTAGATAGATTCCATACGTAACGGGGAGCATGATGAATAGGAACGGGGTGAGGAGCTAGAAATACACGATGCTTTTACTGAGACATTGATCAAAAAAGTTTGGGAAGTTTGGGATAAAACCTACTTGGACGGCCAAGGCGATAAGCAATTGCCGATGCAATTTGTACGTGGCTTTAGAGAAACTGGCCTTCTTGGATTCTAAGATTCGCAACAGGAAGAAAACGGTGACAAATGAAACCGATTCGGCGATAAGAAATCCAATGACCACAAAGAGAACAGTGTAGAGGGCATGCACATTGTTGGGGTCGGTAAACATAATGGGGTTCTTGCTGAGGACTGGTTTTGTGGCATTCGGGTACTTCCTTGCTGTCGCTTCTATGAGATCCAGCATTTCCTGAAACCAGCTACATTGCGGAACATCTGGCCATCAAATCACAAGATGCTTTTTTTTGAAAATTGGGGGCTTTGGTAGTTTTCAGCCCCCCAGGAAAAGTAGTTCAAACCCCCCACTGTTTTCCATTTCACACCCCCCCCCCCCCATAATGAAAAAAAATTTCTTTTATACTGGGTCAAGGGGGGGCTGAACTGGACTGTTCAAAAAAATTTCTTACCGGTCCAAGTGTAATCATTGGCGAAAAAATGAAATAAGTGGAAAAGCAAATACAGGATGTGATGATGTATCCAACGACCCAAGCTCGCGGCGAAACTACCAATGAATTCCAAAAGGGCTCATTCCAAAGAACGACGAAGCGATAAAACAAGCACAGACATTGAGTTGAGAGACAATTCCCTCCGGTATTCACTATCCCTATCATCTGAAGTTGGCGGTAACTCTAGGTATGCTTTCGTATTTCTTACAGAGATGATTGGGGCCCAATCTGGGCCCAGAAATCTGAACCATCCATTGATGTAGCTGCAGTTAAATGGAGGGGTAAACTGAGGCTTTACAAGTACTCCAAGATTCAGGGAAAATAAAAAATCCCATACCTAAAAGAATAAAATTAATAATGTTCTTGAAATTCTGTTACCCTATAAATACCTACAGTGTAATTGATGATATACCGAGTGTATCCTTTCATAGTTGACGGCGAATGAAAGATGACAATATAAATGACAAGCACCGCCATCAAAGTTGAGAAAATGCTGATGATCGTGAAGATAAGGTCGACCCATTGCTCGTTATTCATATTCGGCAGGTATGGTGTTCTCTTCTGACATTCTGGTACTTAGTAGGCGAAATACCACCTGTGTTACGGAGAATATGTTTCGATGTGTGAACCGGCAAGTTGTTTTGTCGTTTTCTGAAGGTAGGCCACATGTATAATACATGTAAAAAATGAACCATAAAGTGTGACTCGACTGTATTCAAAGTGCCCAATGTGCACATACTTTAAGGATACTGTCTAGCAAAACACGGTAGATGAAGATTTATCTGCATGCCCTCATTTTCGTGCAGCGTTGTCCGAGGGAAATATCGTTTCCCAAAATATGAAGTCGATGGTTCCTGGTTCCATAAAGAATAAGCATTATAGACACACCGATCGTAGCGATCCCGGACGTCCATAAGGCAAGTTGTAGAAGACCCACATGATGACTGGGCAGGCAAAGAGCAGATAAAAAAGGGATGACTAGCTGAAAGCAGGGGATAAAAGTCAGTAGAAGTCAACCAAATATTTGGAATTAAAGCACGGTGTGAGGCTCTGTATAAAAGTTTTCTTTTCGCCGTATTTTACACTCACATAAGCGCATTTCTGATATTCAAAAACCTTACTTTACATTTGTTCCCGACGCAAACGTGCTCTCTTGGTGAATCGCCACGATATCGCATTTATGCCCATATTTGCCAAAGGTTACAAAGCTTATTAAAACTTTAAACTTGGATATTATCCATCGACGATAAGGTTTTATAAAGTATAAAGTGATAATGGAATTGACGGTGCCATAAAGTTGAATGTGCAGAAGGAATGAACGGGCGGTTACATACTCCATCCGACCATAAGGAATGTTGTAAAATACCCAAAAAACTACAGGGCAAATGATGAAAATGAGGGGAGTCGCGAGCTGTAAATGTTGGTATGTTCAAAAACTATCCTATTGTAGAAAATTTTACCGTATACGACTTACCTGCAGACCCAATGCAATCGTCAGCTGACGATGCAATTTGTAAGTCATTTCGGAGAAGCTCGCTTTCTTTTCTTGCAATTTCCTTAGCAATGCGTACACGGAAAGCAGCGATAACACTTCGGCCAAAACAAAGCCGCCGACTATGAAAATGGCAGCATATAGCGAATACTCAGTGGTTGGAGGGAAGTAAAAGATTACTCGGCTAAAGTCAGGCAATGGTGCCTGTAGCAATGGAGCCAGTTGAGTAATCTCCGCCCGGACTTGCTGCAACTTTTATATCAAACATTTTTGTGTGCCTTCTACCTCTGCAGTCATTGCAACTTGAGTAAAAATAAGCAGCGACGCCAAAGTGTAGGCAACTATTATTATAACATAAGTTATGGCCCAAGTCCTCCAACTTGTGATCACTTTCATCCATATCTCCGAATCCTGAAGCATGGAAAATCGAAATATAAGGCAAGCGACCTGCATGGTGAGAGCTTGGCCTCCGGTCACGATTATGAGCACGACCTATAGAAGAGGATTTTAAAACAAAGGCATCTGCGCAGAGAGGTTAAAGAAGGTTTGGAAACGTTCGCTATAAAGGGTTTTTATTTCCCACAACTTTTCCGAAACAATGAATTAAAAAACCGATTTCGAAAAAACGTACTTATAGCAAATCTGTGAAATCTTTGATAAGTGTGAATTATGAATGAAAAAATGCACCGGTGGTTAACGAGCGGTTTGTTGACGTCATTGCCAAGTGACAATTTCTACATCGCGGTTATAAATAAGGAAAGACGATCCTAGATGTCAGGTTTGGCCCTGGTTGGTACACTTTGGGCAATTTTTTTTGTGAGATCTCAGCAAATCATGCTGCATGCAAGCAAAAAATTGCATTTTCATAAGATCTCTGTTGTTTTTACAGGGTGTTTCAAGAAATTTGACAGAAACAATTTGCGAATATCTTTGAGCTCTTGCTAGTTATCGTAGAAATTCTTTTTGTTTCTAAAACTTGACAGCGGGCGGTTTTGTACTGAACAAAAAAATTTTTTTTTTGTCGGCGGAGAGGCCAGTTCTCGGCGGAGGCATTTGGGGCCTTTTTTAAAAATCACACCTTATTACATGGCGGAAACTCTGTTACAGTGGCCAAAATCATGTTTACGTTGGATTTTACGGTATGCTTTTTTGCGTTTTCGATTTTACGCAATCCGCGGATGCGCGGCGGAGACCTCAGATCTCGGCGGACGTTGTTTTGGGCCTTCGGCTGTTGCAATTCATGTTGGAAAAGAAGTTGGGGTGATTTTTTGTTGTCGTCCGATGCAACAGAAGGCAAAAATGTCGTAATTTCTTTCCCCGGCGGAGGATTCGGCGGAGGCTTTATCAAAGGGTCAAATTTGTCTTACGAGTCCGGGAAAAATCTCAGCTACGAGAATCCATCAGAGCAACATTATCTTTCAAATATTTTTGATTTTTTTGGTCCGGCGGACAAATCGGCGGAGTTTTGTTTTGACCCTTTGATAAAGCCTCCGCCGAATCCTCCGCCGGGGAAAAAAGTACAAAATTTTTGCCATCTGTGCATCGGATGACAACAAAAAATCGCCCCAACCTTTTCTCCAACATGAATTTGCAAAAGCCGAGGGCCCAAAGCAACGACCGCCGAAATCTGAGGTCTCCGCCGCGCATCCGCGGAAGTGCGTAAAATCGAAAACGCAAAAAAAGCATACCGTAAAATCCACGGAGGTCCCCAAATGTCTCCGCCGAGAACTGGCCTCTCCGCCGACGAAAAAAATTTTTTTTTGTTCAGTACAAAACCGCCCGCTGTCAAGTTTTAGAAACAAAAAGAATTTCTGCGATAACTAGCAAGAGCTCAAAGATATTCGCAATTAGTTTCTGTCAAATTTCTTGAAACACGGTCAAAGTTTCACCTCAAAGTCAAGCCGTAGATGCCTTAAGTCGCCCCTTCGACGGATAGCAACATCATACTTTTCTATCAACGAATCTCACTTTCCCTTACCGCTATAATTGTTCCAGAATGGCCAAAGTACTTGAGAAGTCCGTTAACATACGATCCCTCAAACGGAAATATAGGATCTGGTTTGATCAATGTCCCGATATTAAAGGAGAACAAGAAATCGTAGACCTAAAAGTATGCCATAACGATCTATATGTTGATTTACCGTAAAATGAATCACAAACTTTCCATAGTCTTTCATAGAAGCGGGTGAGTGGAAGACAATGACATAGATCACGAAAACTGTTAGTCCCATAGAAATTTGGCTGACTATCTCAAAAAGAGTGTCAAAAATGAAAGTGGCATTCATTCCGGCAGAAATAAAGCAAAAAATAATTGCGCAAAACGTATATACATAAAGCTAATACAGAAAGAAAATTTCACCTGACTCTTTCAGGATATACTACATTAGGAAAGTACTATTATAAGATTATCTTCAACAACAATTGCCATATAATCATCAAAAAATATTTTATAGAAATCTGAATACTAAACACACAAAGGTGGGATCTTAGTACATGGAAGTGTTGATAGTGCTCTCCGTAGCCATCACCATGACATGTTCGGGTTCATTTCCGAATTTACCAAAGGTAATTCGCTTAATAAACGCACTCCCCTTTGATTTGAGATATGCTCGGTACGGCTTGACCATATACAAAGTAATCACTGAATTGGAAGTTCCGTAGAGCTCAATGTACATGATAAACAGAGTTCCTGTTGCGTAACTCATCGTGCCATACGGGTAGTTAAAGATTAGGAAGAGTGTAAAAGGCGCGACGATGTGGAGGAATGGAGTGAGAAGCTGCAAGACTAAAAGGGTCATAGGCACATAAAGTTTTAATAGTCTTTGCAAGTGACGTCGGGGAATCAACAGTTGCAGGGCTATATTTATCAAATCCTACCTGAACCCCCAACGCTACAGTCAGCTGTTTGTGAAGTCGGTAGGTTTCCTTCGAAAAGCTTGACTTCTTTTCCTCCAATTGTCGCAGCACCACAAATATGATGACAATCGAAACAACCTCAAAGATAAAGAAGCCAACGAACACAAAGATCCCCGCATAAACGGCTTCTTTTGTAGTCGGCGGCACATATAATACACTCCATTTCAAAATGATAGACACGCCTACAAAATTTTCAATTGCGGTGTCGGGGTTCAGTTGACGGATACGAAACCTTTACAGATTGAAAGAGGAGGTTTGAAAACATATACAAAAAAATAATTTTTCTTATTGCACTGCAATTGCACTTTTCACAAAAGATTTTCCAAATTTTGGGTGTTTCAAAATGATAGACACGGTGGCTATTTTTGCTAAAAACTTGGGAATATGGGCCCCATAGGGCCTAAAATTTTTAGTATGACTGTATTGCAACTGTCTGGACTTTACTGAGCTCAAAAAGCCCAAATTTTTATGCAATTGTCCCGGAATTGCACATATACCTCCATTTTGTGCAATCTGGCCTGCATCTGTCAGAAGTCCACTTTCCATGGGCACAGACAGTGCAGATGCGACCTATGGTATGTAATGGAGTAGATCCAGTCAGTTTTCCCCAGTATTCGACAAAAAAATGCGTGGCAATTGCAACAAAAACTGCTTCCGCTGCGACATAGTCAGCTTTGAAGGCTACCCTACGTTTCGAAACAAGCTAGATGCGAAAAAAAACTTCTTGGCTGTAATGTTTAGGTTTTTGTAAATACGTTTAGCACGGTAGCATGTGCAGCATTGCTTCAGCAGGTCCGCAGTGCACCATTCTTTTGTGACTCTATGCGAAATAGGCTTAAAAATGGGTTAAAAAGGGCTTTTTGGAAACTTGACGTTTTCTGGCGTTGGCCCGACTGAACCTGGACATAAGGATTATGTAATAACGTTTGTATGTGGCTTTTCAAGATAGTTCAGAGCTTTTTTGGTTGTGCAAACCACAGGCACCCGCTTGAAAACCTTTAAAAGTGACGACTTTCGCTGCGGAATCAGTTTTCGTTGCAATTTCCACGCATTTTTGTGTTGCATACTGGTGAAAACTGACTGGATCTGTAATGGTCGACTTTAGATAATATAGAAAGGTTTATTAGAGAATAATTACAAGAGAATTACAAGAGCATTAAGAGAGTGGAAGCGCTTCCTCGAATGATTTCGAGGGCGGCTTATATAGTAGATTGGGTTGTTGTAGTTTGGGTTGCACACATTCCAAACTTGGTTTTTATGAACTCAGTTTCTGCTGAGTCACTTTGTGTCCTCATCCGGTTTCGCAATCCGGAAGCCATCGATCATTATTTCTTCATTGTTTGACGCACGTAATGCGCGTGGTCATTAATCTTGAACTCCTTGGGCGTGGTCTCCTTTGACCACTCCATTCGTAGTGTAGCGGCGGTGTTCACGTGGTTTCCGCACGGCTTCCATTATTTGATCATTACAATATCACGGCCAAGAGATGAACGCGTCTCTGCGTTCCGACTTTATCCGTAGGATATTCTTCAATGTTGTCTTCTGGGGTCTGGTTTGTTCTTGTTGTGTTGGTTCCAGTAATGGGGCCAAATGCTGTCGATGAAGTCATTCTTGTTCCAGCGGAGGATCAAGAATCGGCGTGTGGGGGACTCTTACGATGTCCTCTGGATTGTGTCTGCTATCGGCCGATGCGGTGAGTTTGTTGATTTTAGTCGTGATTCCTAATAGTTTCTTGACACCACGGTTGTGCTTTCACCAATCGTGGCATGTTCCGTCCGACTTTTTGCTCCCGCGTCCAAGGCTTCAACCGTTTCCAGAAATTACGTGTTCATTAAGGATCGAATTTTGGTGGCCGTTTCTTGTATTTTTCCTTCTTTGTTTGGCCGTCTCGAGTGCTGGTGCGTTGTATGTTTACTGGCGGCGTGTCCAGCCGGTCAGGGAGCCACGGAGATCAGAAGAAATGATTGATCGGGGTTTGGAAGAGAGCAACCTTTAACTGTTTTTGGACAAGAATTTTTGAGAATAAAATAAGATTTTTGGCAAGGCCTTTTCTTATTTACAGGATTTTCCTGCTTAATATTTTTCTTGCGGTTATTTCTGATATTTACATTTCCAATTTTCCGATATTTTTAGACTTCGTATTTTTTTGTCTTTCTTTTTGAAATTACTGTTGTAATTTTCCTTTTTGCTTTTCTCTTTTTAGAAGCGAGAGTGGACATTTCGGAAGGTAAAAAAAAGACTGGAAGGCATTGCGTTTTGCGCGGGGAAATTTTGGAGAAAGATGATTTCATTGTGATATGGGATGGGGAGAAAGTTTTAAAAGGTGGGAAAGAATGGAAGGCAGAGGGGGAAAAAATTTCGGTTTGGGAATAATAAGTGTGACACATAATCAAATTCTTAAATTTATGAAAAGAATTATAATGAGAAAAAGAGAAATTTGGAAAACGATGGTTCAATTAAATAGTAATGACGTTGTTTTTTAGAAAAGGTGGGGGGTTTATTTCTATATCGTGCTGTCGAATGAAAAGGATTTTAGCTATTTGGAATTTTTTTTTTCGGGGGTCTCTTTTTTTTGTAATATTATTTTGATAATTTTGCATATTTATTTTGCATATTTCGCATATTCCCTCTTTTTATTTTTTTTTATCATTTTTCTTTTTTTTCATTGTATCTCTGGTAATGGGGCATATAGAATTTGGTACTAGGATTATAATGTTTTTTGTGAGGTGAAAAGGAACTTTAATACTATTGCTTTTTGTTACAATTATATATTTTTTATATTTTCTATTTCTTTTCTTAACTATGTAGCTATATATATATAAAAAATATTTGCAGAATAGGTATAGTGCTTAAATGCTGCTTTCTTGCCCTAGGATGGGGCTCGAATCTCGAGTAAAATATAGCTTACATTTGTTCACGTGAGTAGTTGTAGTTTTTCTTGGGTCACTTAGGAGTCGCGCTTTTATGATTGATCGGCCACTTTCCAGAACGCGGAAGGGTCCGATCCATGTGGGTTGGAATTTCGATTTTTTGGCGGGGTCGATGATCAAAATTAGATCATTTTTTGTGATTGTTTTCTGCGAGGAAGGAGCTGACGGTATTGGGGCGGAGTCGTCAATCGGATCGTTGGTTCGCTGGGTTTGTAGCGCGGCTTGTTCATAGGCGTTGTTCATGGCCATAATATGTTGCATGGCCACGTCTGTTTCACCATAAGTTGTGCGGCGTTGCGAAAAGGTGCGAAGAAGTAAGTCACTTGGGAGTAGTGGGTCAAATCCATGCATTAGGAAGAATGGGGTCTCCTTGGTGGTAGCATGCGGAGATGTGTTGTATACAAAGACCATTTTTGATAAGTGTAGGTCCCAATGGGTACTGTAGTCCTCAGCTGCCGTTTTGAGCATGACGGCTAGTGTTCTATTTACCCTTTCCACTTGACCATTCAGATGCGGCGTATTTACCGGGGAATATTGATGTTTAAATCCATAGTGTTTTCCTAGCTGCACGAAAAGTTGGTCGGTGAACTGGCTGCCATTATCGGAATATAAGAGTTCCATAATTCCGAATTTTGTGATTACGCTTTCCATGAATGCGTTGATGACAGTCTTAGTTTCTTGGTTTGGCATCGGGGAGACCATGACGTATTTGGTGTGCGCGTCAATAGAAACCAAAATGTAACGGTTTCCATTTTCAGTTTGCGGAAGTGGTCCTTTGATGTCGATATGAACGCGGTGAAAGGGGAATAATGCTGGTTGAAAGGGGATGGTTTTCGCCAAGGTCTTGTCTCCGGGGTTCACCTTGTTGATTTGGCATTGGGGACAAGAGCTGATGTATTGTTTCATGTCGCGAACCATTCCGTCCCAGAATACGCGTTTTTTGAGGTTTGCAATACTTTTCTGTAGACCTTGATGAGCTCCTTGAAGGTGGTCATCGTGGAAATCAGTTAATATTTTTGTCCTTAATTCTTTGGGAATGTAAATGCGGGAAATCCCTTTTTTGTAATGATGCAAAACATCATCAATGAATCGAAAATTTTTGAGTTTTAGTTTGAATAATTTAAGACGTCCTTTAGTAAGTTCCGGAAAAATTTTGTTGTTGATTGCGTTCGCAATTTCTATGCAGGTGGGATCGGTTTGTTGAGCGTTTTTAACCGTATTTTGGTCTAAGTAAAATATATTTACAAAAGAGACAGGTTGGTAACGGCTAACGTAGTCAGCAAAAGAATTTGATTTTCCGGATCTATGTTCTATTAGAATATTATACTGTTGTATGGCTAGTTGATATTTAGCTAATCTTCCCTGTAAATCTTTGCGTTTTAAAAGTGATGTGAGTGCGCTGTTATCTGTTCGGATAAGGGTGGGAATATGACCTTCAATATATGGCCTAAATTCTTTTAGTCCGAATACTATTGCTAATGCTTCGGTTTCTACGGCGGGATATTTGGCTTCAAATTTGTTTAGTTTCCGGCTAGCGTAGGCTATGGGTCTTGGAAAGCCATGGTCATTTTTCTGTAGTAATGTTGCTGCTAAACCCCATGCCGAGGCATCTGTTTCTATTATGTAAGGCCTATCTTGGCGTGGTGGGGCTAGCGTTGGAGCTTTCTTAAGGGCTTCTATTACAGCTTTAAATGCTTTGTCTTGGGATTCGGTCCAGCGACTGGGAATAGAGTCTCCTTGTTTTGTTAATTCGTAAAGGGGTGCCATTATAGTGGCGAAACCTTCGATAAAACGGCGAAAATAGCTAACGGCTCCGATAAAGCTTCTTAGTTCTGTTAGTGTTTTTGGAATTTGAAATTTTGCAACGGTTTCTACATTTTTAGGGTCCGGTCGTATCCCTTTTTCGCTAAGTAAAAATCCTAGATATTTTACTTCGTTTTTGCCGAAGAAGCATTTTTTAAGTGATAGTTTGAGTCCTTTTGATCTTAGTGCGCTAAAAACTTCCTCGAGGTCCCTAATATGGTCATTTTCGTCTGTACTGGAGACGCATAGATCATCAAGATAAATAAAAATCTTAGCTGTGAGTTCTCCTTTTAGGTGATCCATGATTCTTTGCATTGTTGCGGGCGCGGCTGTTAATCCAAAAGGCATTCGTAGGTATTGAAATAATCCCATATGCGTGATGAATGCGGTCTTCTCAACGCTTCCCGGAGCTAGCGTAACTTGGTGGAAGGCTTGAGAGCAATCCAAGGTTGAGAAATACTTGTGGCCGGCTGTAAGATCAAGGATCTCTTGGATGTTGGGTAGGAGTTGAACACGTTTAACGGTGTTTTGGTTAAGTTGGCGGTAATCGACGCAAAGACGGTAGGTGCCGTCTTTCTTCTTTACCATTACGATTGGTGATGCGAAGGGGGATGATGATTTTTCGATGATTTTTTGGTCCAATAATTGTTTGAGTTGTCGTTCAATTTCGGATCGGAGTGGAAGATGGACGCGATAGGGTCTTTTGCGAGGGATGTCCTTCGGGTTGATGAGCTCGATTTCGTGTTGAATAGGTCCGGTATATTGACCAATTTTTCCATCAGTTCCAACGAAGACATCAGAGTAACGATGAATCAACCGGGTTAGGTACTTCTTTGCATTTTCGGATAATATCGAATCTTCCAAATCCGGGTTCAATTGTTGCTTGGGCTGTTTTCCTGCCGGGGGAAGAGTTTCAATGTAGTCCAGTTCAGGTGGTACGTGGATTTGCTGAGGGGATTGTACGAACATTATTGGAAAGGATTGTTGTTGTGGCACTTCGGATAATGTTCCAATTGTTTGATTCTTCCGTAGGGTTACTGGGGCGTAACCAGCGTTTATAATTGTTACGGGGACGTAGTTGGGAGTAGCCAAACGACATAATACTGCTGCTGTTTTGACCATTTCGTTAGTTGTGATGGCGTCTTCAATGAGCACTGTCCTTCCTGGAGGTGTCGTGAGTGTTTTTGCCACGATAAAGTTATCTGAGCGTGGTGGAAGGTGTTCGTCCTGATTAAGTACAATTTTGCAGGGTTCCGTAGTGAGGTTTGTCTCCAGATTGAATACGAACGGAAATATTTCGTCTCCAATGTTGATGGTGTTTTGGTTTAGATCGAAATTCACGGAGTGTCCTTGGGCACAAACTTTCCGAAGTGCATCTGTGCCAATCAACAATTCTGACGGGCAGTGGTTGTCTTCAGATACCAACATGTGTATCTGTAGTTTTAGTTGTCGGAATGAAACGTCAGCTTGTACTTGACCAAGAAATTTGAAGGTCGTGTCGTTCACGGCACGTGCAGTAGCCATCGCTTGGAGGGGAGATATGGGAAGTTGCAGCTTCCTGGCAAGCGATTGTCGGCAGTACGTGATGGCTGAGCCGCTATCCACTAATGCGGCGACAGGTTTGCCTTTGATGTGTACGATAATCTTGGGTTGAGTTCCTGTTTGGATCGAGTAGACTGGAGGTACGTAAACATGGTCGAGGCATGGTGCTGAAGGTGATACATCTTGCATTTCTACAGCGTTGACTGGGTTGTATTTTTGGTGTCGTTTAACATGTCTGAGAAAAGTGCTGATGTAAGGACCGTAGAGGAATAGTGCTACTCCAAGGGCTAATACTGATAGAACAGCGACTGTGATTTCTTCCCAAGTATCCAAATTTGGGAAGAAAAAGTTTATCACGGCGTCTTTCCATCCTTTTACTTCTTCCATGGTTAATAGAGATGAAGTTGCTCCTTCACTACTTCCGTCGGATACAAGTTTGAGTTCTGGGGTATCACTTTCTTGAGTAGCTTGTAGTGTAGTTTCCAGTCGGTTAATTTTGTGTGCGTAGGAGTTTAGAATGGAGGTAGAAACGACTAATCTGGTCCATTGTGGTTGGTAGATTGATGCGGATGAAAAGGTAGGTAAGGTATCGAAGTTTAGTTGAGTTAGCGCTCGGTCGATTTGCATCACATTGGCGTGTCCGATGGGAGAAGTCCAGGTGCCATCGGCTTGTCGGTACACATTGACAGGAATTTGATCACAGGGTATTTTTGTAGAGTTGTATTGCAATTCGTAGGTTCCGAGAGGTGCGAAATATGTTTTGTTGTTATATTCCACTGGGACATCGGTCCAGCACGAATCTCCGTATTTGTGATTCCAATGAACAATGTCAGGTTTGATTGGTTCGCAAGTAGAGACAGCGAATGCTTCGCCGGAATGGTAAGCGATAACGTCATCTCTGTTAAGCCAAGATCTGACAGCTAAAGTTGGGTTAAGTTTTGACAAAGCTGTGATGATGGCCACATTTTGATTGTGAATGGAACAGATGTGAGCAAATAAGTTTGCGTACTCGTCGCGGATAAGTTTAGTTACCGTGAGGCTGAGGTATTCCAATTTTACATTAGCGGGGTCATTTGCTTCGTAAGGAGGTGCCGGTGAGGGAAAGGGTTGGGCTTCAATCGGAGAATTTTGTCTCCGAGTAGTATGCGGAAGGGAGGTAGGTGTCATTGGTGCCATAGTGGTTTTTCCCGTGATGGAAATAGGTGTCGTTACGGTTGAGGTAGCTATTTCCGGGTTCTCGTCACTTCTTTGCGGATTTTTGGCGGTTTTTGACGTATTATTTGTTGAGGATCGCGCTTGGACGTTGATGGGGTAGTACGGTCCCTGGGCTTTTTGTACTGGGGGAATTATATAACGATTCCGATCCTGAATTCGGGTTTCGATCGCTGATGAGGGTGATGTTGGGGCAGTTCCTTGGGTAGTCCTTGAAGTGGTTGATGCTGGTTTTTATGTCTCCGATTCGAGGTTGTTCCTTGAATTCGAATCGTTTTGTTCTGAGCTTCGAAGCGGTTGGGTATTCTGGGTGAAAGGAGATGAATACGTCATTTTCCATTCGATAGGTGTTAATAGGGTAGCAAAACGAGTCGTGGACGTCTGGGTCTGTTTTGTTGAATACGAAGGCAGCTTGGAGTCTTTGGATTATCACATAAGTGTCGGAAGCTAAAGCCAGAAAATGTCCAGCTGAAGTATGTGAGCAGAAATCTTTTGTGTCCGTCACATTCCAAACTGTTGTACCTTGGTTCGTAACACAGAGAGCATCGTTGTAATGGCAGTTATGTAGATTGTCGATTTCGGATGATACAGTTATCCCGTTTCTGGAATGTATTAGTCCTTTTGTTACCGTAAATTGAAGTTTTTCGCGGCAACGACTTCCAAAAACTGCGTATTGGGCGTTGATGAATCCTGAGGATTGCCAAACATTTTCGTCGAGTCGATAAAGTGTTTGGTTGTATAGCGTCATTCGTTGGATCAAGGTCCAACATTCGTTGGCTGTTAAACTGTGATGTTGACTTGGTGTCAGTCTTTCAAATGCAGCGATACCAATTGAAAAGGTGCATCGTGTTACTTTCTTAGCCTGGCAGTGATAAGCTTCTTGGTAATGGGGTCCCAGTTGTGGTACAAAAATTTCGACGTTTGTTTTTCGTACTGGAGTGTCATCGGCTACTGTGCAATCTTCTTTTCTCGGAGGAGCGAGATATAAAGCTCCTTTGCGTAAAGGGCAGAATTGAAACTGGGCCATAGTCAGCGGTAGTACGGATAGAGCAGCCAGGGCAACGATTGTCAGCGAGGGCAACAAAGCGTTAATGCCATAACGGGTTGGTCGAGGGTGATTGGGCCGGTTCCTGATATTGGAGTTTTGATTATTGGATTGTGGACGGTAGTTGGCACGGGGTTGATAATTGGAACGGCTTGTGTTGTTGTTGAAGAAGAAGGGCTTGGATGGTCGGTTGTTGTTGTTGAATTTTGAGAAGAAGCGGTTGAATGGGCGGCGTGGCTGCCAATTTTTGTTGAAACGGTTCATTTGGGCATGTGGTGGTTGGACGGGTTGTAACTGGTTGATGGAGATATTTCCACCTGCGTTGATGAGTTCATCACGTTTCAATTCTTCTTGAAGTTCAATTTCGGATATGGCCATGTCCAAAGCTTTCTGGAGGGTTTTTGGGCGTTCTTTGCGTAGTAGTTTGGCTTTGACGACTGGTAATAGGCCAGAGAGGAAGATATCTACCATAATTTCTTCCTTGAACGCGTCTGTATAAGATGTGCTTTCTGGATATCCTAATTCGACAAGGTCCCTAATGGCTTGAGCGAATTCGGAGGGGGATTCGTTTGCGCGTTGTTTGCGAGCTAGCGCGCGGCGTCGGAAGTTTGAAGTTAGTTGGGTATTTGCAAATTTTTTGGCTAGGAGATTTAGAATGGGTTTTAATCCTAATTCTTTTTTTCGTTCAGCAGGTGGTATGCTTTCGTAAATAATAGCTGCTTCACCCCTGAGAAGAGCAGGTAAAGTGGTTAAGTATGCCTCATCGGTCCATTTGAGGGCTGTGGCTACTCTATTTAATTCTCGTATGAATTCTTGGAAAGTTCTGGGATCAGTTCTTCCAGTATACGTAGGTGGTGCGATATGCGCAGCTAAAGACATGGCGCCTAATTGATTAGCTAATGCGGATAAATCTGGTGGTGAATTATTTGACATATCTGAATCTGTTTGGAAAATTTGGGTTATTCGCCTAGGAGTAGGGATATAAAATCGGTGAGGGGTTTTTTCTTTAGGATTTTCTGAATTGTTTTCTGGAGAATTTGAAAGGGAAGAGTAATCTGTAGCGGAAGTTTTAGTAGAGCCGCTATCGGGAGTTTTTGATTTTTTGGATTTTGTAAATGTAGCTGCTAATGAATTATATAATCGCGATAAAGAAAATGGGTTATTAGTTTGGGTACCTGGGGATCTGTTTGGTTTTGCCGGCTGTCGCCCTTCGTCACTATTTCTGGGATTTTCTTGGTTTAGACTGGCTGGTTCCGCGGCGGTATTCTTCTGGAGATTTGGCGCGTGGGAAGTTGATGGCGCGTCTACGTTTCTTTCAACGTAATGTTTTGACTCTTCAGGTTCTACGACGTCTGATTTCTCAAGGTAGCTATTTAAATCTTCGGGATCTGCAAGATCTTCTGGGGATGAATCGGCTCCGTCTGATAGAATATGGTTTCCTTCGGCTGCTTGTTTAAATGCAGAGGTAGATTTGGTTCTTCTGGGGACAACGGTTTTGGGAGGGGTTGTCTTCTTTATTCGTCGTGCTACTGGTTTGGTTACGGTTTTTGCGGGTGGTTGATTATCGAGGTCAGAACGGCGTCTTGAACTTGCTGTTGGGCGTAGGTAGCTGGGGACGGCCTTAGCCTGTGTTTGGCTCCTGGTTTGGACCACGGTGAATTATGTAGCGGAAGGGCGGCGACAGTGACTTTCTTTTTGGCCAAATTTTGGGTTGTACAACACTTTTGCCAAGGAATTAATTAAGCCAGCGACCCCCACAAGTGGGAATTAATTAAGGTGCTGACCCTTGGGCTTTTAGACAATGAGTACTACGGTGGAGTTCGAGGTGCGGACCTCCACTTTTTGTAATGGTCGACTTTAGATAATATAGAAAGGTTTATTAGAGAATAATTACAAGAGAATTACAAGAGCATTAAGAGAGTGGAAGCGCTTCCTCGAATGATTTCGAGGGCGGCTTATATAGTAGATTGGGTTGTTGTAGTTTGGGTTGCACACATTCCAAACTTGGTTTTTATGAACTCAGTTTCTGCTGAGTCACTTTGTGTCCTCATCCGGTTTCGCAATCCGGAAGCCATCGATCATTATTTCTTCATTGTTTGACGCACGTAATGCGCGTGGTCATTAATCTTGAACTCCTTGGGCGTGGTCTCCTTTGACCACTCCATTCGTAGTGTAGCGGCGGTGTTCACGTGGTTTCCGCACGGCTTCCATTATTTGATCATTACAGATCTACTCCATTACATACGATAGGTCGCATCTGCACTGTCTGTGCCCATGGAAAGTGGACTTCTGACAGATGCAGGCCAGATTGCACAAAATGGAGGTATATGTGCAATTCCGGGACAATTGCATAAAAATTTGGGCTTTTTGAGCTCAGTAAAGTCCAGACAGTTGCAATACAGTCATACTAAAAATTTTAGGCCCTATGGGGCCCATATTCCCAAGTTTTTAGCAAAAATAGCAACCGTGTCTATCATTTTGAAACACCCAAAATTTGGAAAGTCTTTTGTGAAAAGTGCAATTGCAGTGCAATAAGAAAAATTATTTGTAGGTGCAGGTTTTCAAACCTCCTCTTTCAACCTGTTAAGGTTTCGTATCCGTCAACTGAACCCCGACACCGCAATTGAAAATTTTATAGGCGTGTCTATCATTTTGAAATGGAGTGTATTATCCGACTAAAGTCAGGTAAATGGGGATCTTCAAATTGCTGGGACAGCTCTAGAATAGCAGCACGGACTTCCTGAAAAATAAAAAAAATTTTGGAAGCAAATTATTCCGGCCTTTTTTAGAAGCTTGGAGACTTGTAAATTTACTAGGCTCCAACTATAGTAAAGATAGCAGCTAACGAAAAAAACAATCTTTTCTGGACGTAAGAATAGCAAGTGAAATGAAGTGCAGAAAGGTAAACCCCTTACAGTCTGTGGCCTCTGCATCGGCGCAAAAATGAAAATCCCTGCGGAAGTGGTGATTGCGAACGCAATGATCCATCCTCTGATCCACGTAGCCCACGATAATGTAAAGTCGAGAAGTTTGGGACTATTTTGTAAGATCGCATATCGAAAAAACAAACAGTAGACTTGAGTGGACAACATGTGACAAGCTGTATTTATTATGAACACTAACTGAAAAGCATTAAACGTATCTTGCAAAACGTATTCCAAATTCATCTTACCGACAGCTTAGCGCCAACCTCTCCCAAATATTTGAATAATCCATTGACATAGGCGCCATTATATGGGAAGATCAGCTCTGGCTGGAGCAAATGGCCAAGCGATAAGGAAAATAAAAAATCCCAGGACTGGAAATGCGAATCTTCACACTGCGTATAAGTAATAATACTACAACAACATAAGATGATGTAATTCTTACCGTAAAATTGACGACAAATCGCTTGTATCCACTCATACTTTGCGGCGAATGGAATAAAACGACATAAATTACGAGTAATGAGAGTGCTGTAGAGACTGCACCCGAGATAAAAAAGAGAATATCGGCGCACAAATCCACGTACGAGTAGACTGGCATCCAAGTTTTGTTCTTAAAATTGTTTTAACCCCTTGAAAGACATTCTTCATATGGCATTTTATCACCTGTCTGAATCCGACATGTTTCTTGGTGTCGCAGAGATCAGCTGGCCATTTATTCAAGGAAAATTGGGAAAGACAAGGATTCAAAATGACGTCATCTTAGCTTGCCATCATTTATCTTGAATTAAAATTAAATTTTTTGCAAACAATAAGATTTTATGGCATAAAAGTGTTTAGTGTGCTCTCCGGAGCCATCACCATGATAGGTTCAGGTTCATTCCCGTATTTTCCAATGGTAATTAGCCGAATAAATGCCATGAATTTTGATTTGAGGTAGACCCGATATGGTTTTACCATATACAAAGTAATCACTGAATTGGATGTACCATAGAGCTCAATATACATGATAAACAGAGTCCCTGTTGCGTAACTCATGGTGCCATATGGGTAGTTGAAAAGAAGGAAGAGTGTAAAAGGCGCGACAATATGGAGAAATGGAGTGAGAAGCTATAAAAACTGGTCCTTACAGAAGAATCGTATCTTGATTTACTGTACGATATAGCTGTTAGATTTGCATGTTTCTTACCTGAACCCCCAACGCAACAGTCAATTGTTTATGCAGTCTGTAGGTCTCCGGAGAAAAACTGGCTTTCTTCTCCTCCAGTTGCCGTAATACCACAATTACGACGCTGATTGATACCACTTCGAATATGAAAAACCCAACGAACACGAAAACTCCAGCATAGACGATTTTATCAGTGTTTGGGGAAATGTAAAGAATTAACCGACTGAAATCAGGCAACTGCGGATCTTCAAATTGCTGGGAGAGCGCGATGATCTCATTGCGAACTTCCTGTAAATAAAAGTATGTGAGGATGCTGACATTACTACGTATATAAAGCCACAGAAACACGACAGCCTAGAGGAAATTTCGTTTCTAGAAAAACAAATTGTCCTTACCGCCTGTGATTTTTGAATCGGCGCAAAAATGAAAAATCCCGCAGAGCTGGAGATGGCGAAAGCAATTATCCAGCCTCTGATCCAAGTTTTCCAAGATAACGTAAACTCCAGGAATCTTGGACTTGTTTGCAAGATGGCATAGCGAAAAAACAAACAGTAGACTTGAGTTGACAGCATGTGACAGGCCGTATTTATGAGAAATACGAACTAAAAACGTGATTGAAAATTTTGATCTTGCCGTTACTTTATCTTAAAATCAATTGTCTTACCGACAATTTGGCGCCACTGTCTCCGAAATACTTGAATAATCCATTGATATAGAAGCCATCATAGGGAAAGATCAGCTCCGGCTTTACTAAATAGCCAAGAGATAAAGAAAACAGGAAATCCCAGCACTGAAAATGCTCTTTTTTAATTGTGGACAACAATCACATCATTAATGCTTAATAAAATGTAATTCTTACGGTAAAATTGACGACAAATCTCCGGTATCCGCTCATACTTTGAGGTGAATGGAAACAGACCACATAAATTACAACCAAGGAGAGTACTGTAGAACAAGTACTTGATATAAAAAAGAGAATATTCGCAATGAGATCGGCGTTCACGATAAATGCCATTGCATTACTTTGTGCAATAATTGTAACAGAACGAATTTCGCCATTAATTCGGCAGTCTTCACCTGTTATGAAACCATCTGTGGTTTGGTTTTGCGAATGTTGTGGGCATTTTAACCCGGAAAAGCGCCGAAAAAATTTGGAATGATGTCATCTTCTGAGAATGATAGCTTGAGAAAATCCTGAACTGCCGTGTGTAGCATTACTGTGATAAAATGGTAAATTTCGCGTCTTTGAGGGTACGAAAGGTGTCGCCAATGTGCCCAATTTCTTGCCGCTTGCCATCTAAATACATATAATCCCAAGGACGCCCTGTCTTCTTATACCTTCATTTCAGAGAAGCCTCTGTGTAAAATCAATGTTTCAATAAACGGTATTGAGCGTGCTCTCAGGTGCCATCACCATGACCGGCTCAATTCCGCACTTGTTAAATGTGATGAGACGAATAAACGCCATGCATTTTGACTTGAGATACGCTCGATATGGCTTGATCATATATAATGTAATCACCGAATTGGAGGTCCCATAAAGCTCGATGTACATGATAAAAGATGTGCCTGTTGCGTAGCTCATTGTGCCATAAGGGTAGTTCAAAATAATAAACACAGTAACTGGGATGACAATGTGGAGAAATGGGGTTAGAAGCTAAAAGAACAACCCACGAAAACAGTTATCAAGTCCAATGTTAGTCAACGAAGTCTAATTTCGCTTACTTGAACTCCCAATGCAACAGTCAGCTGTTTATGAAGTCGGTAGGTCTCTCGAGAGAAACGGGATTTCTGCGCTTCCAACTGCCGCAATACCACGATCACAACGCTGATTGACACCACTTCGAATATGAAGAACCCAACGAAAACAAAAATCAAGGCGTAAATTACTTTGTCTGTGTACGGAGAGATGTAAAGTATTAGTCGACTGAAGTCAGGCAACTGGGGATCTTCAAATTGCTGGGATATTGCGAGGATTTCATTGTGAACTTCCTGAAATCCAATTGTTTGAAGAAAATTTCAAATTGAATTATTTATTCTAGTGATTTTATTATGTTTCCTTACCGCTTGGGTCTTTTGAATCGGAGCAAAAATAAAAAATCCGGCTAAACTGGAGATGGCAAAAGCAATTATCCAGCCTCTGATCCAAGTTTTCCAAGATAACGTAAACTTCAGGAACTTTGGACTTGTTTGCAGAATTGCGTAGCGAAAAAACAAACAGTAGACTTGAGTTGACAACATGTGGCAAGCCGTATTTACTATGAATACGAACTGAAGATGGCATTGTTAAAGAGGAATTGACGAAAATAATTCTCTTACCGACAACTTTGCACCGATGTCCCCGAAATATCTGAATAATCCGTTAATATATGCGCCATTATAGGGAAAGATCAGCTCTGGTTTCACTAAGTAGCCAAGAGATAAAGAAAACAGAAAATCCCAGCACTGAAAATGGACTTTTTTAATTGTAAACCACAATCACAGCATTACTGCTTAAAAAATATAATTCTTACAGTAAAATTGACAACAAATCTTCGGTATCCGCTCATACTTTGAGGTGAATGGAAACAGACCACATAAATTACAACCAATGAGAGTACTGTAGAACAAGTACTCGATATAAAAAATAGAATATTGACAAAGAAATTAACATTCAAAGCTACGTGCGTTAACATGTTGTAAATTTGTTAATTTTATGGGTAGACTTTAGTCGTTTTAAGATATTCACCTGGTGTGAATCTAACATGTTTTCCGGCGCTGCAGAAGTTGTACATTTATGCAAAAAGTGGCGTACGAAATAAGCTTTGAAACGACGCTTTGGAAAAGGAATCTTGCAACAATTGTATCGTGTCGCTGAAGTAAACCATCGAGAAGAGCACTTACCGCGCTTTCTTTTTACAGAGCGTACGGAACAGTCAGTTCGATGATTACTTTACACTGATCGACTACCAATCGTACAAACCAGCAAATTTTTTATTATACCAATTCAATAAAAGTCATGGCTTATGTTGAGAGTGCTCTCAGGTGCCATGACTGGAACAATTTCCGTTTCTTGACAAAACTTTCCACAACTAATGAACCTAAGGAAAGACTTTGCCTTTAATTTGAGATATGTTCGGTAAGGCTTTACCATGCCGAGGGTAATCAACGAATTTGAAGCGCCATAGAGATCCATGTAGACGTTGAATAGAGTGGCAGTCTCAACACTCATCTTACCATAAGGATAGTTGTAGATTACGTAGATTGAGACGGGAGCGACAAGATGGAGGAATGGGGTTAGAAGCTGAAAAGCCGAGGTTACAAATAGCTTATGCAACGTCTAAAGATTAAACTTTTGGCTTTTGAACCCACAGCTTCGTACCTGCATCCCCAACGCAATTGTCAACTGTCTGTGGAGACGATACGTATCAATTGAAAAGCTTTTCTTCCTCTCTTCCAGTTGTCGTAAAGTGATGTAGACTACTATCAACGAAGCGACCTCGAAGGTGACAAATCCGATAAAAATAAAGAGCCCTGCGTAGATGGCGTTCCCTGTGGTTGGTGGTGTGTACATAATGACTCGAGTAAAATCAGGCAGTGGATCGTTTGGAAAGTTCGGAGCAAGGGATAGTATCTCTGCTTGGACTTGCTGAAAAATTAGTGTTAAGTTACACAATGTTGCAGCGCCTTGGAAAACATAATTTTTATAAAATTCGATGTCTTACCTTTTGAGTTCCTTGCATTGGCGCAAAGATAAAGATACCGGCAGTTGTTGTGATCGAAAATGAAATAAACCATCCTCTGATCCATGTTTTCCAAGACAAAACAAAATCCAGCAGTCTTTCATTATCCTGCAAGATGGCGAAGCGAAAAAAGAGGCAATGGAACTGCGCGGATAATGCGTGAGCTGTTGTGTTCATAAGGAAAACTACCTGAAACAGTATTAAATTCAGTCTGCAGCCTTACTGATGCTTTGGCTCCAACGTCACCAAAATGTTTCAGAAGGCCAGTGACATACGCTCCATTGTATGGGAAGATGACTTCTGGTCTTACCAGGGCTCCTAATGTTAAGGAAATCAGAAAATCCCAGGCCTAAAAAATCTGTTTTATTGTAAAGCCATTACTGATAAACTAGCAACTAGATGACTATAAAATCTCACCGTAAAATTGACGACGAACCGTTTATATCCAGTCATGCTTTGTGGCGAATGAAACGCAACAACATAAATGGCCAATAAACAAAGAGTTGTGGAGAGAGTCGTGGAAAGCGTGAATAATATACCAACAACAAGTCGTAGACTCATTGATTCGAACAGATAAAACTTTGCATAGTTGTAACTTGAACACACTAAAGGCAGTCTTTGTCCAATTAACGTGTCCTTTCCCAAATTTTAACCGCAAATCACCTGACTCCAAATGTCGAAGAAAAATAGAAAATGAAGTCAGAGAATTTGTCGTCAAACCCTTCTTTTTGTGCCGGGGTCGACGAATTTGGAAATGTTAATTGATGCATAACACGGAGTCCCAAATAAAAATGCAAGTTCAGGACACAATGAAAAGGCAAAGTTGTATGCTTGAGAAATATACTCGATAGGGTGTTATGATGCCCAGAAGATTGATTGAAACGTTCAAAAAACAGCAGTTCCAATGCTCATCTTACCGTGCAAATAATGTAGTAACACCAAAATGAGAATGTTAATTCGATGGAGTCTACTGATTACTACATTAAAATTAATCTCAAAGTCAGTAAGAAGAAAAATTAACAAGCGAGAGATGACATTTTTTGGCGATTCAATTTTTATTGTAATAGAATATATGCAATCTTCCTGAATATTGTCACAAATTATGGCACCATTCTTGATCCTCTTCTTAAACTTTTCTCAAGTCCATCAGCCCTTCCTCTAGTCGATATAGACTTTGTTCTTATCGCCCAGGGCTCCGTCTTCCACTCCTCCACCCTTTTCGAACTACTTCTCCATCCCCACATCGCTTTGAATACAACCCGTCGGTACGGTGCGATGAAGTAGAGGGTAATCATTGAGCTGATTCCTCCGTACATATCCATGCACAAGACTAGGACCTGCCCTGTTAACTCGCTCAGTCCCGAGCGGTAATACCGACCGAACATGATGTACATCACCGGCAGCATGATGAAGATTATCGGGGCTATCACCTGAAAGTCGAAGGAGCAATAAAAACGTTCGTATAACCAAAGACTGCAGAAATATTTGTTTATACATACCTGAGCCAGCAACGCGGCAGTCAACTGTCTATGCATCTTGTACGTGGTCGGAGAGAAAGTGTGTTTCTTCACTTCCATCTGATGGAAGATTGTGAACACACAGCCCAACGAGATGATCTCCACGATCATAAAGCCGAAGACAACCAAAAGCCCCGTTATTGTTGCGATGGTTCCACTAAAATTCATGTAGATATAAACTTCATTGTCCAGATTGGGAATGGGGACTTCAGGATGATGAGATGCTGTGTCTCTGAGGAAGTATTGCAAGTCCTGTAAGCACATGCTTTACAAAGAAAAAAAAACTCAAGGAAAAACTCCAGCTGGAACGGAAAAATATTACATATGGGCTTTTGAAATTGATATTTGTTACCACGCCTCATAGAAATATTTAATCAGAAACAAGGCATAACTAGACTGCTCAACAAAACGTCAAAACCATACCTCACGTCTGACCTGAAGCTTCACGGAAAGATATGTAGTTCCAATAGTAAAAATCACGTTGCCGGTGTAGGCAAATGTCCATGTAATTTTGCTAACTACGAATTGTAATATCGCTTTATTATCCAAGAGCACGGAAAATCGATAAATGATGCAAGCACATTGCGCGGACAAACAATATGCCAAAGCGTTCAGGATTATTGCAAACTAGAAATGGTTGGTTAACAGTCAAAAAACTGCTAAAAAGTCGTCAAGTTTATACAGATTTTGAGGAAATCTGGAGCGAATCAAAGTCTACAAAACCTTTCCTTTTCTTAGCGGTCTCTTCAAAGTACCGGCTAAAGTTTTGAGCGATCGATTGACTTACTGAAATAGCTCCGCCAGTATCTCCCAATCCTCGGACAAATCCTTCAACCAACCCTCCATCGAATGGAAATATTGGGAACGGCCGAACAACGAATCCAACACAAAATGACATCATAAAATCACACAGCTTTAAAAATTTAAATTACTTTTTTTAATGGATTTCAAAATTGGTTACAAAAACTTACCGTAAAATTGGTGATGAATCTGGTGTAAGTTCCCATACTCCTCGGCGAATGAAAGAAGACCACATACACGACGATCGAGGAGAGTATCATGGACACCACACTTATCGCCGTTTGGAGGAACCCGTACATGTTGACATGAGTGTTATCGATACAACATTTCGTGAGGACAGTTGCACCTGGTAAATATTTCAAATAAACCCAAACTTTTTCGCGCTCTTTTCTACGTAGGCGCATGGGAATTAAAGAAAATTCGGATATTCATTGCGCATTCAAAGGTGTACAAAGTCCTTTTAGATTTGTTTTGAGAATGGCAGACAGGGAAGTTCCCGGGGAAAATAAAAAAAAAGGAGAAAGATTGGAGTTTCATTGCCCCAAGCGTTTTTGACTTCAGGTTGTTCCAAGGGTTGAGAGTTGTGAGAAATCATCAAAGTTATTCCTTGTAGAACGCGTGGTAAACTGTATACATATAACCCGCATTTTCCGCAACACTAAAATATGGGAGGTGCTTTATAAATTTCTGCGCGCTAGTCCGTCCGAACCCTGCGGATTTAGTCCAAAGTTGAAAGTTCACAAAAAAAGGGGGAGGGGAGGAGGAGCCGACAGAGACACGCAGAAATTTTTACAAAGAGAGAAATTTTGCAACGTTGTGTCAGATTGCGCAACTTTTAACTTTGAACCAAATCCGCAGGGTTCGGATGGACTAGCGCGCTGAAATTTATAAAGCACCTCCAATATATGTATGTAAACGTCAGGAAAATTGGCCTGGAAAACAGATATTAAAATTATGGGTAAAAACGCGAGTTGTCATCCTGGAAATATAAGACCAAAGTCAACGTCAAAATTTCGGTGGACTCTGCAAAACGCGAGCTTAGAGGTTTTTGGGAACCGTAGCCCTTGAAAAATATAGTCCTAAAGTCCCTCGGTCACTCGGTTATCGCCAAAAAACAAAAATTTTACAAATTTTTTATTATATTATATTAGAAAGCAACGAATTCTAAGAGCGATCTCAAACCCCACATCCTGTAAACTAATCGTATCTGGCTTCAAATCCAATTTACATGCAGAGTTATTGGAATCAAAGTGGGCTAGAATAATAAAAACAGAGCCATTTTCTTCGCTCCAGGCTTTTGAAGCTATTAATATTTATACAAACTTTGAGTTCAGCCGCTCCTCAGCATTGTAAGCAGTTTTTAATTTCGCAGTAATAGAGTTGCCAAAAACCCCTGAAATGTCACGACAATAACATGAAACTGTTTACTATGACTTACTGAGATACGTACGAGCTTCTGGGAATTCTTTATTTGTTAATTCCAGGGTAATGTGTGGATGCTTGTATTATAATTACTATTTTGACTATTTTCCTTGAGCACAAGAGTTGAAATTTACGCCGACTTTTTTATGTTCAATGAGTTTGATTAAGGTACTTGAATTTATAAAAATCTTGAACTGTATCTGGACTGCATGAATATATTACACATTACTCCGACAACGGCGGTCACGTAGGTTCTTGTAGCACCGAGTCTGTTATGCAAACGTGATAAGGACTTTATCCGTATTGTAATGTTTACTGAGTTCAATATTTTAGCTGGAGGAAACTTAGAAAATCACCGAGCCGTCCTCTCGCCCTTCAATTCGAGATGTAAAACCCTCTATAACACTTGCGTTTTGATATGTAAAGCTTTATCAATAAACATATGGGCATTGTATGGACGTCCTTGGCTTAAACGCCATTTCCGCTTTGAACGAAGCCGGGTTGACCGAATTGGCCCTCTTTCTTGGCTGGTTATACGATCGACTGGTCGCTTCTAGGTTCACATCGATCATATCCTTTGTGTAAAGACCACAACTTATAAAGGTAATCAGTTTGCTGACTTTCCGCAGGACGTAAACTCGATAAGGTTTCACGAAATAAATTGTGATAAATGAATTAGCGGCCCCATAAAGATCCAGCGAAAGAATTGCATATTGGCCAAGGCTGGCGTTGAAACCAGAGTTCAAAATTTGGCAGACCAGAGATATTGTAATCGGACACATGATGAAGAGAACCGGAGTTGCCAGCTGAAAAGAGCACCATGTTTTTGCATAGCCATCAAAGTCTACATAACGCCCATCTAAAGGGTCTTTACCTGAAACGCCAACACTGTTGTCAGTTGCCTATGCAGTCGATATGTACGCTCAGTGAAATTCCTTCGTTTTTCTTCCAATTTCTTCAAAATGTGATATATACAACCAACCGACACAAACTCCGCCGTAAAGAACCCTATAAACACAACAGCGAGAGCACTCAGAGTGAAGACATCCACCGATTCTTGCATGTAAATCAGCACTGAATTAGAGATATCTGGAATGTTGAGTCCCTCATACGAGGAGGCCAGCCGAGGATACAATGAGATCATATCATCTGTCGCAGCCTTTGATTAGAGTAGATAAATATTTGGTTGTCTGAACTCACATCTCCTTCCAACGTCATTTTATAGAGCACATAAGTATTTACCCCAGCGAATGTAAACTTGCCAATGTACACAAAAATCCAGGTTGTTGGCCGTAGCATCCCATGAAAGATCCTCAAATCGTCCATCAACATCGCATATCTGTACATAATGCAATAACATTGGGCAGAAATGGCGAATGCGACTGTGTTGAACATTAGAGCCATCTAAAAACAGGTTAATTATTGCCAAGATAAACCTTTTTTGACGATGATTTTTTACTGAATTGTTAGTTTTATTCCAAGACAAGGTTTTATAGACCAAGAAAAGCGCAAAGCTATGAGTATACAATAAAGAACTTACCGAAAACTTCCCTCCAAAGCTCCCGAAATGCCTAAACAGCCCTCTGACATAAGCGCCAGGGAAAGGAAATATCGGATCCGGATGAACGAAGATCCCCAGCTCCAGAGCCAACAATAAATCGGGGATTGTAAAGTTCAGGACAAAAGGAATGTAACTTTTCATACTCTCCGGTGAATGAAAAAGGAGCAAATAAATAACCAGTGCCGGGAGAATCACCGAAATCATGCTGATGACAAATAAGGCCACATCAAACCAACTGCTGGTTGTGAACATGTTAAGGTAAGTAAAAATGGGCTCACGTCAGGAACATGGAGTTTTTAATTTTGTCTGGAAAAGGTTGTAGGCTTGAGAGTGAATAGAATTTACCGCGTGAATGTAATGCATATTAGTCACAATGCTTTTACAAACAGTTTTATTGGGTTATGGTGATTTGATTAAGGGCCATGTTGAACGAGAAGTAAATTACAGTGGACTTTGAACTAAACCATTATAAAACTAACTTCACAGACTCTTTCTTTAATTAAAATGATACCATTTTCAAATTAATATAACGTTACGGGCATACGAAGCGAAAATAAAACTGCACTAAACGACCATAACACCCCAAAACGGTTATGTTAACATGTCAAAAGTTTGATTAAACAGAACAACGAGAATCCCGTAAGCTATAATTATAATTCTAATGTTAAAATAATTATAGGGTCAACATATCATCTGGTTACTTTATTCAAACATCAACAACGCGTATTTTGAACATAAGGTAACATTTTTTTCTCTAACTGCTCCCATGGAAATGATTGTACTTTTAAGCCAAAAAATAGTCCAAATTCGGAATTGCATGATTAATTTTCTTTGTCTTAAAGACTTGCGCTTTACAGGGTGCACCAAAATTTGTAGGTGCGAAAACAGGGAGAGTTCCATAACTATTGGCGGAATACTCGCCAAGCCTTGTAATTTGGAACATGTAAATTTGAGAGCTATATGTGTTTGCTCGAGAAATTGTAGCTATAAAAAGAGTAAGCAAATTGGAACATGGCCCTTTGAAAACGGTCAACTCTTCACCGAAACCCATAAATTCACTTTTTCGAATAAATTCCCACATTCCTCACGTGGAACTTACCTGTTCATTAATGCCCACGAAGTTCTCTAAAGAAAGTCATAAAAATGTTCCTGATTGTTTGCTAATTCTATAAGGTCAAAACCAATCATCTTTCATTTTTCAACCTTATATTAGGTTGTTCAACAAATAGTGAGCCTCTGTGAGAGGGGCAAAGCTTAAAGTCTCTAAAAAAGACAAGCGATGATCATTATTTGTTGGACAACCTAATAAATAATAACCCAACAATCATACTCTTTTCCCTTATATATACTATAGTTCAAACTTTGCGCCCAATACGCCGTTATACACACTGCATTTTTTGCCAGTCAAATTTAACTAAATTAAAGATTATGTCCGAAAGTGTCTGACAATTACATATTTCAACACTAACGATCTCTTTGCATTTGGTATTCACGGTAAACGAACTCTTATGCAATGGAACAGGTGCACTCCCATTTTATCATTTTTTTTTCTAATTTTATTTCATCGCCATTCCCATGTAACCTTTCATCCCTATCGTCGACATGTCGACTCTACTCAATATAGCTGACGGGATCTTTGTTTTTATCTCTTTGTTATCAATTCTCTCGCCTCTAATTGTACTTTATATCGTTATTATACTCCGCCGATTTAATTTGGACCAGTCTGAAACTTGAAAACGGTTATAGATATGAACTCCATTCCTTCAACAAGTTTGATCACCAGTCGACTCTATGTTCAACTGTAGCCAAATATTTCCTCTGCCTTGAGGCACAAGAAAAATATTCGAATTTTGTAATTTTTTCTGTCGAAAAAGTTTGGACCAGGGCAACAAAAATTTGCATTTCTTTATCACTAGGTGGGGTGAAACCATGATAACTTGTGAAAATAATTGTGATTCCCTGCTGATACTAACGAGCAGGGAATTCCGAGATTAGCGCTGTGTTTAAGGCCCTGAGGGCAATTTTTAAGAAAATTCCCAAAATTCCAGAATTTTTTCGCCCTGGCGCTTGAGTAAGAAGCGTAAATCGACTTAAATTAGTTTCTGTGCAACCACAGTATCGTGTACATCTAATTGGATGACGTTATAAAATAGTTTTACATCTAAAATTTTTTGTTCTTGGAGGATTTGCGACTTTGAAACTTGGGTTGGCGATAATAGTGAGGCCACTGCGCTCAAACAACTGCTAAATCATACAGTGTTTTGCTTGGGACATATGAGGGGCATCCCACACTTTCCTTCTGTGTCAAAACAATATCCGATTTACACGCGACAAATGCACAATAGACCGAACACTTTGATAAAAAAATTTAAGAAGAGGGTGCTTACTTAAAAGTTTTCCAAAGTGAAAAAAGATGGTCCTATATGTACATTGTACGTTTATTCCGCTATGAGGTGCTAGACAGACCTGATAGAACTTAATTTGATGCACATTAAATTGTTTTTTCTCAACATGTTTCGACTGGGCCAACGAAAACTTTTTTTATCAAAGTCTTCGGTCTATTGTGCATTTGTCGCGTGTAAATCGGATATTGTTTTGACACTGAAGGAAAGTGTGGGATGCCCCTCATATGTCGAAAGCAAAACGCTGTATGATTTAGCAGTTGTTTGAGCGCAGTGGTCTCACTATTATCGCCAACCCAAGTTTCAAAGTCGCAAATCCTCCAAGAACAAAAAATTTTAGATGTAAAACTATTTTATAACGTCATCCAATTAGATGTACACGATACTGTGGTTGCACAGAAACTAATTTAAGACGATTTACGCTTCTTACTCAAGCGCCAGGGCGAAAAAATTCTGGAATTTTGGGAATTTTCTTAAAAATTGCCCTCAGGGCCTTAAACACAGCGCTAATCTCGGAATTCCCTGCTCGTTAGTATCAGCAGGGAATCACAATTATTTTCACAAGTTATCATGGTTTCACCCCACCTAGTGATAAACAAATGCAAATTTTTGTTGCCCTGGTCCAAACTTTTTCGACAGAAAAAATTACAAAATTCGAATATTTTTCTTGTGCCTCAAGGCAGAGGAAATATTTGGCTACAGTTGAACATAGAGTCGACTGGTGATCAAACTTGTTGAAGGAATGGAGTTCATATCTATAACCGTTTTCAAGTTTCAGACTGGTCCAAATTAAATCGGCGGAGTATATGCACTCTCCATCCAATATGCGGGGATATACGAGATTTATTGCCAATTTTACGGTAAGAATCGACCGAATAAATGGGAAATGGCGTATTTTAGCTTTGGGATTTCATTTTTTCATTTGTCCTCGGCGTCCTTGTCCGACCGGAACCGATTTTTCCATTTACTGGTGCTTCTGTCAACGGGTTGTTTCGATATTTTGGAGATCCTGGAGGGAGTTGTCGGTAAGCTAAAGAAGGGGTTTTCTAGAACAGTGATGTCCAGATTTTGATATTCAATGATTTCTACTGATTAGAAATGAGTCTGTCGGGAAAATAATGGGCACAAAGTCGCTGCTCCGATCATGTCACTGAGGTAAAAAACAATTTGATTTGGTCGTCATACAATTCATTTTCTCAACGGCGATATGATCTAATAGGAAGCGACAGAGCCCTCATTATTTTCCCGACAGGCTGGTAGATGCTAAAGAAAAGAGAAATACCTTATTTGATAAAAAAGAAGTTTTCAATGATAAAATTTTTTCAGATTGTTTTCCTCACAGTTGCCGGCGGACACGCTATTCTTGCGCAATGCAACTGCCTTGCGTATCGCTTCGCCGTCCTTTACAGCAAAGAATTTTTGGCGTTTGTGCTTTCGTGGAGATCCTGGGCCAAAACGTTTGCAATTTCCGTTGTTATTACTGTTATCGCTGAGATCTACATTGTCAAACTTCAGGTTCCACAATCTGTAAGAAATGAATTTTGAACGATATTTTTTAACGTTTATTTTCGTTTTTGTCTCTTGTACTTTGCACTGTGCAAAATAAAATTTTATTTTTTAGCTGATTCCCGACAGAATCAAAAAAACCGCCGTTTCTTTTCCGCTGGCTGAGATCCCGGTAACCAAAGACCAGGTCTTTATGTACTGCGACGTCTCTGGTGATCTCTCAATGGTTACTTTATCTTTCGTGTTATTTGGATTCTTCACGGCTGAGTTTGTCTCCATCGGCTTCGTTACTTTCATCCTCAAGGAATTGCAAAGCAAAAAGGATAAGTTTTCAAAACGCACATATCAACTGCATCGGCAACTGACCATCGCCTTAGGCGCGCAAGTGAGAGAAAAGTCATAAAAAATTTTCTTCGTATAAGATGTCACCTCTCACTTAAACTCTAAAAAATCGAATTTCAGCTACTCACTCCAATTCTCTTCATATTGCTCCCCTTCCTGGCCATCCTGTTTATCCTCTACATCAACGCCTATTCCTCCAAACTACCCGGTCGCATCATTATAATTTGCTTTGAGCTTTATGGCTTCGCGAATTCGGCGATTACAATTTATTTCATCAAGCCTTATCGGAGTATTGTAATCTACAAAATCCGAGGTTTTCTTCGGCTGAAACGTCATGATATCATCGAGAAACGGCTGAGTGTAACTCCCGTTCATCCAATCGAATCGCTATTGATGTAGTTGTTATTTGAACCCATGGCTAAAGATATTTTTATATCTTTACAATTGTTATGATTAAAGTGTTACGCTTTGAAACTTTTTGTGGGAAACGGAATGAGAGTACGCATAAGAGGGGTCCCGAGTAGATCCTAATTTTTTTGCCCATAATGCTCAACCATCAGTTTCGCCCAAATCGAATTTTTTACCTTGGAACGCGCAAAGCCCACGGGATAAAACTTGTTCTGAAGGGTACAGTGGCAAGAATTACCTTGCCAAATTTCAGGCTATTGCTGACCTTGTACAGTGCGGAACAGAAAATTCGACATGGGCGAAACTCACGTTTGAGCGTCGAGCAAAAAAAAATTGAATTTACTTGGAACCCCTCTTAAATGTATCAATTAAGTCGGACATTAAAATAAGTAAGTATTTAGCAAGGAAAGTGCTCCAGGTGGAGAAAGCAAAAGAGGATAAAAACCGCTCAAATTTGTTACATAACTTTTTGGGACCTTCGAAATCCTTATAATCGGCGGAAAGATTTCCTGTTGATCTTTTTTGACACAACCTTTCCCTCCTTATATCAAACATCAAACACAGAGACATATAATGACACCAGAATAAGCCACAAGACACCACATTCTTCATAGCTTTCACCGTATTTCGAACTTTGAAAACGTCGGTCAGGTGAAAATGTGCCATTCTGCCGCATAACTGAAGGAAAACTCATCTAGAGCTGCGCATGTTCCTTGATACTCTATTCCTAATAGCCAGTATCTTCTCCGTTCTCTTGTCTGGACTTGTGATTTATGTCGTCCTCTTTCATTCACCTCGAAATATGACGGGGTATACGAGATATATCATCAATTTTACTGTAAGTTCTTGACTTTATTTTTGTTTATTGAATCCCTATGTATTATCTGTGCATATACGAAGCCTGTAATCTTCAGATATTCGACTTCTCCTTTTGTTTTACCCTTGGTGTTCTAGTCAAGCCCAATCCGTTGTTCCCAATTGCCGGCGGGTACATTGAAGGTCCGATTCGATACCTCGGAGATACTGGTGCTGTTTTGGCAGTATGTTCTTTGTGCCTTCTTTTTATTTTTAGTTACTGCTGATAATTAATACTGCTGGCTACTGCCTATCCACGCAATGTTGTTGCCTAGCCTATCGGTTCGCGGTCCTTCAGAATTCGCAGTGGTGGATGAACCTGGTGCTTTCGTGGAAGTCTTGGGTCTATGGTTATTTGATCTCGGCGTTTGTGAGTGCCGTGTCGGTCTTTATCTTTGCACGACTTCAGCCATCGCAAGAGGTAAGGATGCTGAGATTAATAGGGGAATTTCAAAGGTTTGCTTAAAATTAATCGCAAATCATGCCTATATTTTTTAAAAAGCTTTAAAAAGCTTTTGTTAATAAAAAGCTACGAAAGCAAATCTTTCCTTGTAAGCCCTTGTAAAAGTATTTATTTTCTACCATTGTTTCCAGAGAGTTCGAGAACTTTTGACCGCCGACTGCCAGATCCTCGGACTCCCGCTTCCCAACTTCAACGGAACTGTCATCCTTTATGTTGATTACCGAAGTGAATACGGGCTTGCTGCTGGAGTCTTTATCACAGTTGGGTTCTTTATAGCCGAGGTTGTATCGCTCGGGTTTGTCTTTGTTTTACTAAGGATGTTAGAAGCAAAGAAAGAGAGCTTCAGCAAGATTACCTACAAACTTCATCGACAACTGACCATTGCGTTGGGTGTTCAGGTAAAGATTGTGTTGAAAAAACAAGTTCGTTGTTCAATTTCAGCTTCTAACTCCATTTCTTTTTATCGTTCTTCCCGTCTCCTATGGAGTCATCCAAATATTTCGATGGAAATTGAGCCTGGATGCTGGGAGGATGATCATCAACTTCATTGAGCTGTATGGCTGCTCCAATTCGCTAGTTACGCTATATTTTATCAAGCCTTATCGCGACTTTTTACTGTCCAAAATCCGAGCTTTTATTCAGTTTGTCTCTGTTGGCCGGCTTTGTAAAGAAGTTCCCATAGTAATGGTCTCAGCCCCAGAAAGTACAGTAATCTCGGCGTTGATGTGAAACGTAATCCTGCATATTATGCATAAAGTAGTCTTTTCTCAAATTGTTTAAAATCATTTCACTTTTACGTTATGTACACAAATTTATGTTTAAAATCCAGTCGCCAGGTGATATTATTTAAGATGGAACCGCAGACCGGTTTAGAAATTACGCAAGCTCTGTAAAGTACACGAGTAAATGGTGGATTTAAGTTCATATACGGTTTATCTGTACATTACGAGCTTTATTTCAATATCTTTGGCGTTAACTGTGATCTATGTCGTTATTACTGAATCGCCAGCTTCGATGGGGACTTACCGAAGGTTTATCATCAATTTTACGGCAAGTCGGAGGCCATAGGATGATGTGAAGATTCTCTTTTTAGATTCATGACATTCTCTTTTCCTTTACTCTGGGGGTTCTGTCAAATCCAGACCCATTATTTCCTTACAGCGGATTTGTGATCAACGGGCTCTTTAGACATCTTGGAAGCTATGGAGCTTTTGCTGCGGTATGGAAAAGAGCTGCAATGTATTATTACATTGGCGGATCTGGTCCATTGGCAAAAAGCGTTCCATTTTGCATCCAGAAAGTATCAAAATGTGGCAAAATATACCTGCCTTTCCAAGTGAAAAAACTCCAACTTCAAAAAGCGCGCACGCTCTTTTCGTCAGAGAGAAGGCGCTTTCATTAGTTGAAGAGGGATGTATTTTGCTATATTTATGCTTCCCGGAGGTAAAACGATACGTTTTTTGCTATTGGATCAGGTACGCCACTGTAAATATTTTTTTTGACATTTCTGAAATTTTTTCTTTTTGAAGGCTTAACCTTGAAACGGTAAATTCAATTACTGTTTTTGGTCAAACTAATATTATAGATAAACTTTACAAAAATACACAGAAAAGGATCCCTCTGAACCCGACGTTTTTACCCTGCATAAATTTTCAGGCAGGTGGGCTTGTCGCGACTGCTGGCTATGCGCTGTCTACTCAGTGTGCCTGCATTATTTATCGATTCGCGGTCCTCCAAGAAGACCCTCGAATAGTCGACTTTGTGGTGTCTACTACAACCTGGATTGTCTGTTATATATCAGCATTTGGCGTGTGTATTTTTGCAGCGTCTTTGTTGAAACAATTTCTAATTCCTCAAGAGGTCAGCTCAAATCTTTCTATCTTGAAAAAATTGACTGTAAAGTGTACGCTAACCGTTTATTTTCAGTTAATTTTGGGGAAAATGGCACTTGTTCAGCCTTATATTAATCAAAAATTACCTAACATAAGTGGCAAAGTAGTGGTTTACTTTGATTATGACAATACTTTTGCGGCCATCACGGGTGGCGCTGTATTCTTTGGATTCTTCGCAGCCGAGTTTATTTCTTTTGGGTGTGTTTTTATGATTTTACATGAACTGGAAGCAAAAAAGGAGAGCTTTTCCAGTATTACGTATAAGTTGCACCGACAACTTACTATTGCGTTGGGGGCTCAGGTAAGGTATCAACAAGGTATACTGCAGAAAATCAAAGGAAAAAACAGAGAAAAAGCATTCTTTGGCAACATTTTTGTGGTCTTTCTGACTTCAGCCATGCATTTTTCCACATTCCTAAACTTTTTTATCTCACTTACAATTTTCAGCTCCTTACCCCATTCATCTTCATAATTTTCCCGGTAACGCTTGGCATTTTGGCGACTTACAATTACTGGAGTGTAAACGAGAGCTACAGTCAGTTCTTTGTCATCTCCATTGACTTCTATGGCGCCGCCAACTCTCTAATCACCCTTTACTTTGTAAAACCTTATCGAGTTTACTTGTCGAACAAATTAAAGCTGGCTCTTCGCTATCTGTCCTGTGGAAGATTCGGGAAAGGACCGGAAGTCATCGTGGTTATGGCGCCTGAAACCACGCTTGCCAGCATAATGGGCTGAATAAATGATGATTGAACATGTCGTGAACAACTTGGGGGTTGGCGATTTAAAATGCCAGGTGATTTGAGTCACCTATGTTCTGAGAGTCGTATTTTTAAACATTTAAACCTTCAAGACAGACCTTGGTCATCTGGGATTTAATGGATACGGCTTTATATTTTAGTATCGCCATATCTTCCGTCAGCATTTTGTCTATGGTATTGCCGATTATTGTGATTTATGTGGTCTTATTTGAATCACCTGAAGGCATGAGGACATACAAGCGATTTCTCATCAATTTCACTGTGAGTAGCTCTGATTTCTGCGAGCTGAAGTTACGTCGGATGTTTGTAGGTAATGGATTTCCTCTTCGCATTTTCATTGGGAATCCTGGTAAAACCATATCCGATATATCCGTTTCAAGGAGCTATCATCGAAGGGCCTCTAAGATACTTTGAAAATCACGGCGCTGTTATATCGGTAAGCAACTGTTTTCCGTCTGTTTATGTAATACTATAGCCAAAGTATGACAACATTTTTTCGCTATAGCTAGATTCGTGATGATTATGGACCTAATGTTTGCAGACAGCCTTCATAATCAATAGTGCGGGCTATGCGATGTCCACTCAGTGTGCTTGCATTATTTATCGCTTTGCCATCCTTCAGGCCGATCAACGGATTTTAGAATTTGTAATTTCATGGAACACTTGGATTGCTTGTTACGTCGCAACTTTCTTTATTACCGCCGGCACTGTTTTCTTGGCCAATAAAATGCAAGTCCCACAAAATGTAGGCGCTCAAACTTTTTCAACCACCGTTTTTTAAATTTTTTAGGAAGTTTACAGCAAGCTGCTCGAAGTCCAGCCGACCTACCCGGGAAGTGTGATCCCGGACATCTCGGGGAAAGTTGTGTTCCTACTCAACACTGGTAACGAATTCACGGCAATTGCCGCAGGCCTAGTTTTCTTCGGGTTTTTCGCGGCAGAAGTGATCTCAATTGGCTGCGTTTATATGATTTTGAGAATTTTGGACTCAAAAAAGGCTAGTTTCTCCAAGGTGACTTATCGATTACATCGGCAGCTGACTATTGCTTTGGGTATTCAGGTAAGGAAAAGTAGCTCTGTGGGTTTTGTAAAAGTTTCTAGTAGTTTCTAGAAGAGGAATTAACTAGTCTGGTCGTTGAGCCTATAAAAACCCTATGCATATTTTCTTGGGTTTAAAACTACAAAAAGAAACGCACAGCCTTGACCAATTTCTAATGTAAGCAAAAATTTTTGACGAACAAGGAGGTTTGTCGCCGACCGCTGGCCTCAGAAAAAACGGCAAACGTCATTGCATAGAGCAGGACAAAATTTAGTCTTCCACGATAAACTTCCCTTGCAAGGGGCCACCTCGCATATGCCTACAAAAGTTCGAACCTCGGCTATACATTTTCGTCAAATTAACTTCCACTGCCTGATCTGATGAGACCGTATTTTATAAAATACATTTTTCAGCTTTCAACCCCCTTCTTTTTCATCATCCTTCCTGTTTCCATCGGAATCATTCTTGTTGCCTCAAATTTTCGTGGAGGAAGTCATGTTGTCATGGAGTTGGCGATACTTTTCATTGATCTTTATGGTGCTGTAAATTCACTGATTACTCTGTACTTTGTGAAACCCTATCGAAACTTCTTGGTATTGAAAATGAAACAATTTCTCTTTACAATTACTTGTGGAAAAGTCAGCTCAGAACCGGAGCCGATTGTTGTTGCGGCAATGGAAAATACAGCCTCGGTGATTGGGTAAAGCATTTACGAATTGTTGCAGAATATTATTATTAGTAATAAACAGGCAGTTTGAAACCAAAGATCTTTTATTTTCAAGGAAAAACAAGTTCTGTAAAACAGTGTTCAAAGAATTGGCCTCTCGAACTTCGGAGAAAAGCCTAGACGGATAAAGAACAAACTTTGTTTCTTGTTCAAGGGGAATTGGAATAGCAAAATAGCAAACCAACAATCTGCAAGATCTGTAATGAGAAATTTGCAGGAGCTAGCGACATTTCATGGTTGGAAACATAATGTGTTTTCGACACCTTTTTTGAAAAGAACACATTTGCTTTTAATCTTTTGTGTACCCTATCACTATACAAATGAAATTTTCTTAAAACTCACAAAGATCTAACTGAAAAATGATTTTCCTATGGCCGTCTCTCTCCATTTTCTATAGTCTCTCATAATATTTTTCTATTATTATGCAAAGAATTATTTCCCATATAGAGATATACGACCAGCACCAAAAAGATGAACTTGTTATACTATTGATGACTAAAATTAATCAATCAAGCTCTATTAATCCACAAATCCTCAAAACTTTCCCCGGTCCGCGTGAACCCAAGCTCTCGAAAAAAACGTATTCGTATTGTCCCGGGATCGGGAATTAAATTTTCTTTATTTATTTTTTCTCGAGCCCCCGGGGGCCAAAAGATCTCAAGAGAGAAAAGTGAAAATTTGATCCGTCTCATTCAAATCCCGTTTCGCAAGCGTTCCAACGTGAGGAAATCGGAATGCCAGCTGACGTTTTCAAAACCGGGTTAATCCCCAATCAAGAAAAGGTCGTTTGTTTTTAGGAACCGGGCCAAAACATGGACTATATATTTTGCAGATCTGGGATTGGACTTCTATTATATTATCCTGCTAAATATTTGTATGTACTGGAGAATCTTAAAGGATGATCTTTGAAAAAATTAGAAAGTTTTTGGCTATGGAAGCTGTGGGAAATAACTTTTAAAGAAGAAATGGCCTAATTTTTGTATCATCGGCTTTCTATGAACTTTGCTTACACTAAATAGACCTTACAATTGTATCCTAAAAATTTTAGCTCCAGCTTTGCTATTCAAAAATCTTTTTTTTTGAGACATTACTCAAAACAGTGACAATTTATGACACCAAATACTATTTTGCTTTTAACTTTTTGAAGCCCTCATATTAGGATTCTCAGCTAACCCCTCATCCTTAACAGCTGTCTGCCGTTCCAAAGAATGTTTTGATCTCGCCTTTTCCAAGAATAAATCCGTGAAGATTTTGCCACTTCTTTGCTCGTTCTCTCGTGTTTTTGTTTTTTCCCGTACAGCCTTATTACTAATAGTAAAGTTCTTTTTTTTATTTTTTTCTTATTTTTAGGTCAATCATCCGAAATGAGTGTCCGAAATACGATATCCAAATTCAATACAATCGCTGACGATACTGATCACAAATTGAAAAAGTAAGGGCTTTAAGAGCTTTTCTGTAGGTTATGTAGATTTTTTACTGTATATTTCATTCTCTGAACTATTTAGAAATCCATTTTCTAACACATACGAGCAACAACAGTATGACAAGTCAGCTTCTGATTACGGCAGGCCCACTAAGGGATCGCTGACGGAGAAAAGAGGAATCAAGGCCGGAAATTATATTTTGAATCAGGTAAAAATCACACACCCGACATTACGACTGCTTTATTTCAGGTTTTACATCTGTGCGAGATTATCCATAAATACGGAGAAGGCCCGTTGGAAAGCAGGACAATCAAATTCGGCTATCTCTTCAAGCTCTATGAGTTTTATTCGGATAAGGTAATGGGGCTAAGCTGAAATTGCGCTAGACAAAACATGAAGATAGTGTAAATCAAACTCAAAACTGTGCCTTTTGTTGACTTCCTAATCATTTTCTTCTAGGTGGTTGGTCTCCTAATAAGAGCCCGCAAATACAAGTTACTAACGTTCGACGGGGAAATGTTATATCAGCGCCAAGATGACCACAAGCCAATTGTAATGCTAATGTCGATCGATGACATCCGATGTAATGTTGAGTTCAGTGGAGACCCGGCAGCGGTGGTTACGGTCAAAAAGTAAAAAGTTCAAACAATTCAGTATTATTTTTCACTGCTTGTTGTTGGTTGTATATTCATTACAAACTGGTATCGATCTTATATTTTTTATAAACATGACATTTGTTTTTTTTTTCTGAAGTACGAAACATTACCAATGATGTATTTGGCAGTAGTTTCATCATCAATTTTTACATCACCGGCAGCAAAATCTGAGAATTATGTGGGAGAATCAGACTCACAGAGCTCTTCTAAATGACTTCACATTGCGTCCATCTTATAAAGCACACAATCGCAACAGATCGCTTACACCGGCGCCCATCATACATATTTCAGGCAAAGCCCAAAACTTGTTGTAAATTACTGCCTAATGCAATTGGTTCCCACGAATTTTCAATAACTAATTAGTTCAGACTTAGTGAAAACGGTGCCTTTTTCATTTCTCTTCAACTGCAGTCTTACCTTGTAATAATGATGATCTTGAAGCTGAAACCTTTCAATAACGATGGACGAAATTTCGTGAACCCTTATTATCGTCTTTAGAGTTTGTTTCTCTCAATATTCTATGTCAGAAAATACGTGTAAAGTCTCTTGATCCAAATGCAGCGTGTTAACACGATCTCCGGGATACTTTGACAATAAACTGGTGAGATGATGAGAAATAAATCGTCATTCACAACAAGACTAAAATAACCTATGATCATGTGCGTTATTCCATTGAAAATTCTAAAGGTAGACATAAAAATGGGGTAACTGCAATATGCACAGCAGTTTTTACTACTTTTGTCCATTTTATACATTGTATTTTGACCATCATTACCAACGGTTCTGCGTCCCACCACGAAAACTTTTTTAACGATAAATTCCCTTCAAGGTCCATGGAATTCGTCCGAAGTCGTCAACTGGGTGGCCACTTGGGTGGAGCTGACAAGTTTGCGTCAAAAATGGCTTCCACAGCAAATCCTGGAGCCAGCAGAGATGCGGTTAATGTCAATGCCCTGAGTAAGTTTCTTTTTTATTTTTGAACTTCAAGTTTTAGTTGCTCAACATGCTGAACTCCAGAGAAAGCTGAAGCTGAAACATTGCGAAACTAATGGTAAGCGAAAATTTTATGTGATGTTTTGATTGAATCAAGGTTCTGTTTTGCCTACTGCAATATGAATTATTTTTTATTCCAGCCTTGAAGGAGCATCTAAAATCGTTGATGGAAGAGAAAACGACTCTTGAACGGGAGGGTCAAGCCAAGTTGGATCGTTTGAACACTCTGAAGCGCCTTCACCAAGCCAAGAAAGATGAGCTGGCACGCAATTTGAAGATGAAGGCAATGTTCGAGTCGTGTATTTATCGGGATTCTGACGTAAGAATCTGCATTGAGGTGCGGAATTAATTTTAGGTGTCCTCGGACGAAGAAAGTGTGGAGATTCCAGACTTGAATCAGCTCAAGTTGGCCAAGAAAGCGTATGAGGAAGAGCTGAAGGATCGAAAATGGCTTGAGCAGCTGCATCAGGTATTCAAGTTTTATTTTATGTATGTTCATCTTTTAGGCAAAATTTCGGGCTGAGAACGCTGAACACGAGAAGATAAAAATAAAAGAACGATACGATGAGGAGTTAAAACTGTTTCATGAGGCCTACGACAAGTGTAAGATAAAAATTGTGTTGGTTTTATGAATCGTTTTAGTGGATCGTTATCGGCGGCTGAATTACCGCGATTTTATTCTGGAATCAGTACTTACCGCCAAGAAAATCCACGAGCAGAGGAAAAAATTGGCCGTTTTCTTGGTCAGAAATGCTAAAGTAAGGTTTTCAATCGTTTCGTCTTTTATTTTTAGTTCAATTCCACTACTGATGACTCCTTGGAAGAGGATTGCAAATCTCCAGAGATCATAAACCATTCTCATGTGGACACACCTCGCCCTCCGACGGCTCGACCATTGCATAGCAAGGAGAATGTTGTAAAACCTCAAGAAGTTCATGTTCGGCCGAAAGTTGATGTCGAAAAGATTGCTTCGCAGCAAAAAGGATACTCCAGCGATGCAGAGAGTGTAATTTCCACTAAAATGAACAGCCAGCCAATTCCTTTCGTCTCGGATTACAGTTCACAAGATCCTCGGAGTAATGAATTGGAAGAAGAAGACATTATGGAGGAGGATCAACAAGATCTGGAAGAAAATGACAGTCAAGGTACGAGTTTTTTTGGAAAGGTTTAATTAATAATTTGGCCTAAAATCAAAAATTTTTATATTGTACTTGTCGTTTAGTTGAAGAAGAAATGCCCCAAGTGAACGAAAGCCAAGAAGATTCGGTGGTTATTGCAGATGATGATGATGAGCAAAATCGTTCTGATAGTGTGCTGCTTCATGACGACAAATCGTTCGAAGAGCAAAATGAGAAGGAAAATAGGGAGGGAGAGATCGGAGGTGGTGAAGGATTCGGTTTCCATGTGGATGATGATGAGAATAATAGTATCATCATCGATGACAATGAGGTAAGTTGTTTTTTTTTTGTTCAATTCTGTGTTTAGGAAAAGGATGACAGCTTCAAATTGGGCGATTCTCTCTCGTTGACAAGTCAGAACAAAGATGTAAATAGAATTTCACCCAAATCCCCTGTTTTTGCGGTCCCAAAGGTCCCAGACAAGAAATTGGGCAAGAAGAAGGCGAGTGAACCTGTTTTCAATATCGAAGGTAAGACGATCTAGGCTTTTTTTATTATCCGTGATCTAGGAAATGTGTAATCTTTTTAATTTCAGATACTTCCTTCTCGTTCAGCAACTTTGACCCCACCAAAAACGGGTCCCAAAATGTAGATGGGGATATATTGGGACAGATCATCGATACCAGCATGAATTCGGCGGATCCAGCAAGCGATTTTCTCAATTTGGCGGGCAATTCCGCCGGTAACGATACTCATGATGGTGGATTTAACTTTAATTTGTTCAATTCGGATGAGGCGGAGGAGATTGGAGATGATAATCAATTCAATTTCAACTTGTCAAATAGCGGCGACAAAAATGAAAATAACTTTTTTGGATTCTAGAGTTTTGTTAAGACTTTATTTTGTTGTTTGTTTCAAAGGTTTGTAGTAACGTTGTAGATATTCAAATTACCTTGTTTTGGTTGTTATTGTTGATTCTTTTAAAATTTAAAAATAAAAAAAATGTTTTCCTAGATTGTTGATTTACAGAATTGCTTTTGCCGCGATTCTCTCCCTTTTTACATTGTCTTTCAGTCGTTATGGAGCCGAGTGGTCGTGTCTCTCGGAAAATGCCCAATCAGAAAAGAGCACAGAATTCTGTAAGAGGAAGTCAGCAGCCTAATTCTTCACGTCAAAGTGAGCTATTTCCATTATTTTTGTTGGCCTTTAGGTTACGGTAAGACAACATCGGAAACTGAATTTTCAGAAGCCAGGAATCAAGGAGAAAAGAACCGCAGAGAATACCATCCAAAGGTCGAACCCAACAGTTCCAACAGCAACTCGGACAGCGGAGTTATGGCCTGGAAACCTCTGGCCACGTCTTCATCGAGTGGGCCAAAGAGAAGTAAGAAGTCGAAGAAAGGAAAGAATCTGGCTGGGAAAGGAGCCAGACGAGTCAAGATTGCCAAGGTTTGTCCGTTCTTTTGTTTCGTCTGATTTTAGAGGTCATCAAGTTCCGAGGAAGGGTCTCCGGAAGACGAAACTCTCGAGAGCCCGACTAACTCGTCTTCAAAGGCGAAAGTGAGTGGCCTAGTGGCGGTAAATTCATAACTTTTCTATTTTAGCGACCAATAAAAAAGGAAGAGTTCAGATCGAGCAAGAAATATCAGGTAGATCGAGTTGGAGATCACAAGTGTAAGGTCAGAGTCAAGCCCCTCGGCAAGTTTGCGGAGACCAGAAATATCTACATCATGCAAACGGGAACTGGTAAAGGGACCAAGGAATTTCTTCATTACACGAAAAACGCCCGCTCAGATGACCGTAATGAGAAGAGCAGCAGTTCGGAGTGAGTTTGCTACTTTTTGTAGGCTTTTTGATGACTAAAGTTATGTAATATTTCAAATTCCAGAAAGGTTACAGCTCCTGCTCGTTTTCCAAAACGGCCTTCGAAGAGGAATCCCCCAAACAGAAAGAGCACCGAAGCTTTGGACACAACCAAGAAGCCTCCGGGACCTCGATTACGATCCCCCACTCATCATCCGACAGTCCCCATCAATTCGACTTTGGAGAAGCTCTCTACTGTCGTCAATGATCATCTCCCCACCATGGATCCCTGGGAAAAGGCTGTTTATGAAAAGGAGAAGCTCATTTATGCTCCATGGTGCAGAAGGACCGACTTCCAATGTGTTCCAGAATCTCTCCAAAATCTGGGTATGGCGATGAATGTGACTGTCAACGTCTGTGTTAGAGCTACCAATATTCGGTCTACCAATCCGCACATCCCGATTCCATGTTCGGAGCGGGAGGGATGATTTTGAATAAAATTTGATCTGTGACTGGCAAGTGTAATATTTAAAAAATCGTATTATGTAAGTATTTACAATAGAAGTGGTGAAAATAGTTTATTTTGTTTTCAAACTGGTTAAAACTATATAAATTGCACGAGATTTAACAAAATAAGACAAAAAAGATAAATTATGAAACTATTTACCGAATACACAAAATATTTTGACATTATTGCCATGAATTTACGACAAGTAGAGAGAAAATGACCAGAACAACCATGTTTTCTTTCATGGGAATAGAAAGGAAATACGTTTAAGGCACTAAAAATTAAGAATAAGGCAGAGGGATCAAGGATAATATAATCTATTACGCTAATAATATTTTGATGATAACCTGAAGGTAGTGGACCGGGGATGGTCTCAAAAGCACCAATTTTAAATACAAACACGACAAATTGAACTAGACATACGGGGCACACAGTTTTCGATATTATGGATGACATTTGAAGCTAAATAAAAAGACTCATCGATACTTGGCATCAAAGACACTAGCCGCAAAGTCTTTGTGATGGCTCCATCCGTGGAAAAGTTCTCTGAATCGTTTGGATTCGAGACCTTTCACGGACAACATGAGCTGTCTTTCCTGGCCTTTCATTTTCAGATTATTCACATACGCATTCGCTGCCTGATACGCCAATTTGCATTCCACTTCACTGGCTGTTGTTCCACACCACATCAGCACATATTTCCCACTGTCTACAATCATGACGTCATCGTTGTCCAAGTCGTCTTGACAAAAATCGACCGTCTTTTCGGACACACAAAAGTGGCCCTTTTCGTTGGTACAGCGGAAAAGGCGAGTGTAATTCATGAACTCGGCATCTTTTGAGTACTTCTTCTTCCCTCCTAGGGCTGTCCAGAAGTCCTCTGGCTCATGGCCCTCATAGATTTCGACCACATCATAGTTGTTCTCGGCATTCAGCATCTCATTGGCGATACTTCTGAGGGTCCGATGGTAGTAGGTGTCGGATTTATCGCCAAACCAGACGTAAATATCTCCATATTTGGGGATCTCCTCTTCTTCATCACCCAATTCCTCGTCTGCATCACCTAAAAATACATTTTTTAGAGACCAATTGTCAAGTACAACATAATGATTTTTTCAAAATTAATTTTCTCTCGATTGAATGACTAACTAACACGTATGAAGCAGAATTAAAATAAAAATTCTCACCATTCTGTGCCACCTTCTTCTTCTTGACCACTTCTTGATCATTTGGGACAAGGAGAATATAACCGAAAGCCGAGTTCAGATTCTTTGCTGACGTCTCAATCTGAATCGTCCTTGTATTAACTGAGCTTCCATTAGCCCTCATCTGATACAATTCGGGGACTTTTGGCTTCGGATTTTTGATCCTTTCGGCTCGAGATCCCCTTTTTATCGTCAACTTTTGTTGGAAATGTGAGAGGAATTTGTGATTTTCCTGCTGTTGATACATCCTCACTACTTCTAGCTTGTCTTTAAAGAGAGATTCGAACTTCTTTTGCAATGTAAATGTGAAATGCAACCATCCCATATTCCCGGCGTCCCTGCCTTGCCAGAAGTAAACCACGCATTTGAAGTCGTCCGGTTGATCTTGATCCGGCTTTTTCTGTTCTATACTGCTTCCACTTTCGGTTGCGCCGGAACTATCTTCATCCGAGAAGTCGCTGTCATCATTCGTGACATAATATCGGCACAAAAAGACGTAGCAATCCTTGGTACAGAAGGTTCCGAATTCATTTTTGGGGAGTCGGACAAATTTTTTGCCTTCCTGAAAAAATAATTCCGTATTTTAGAGTTAAAATTGCAAAAAAATAAAATTTTAGGTAACAAATGCCTAAAGCAATATTGACTTACCAAAACAAAGCTCTCAATCACTTCCAAATCGGCGTTACATTCCTCCATTAGGATCTCACTTTCTTCATGGGACATTCCAGGCAGTCTGTCCGTAAACAACGCCTCCGTTTCGACCTTCAGCTTGTCCTTCTCCATAATCACCTTGATATCAGCGCCTCGTCGTTGGACAGTTTCGGCAGTCATCGTATAATCAACTCGTATTACATCGTCCCAGCCGGCAAACTTTTGTCTAAACCATGTCGATTCCTCTCCTTCATTCTCTCGACATAAATCTGTGTATTCCGGACGTTGGATCATGGTGTGCAGCTCAGCCGCAATCTTTTGACCGGCCAACTTGAGAAGTCGATTCGCTTTCTTGCCCATCCAGAGGAACAAATCGCTGGTGCAATCCAAAATAAATACCTAAAAAAGGTAAATTTTAATTAGTTATATTAGACATTATTTTAGATAAAATCTTCTTTTCTTTCCCCAAAAAATCGTTTGAAATCTCACCTTATCAGTCCTAAGGACATCCTTGTGCAATTTATTCCCCTTCAACTCCACTTGTGGCAATTCCATAGATCCCATTCCCATTTTGACCATGTATAAGATCGATTTCGGTGGTTTGAAGTCGTCCGGTACATGTTCAATAATGGGCTCTCGCGGTCTCTTTGGCTGTCCAATAAAATCCATCCAAAATTCTGGAGGGCATCTGGTCTGAGTGCATTCTTCAATCTCGGCTCTGTCTTTTCGATCTCTCTTGTTTAATTTACTCGCAAACAGTCGGACTTTACTCGCCGTTGTGTTCTGCAAGAATAATACAGTACAATACTCCTTCATCTTGTTATTCAAACATCGAAAAAAATAAAAACACATGGGAATCCATCAATCTAACTTACACTAGCTTTGACTCCTCGCCAAATCCAAATAGTCTTCTCTGTATGTAACAAAAACACGAATCGTGGATCCAGAGAGTCGTAGTTCAAGGAGACTGGCTCCATATTCACTTTTTGACCTTCTACGGAACCTCGATATAACCTAAAGACATAAAAATTATAAATTTTCATCAACAACTATACCTAAAATAATATAAACCTTACCTTGTCACAAATTTCGGCTTAACAACCGTGTAGAATCCACTCTGAGTTCTTCCACCCGAAATATAAGTTATATCGTCATCAAAAAGATCAAGGAATTCATCGCTTTCATCATTCATATCTTCTCTATGAGTACTTGAATCACTTCCCAAATGATTTCGCAAATGAACGGCATGAACAGCAGCACACATTCCCTTGTCCAAACTTGCTTTGTCACCGATCCAATAGTAGATCTGATGTGTTAAATGGCCATTTTCATCTTCATTTGTCTTCAAAATAATATAACAATCGCTTTCGTAGAAGTGGCCGTAAACGGATGGATCGGTAGGCGATGGATAGAAGTTCTCAATATCCCAAATCCACAGTCCTGCATACTGTCCAACGTCTGCTTCAAATAAATGTGAGACATCAAGCTTCTTTTGATGATTGGCCATTCTTTCTCTCCAACTTGGAGGTGCCTTCAGTAGAGAGTCCCCATTTTCCATTGGTTGATCATCGTCATCTTTATTCTTGGCCATTTTTGACATTGCTGCAATCACCTTTGAGGCCCCATCTTCATCAGCTTGATGCCTTCGCCGCTTGATGAAGTCCTTTTTCCTTTGCATGGCATCCCTTCGGCCTTGGTCTACCGATGAATTTGAGGAATTTGTCGTGTGATTTGGCATCTGAAACCAATTGAAATATTAGAAATAGCTTCATAAGACAATAACAATCTATTACGACCAGATACTTCAGGTTGCACGCTTGAATGCGTCATCCTAATCAAAACTCTCCATTCCAGTTCTTATCTAAAACATAAAAAAAACTGTTAAATAACTTACCCGATGTGAAAGTGAGAAGTCGATGTTATAAAAGGCCAGTGCTTTGGCTTTATCGTTGGGCTTCGGTGGCATAACAATTTCGGGATTGCTGAAAAGAAAATAGTTAATTATCTTCATTATGGATAACATAAGAAACTTATATATCCTTCATTTTTGAACCTTTTAGGTCGTAAATCGTTCAAGGGTGGTCTAAAACAAGAACCAAGGCAAACAGTTGTAAAGTTTTTGCATTATTGCATATTGCACTTGGTTTTCGAGAAAATTTATGTGTCCAGAAAATGTGTCAGCAAAAATAGGACGGTGATGACTTATTTTCCGGAAAATGTTTTTTCGTCAGAAATTTTTCTTCCTGTAACTTACTTTGTCAGATCGAGTTCCTTTAGATCAGGTAACAGATATAGTCCATCCGGAATCTGCCGAAGTCCATTACTATCCAACTTTAACCTTTGAAGCTTCACACATCTCGAAACTCCCTCTGGAATCAGTTGAAGACGATTATGGGAAAGGTAGAGGATCTGGAGCTGTAAGAGCTTTCCAATTCCCTTTGGCATCCCTGAAATTTGCCGTTTCATTTGAATATTGGATCTTCATCATGGGTAAGATGGACACTCACCCTCAAAGGTAATTTTGTTAAAATTTGCGTATATTCTTCTCAGTCTAGAGCATTTGACGATACCCTCTGGGAGAGAAAGCAATTCATTGTCGCTGAAATTGACCGTTTCCAGCTCTTCTAAGGCATCATCGGGGACATTGACCTCAGTGAGCTAAATGAGTAGATGAGTATTAAAAATATTAGTTTACTCACTTTATTATGGCTGATGTCCAATTTTCTCAGCTTCTTCAGCTCGTAGACACTTTCCGGCAACTTTTCCAATGCATTTTCGGCCAGATCCAGCTCTTGGATATTCTCCATTCCATTGAATGTCAAAGGGAAATTCGCAGCTGTCCGATTGGTGTTCCGGAGATGTAAAACCCGCAGATTTTGCATTCTGAAAAAATATTGTGATATTTTGTTGTCTTCTACTTACGTCATGGTTGGGAATTGAAAGCTTTTCAACGGATTGAAAGAGAGTTTCAGAATCTGAAGATTGACCAGACGCTTGAGTTGAACTGGAAGGTTGTCGACCTTATTGTGGGATAAATCGAGAAAAATGAGATCGATGAGGTTGTTGAAGACCTGAAATATGAATATTGAACCGTATCGTCAATTAGTAACATCAGAAAATCTGATTTCTATATTGCTTTTGATAGTAGGTTCCTCAAAATCCAGTTTCTCTAAACTTACTAAATTTGGTATGCTCTCAAGATTATTATGGCTCAAATTTAGGACGATTGCACATTTCGCGTACTCCACATTGTTCGGAACGTCTCTGAGGGAGTTGTGACTAAAGTCAATTATGGTCAGATCTTTCATGCGGAAAATGTCTGTGGGAATGCCGGATGTTTTTATCTGAAACATGAATTTGATATTCATTCTTCGTCCTCATTATTATTTTAAATTGTTTGTGAGGTTTTCACAGGAGTTGTATGATTTTTGAATGACAGATTCGTGGTCTAAACTCCAAAGTAAGGAAAAAATTTTACCTGATTACGCCTAAAGATGACTGATCTTAGTTTTGGAAGATCTGAGAGTTCACCATGGATGTTTTGAAGGCTATTTCTCGTCATTTGAAGGTGTTCTAGCTTTGTCAGATCTGATAGTTCGTCTGGGACATGCTCTAGTTTTGTGTCGTTCAGTTTGAGCCAGGTCGCATGTGCCATTTGAGCCACTTCTTGTGGAAATCGATCACCCTGCAAGTAGTATAACTTATAATGAGTTCCTTTTGATTCAAAGGGGTTCTAAATGAACACCGTCTTAAAAGACCTTGTTATTCAATTTTTTAAATAATATTCTCTTTGAAGTTAAACTTTATTATATTACTTTAAATGCCGCTTATTTTTTTTTGCATTATTCAGAGTTCTTTTTCGTATCTCTAGCCAAAGTATAAAATTATTCATTCGTTTGTAAGCGGTTCTTTTCATAGATTTCTAACTTTCTGTTCTATCTAGTAATTTTGTTATACTTCAATGTAAAAGATGCGTCGATCTTAGTGTTTAACCCAATATTAAATTATAATAACTTACCGAGAAGTCATTGTGAGAGAAGTCGACACCTCGTATGTAACCCAAAACACCCGTACTCATTTTGGCAACCAGCCAAAATGGCTTCGAAAATCTGAAAAAACTTTAAAAGTCAAGGCGAAATAAAAGCTTTTGACACCAAATCAACGCATTCCCTTGGGGAAATCTCGAGGAAAAAGCAAAATGCAAATCCGAGAGAAAAAAGAATCGGCCATAAAATAATTTTCGCTGCTTCGTTATGCGAAAGACGCAGTTGTATTCGTTGTGGGAAGAGAAAAGGAAACGGGAAGAGATCTCTTCGAATGGGAAAAAATACTTTAGAGGTCAAACAAAGAGGTATTTAAAAGAATAGGGGATAAAAGAGGGTCGAAAAAAGGAATGTTTTGAGGTAAAGTATAATAAAATGTAGGGGAGTCTTCGTTTTTTTTGGAATTTATGGAAAATAAGGAGAGAGAAAAGTGGGATTGGTTTCGGTCGTATTTTGCAGGAGAAAAAATATTTTTTCTGAATTTATAAGTTACTTTTATGTTCAATCATCATTTTCCAATTTCGAGGTCGAAAAAAATTTAAATTTCTGACAAATATCGACTTGGAAACCCCAACACATTCTGCAAAACATGACATTAAAAGCTGGTGTAATGTATTCAAAACTCAACTACTTACAAGGGAAGTCGTTCAGATCGCAAATGAGTTGAGCTATGGGACCGGTATATTCTGATTCTCCATATTCGAAAACGGTAAGAGCTAAAACAAATTTTCCGTCTGGGCCCTAGTTTTCGAGAAAATCGACCGTAAGGTTTGATCGGAAACCCCGCTAAATAGTCCTCGCTCCGAAAGGCCTTTGGAACAAGAGCCAAATGGCAGAGGGCGAGTGAAAACGCTCGCAAAAAACTTTTGTCCGGGATGCCGGGAAAGGTTCGAGTCCCGCTAGGCTCAAACCCATGTCCAAAGAGCTTTGATATTGAGAATGATAAAAAAATAAAAAAAATTTTAGTTTTTTGTGGTGAAGTGTACCTCAATAATTTTAGATAAAATAGTTTTTTTAGGAATAAACACTTAATTTTTGAGTTCAGCGCTAATTTTTGAGTTCAGCGCAGAAATATGCATATTTGACATGCATTTCAATATTTTCTCCACAGTATGTAAAAGGAAAAATATTTTTTTTGCTATGCAACCATTATGAATTAGGGTTTGCTCCTAGCGGGACTCGAACCTCCCCCGGCATCCCGGACAAAAGAATTTTGAGAGCGTTTTCACTCGCCCTCTGCCATTTGGCTCTTGTTCCAAATGCCTTTCGGAGCGGGGACTATTTAGCGGAGTTTCCGATCAAACTTTACGGTCGATTTTCTCGAAAGCCAGGGCCCAGACGGAAAAATTGTTTATGCTCTTTCCGTTTTCGAATATGGAGAATCAGAATATACCGGTCCCATAGCTCAACTCATTTGCGATCTGAACGACTTCCCTTGTTAGATCAAAGTAATCACACGTATGCTTGGTTTTCTGGCTCATTTACCTCCTACTCTCAGCCTACAGTATCCCCAGCCAAACTTCCTTCCCTAAACTACAAATGAGCCCCCAACAATGTGACCATTAATCCCATCAAACGACGAATTGATCGTATTCAAATTAAAAGATAAATTGGGATTGAAGCGTTTTCACTTTTTATCTCGAGAGGCTCGGGATAAAAGACCTTGAACATGCAATAGAAGACAAGACGCGCCTCCCTGCTCATCTGATTATGTTTGCTGTCAAAACATAATACGAATACAATGATATTTTGTTTATTTTGATGGTTTATGTGGATCGTAATGGACAATATTGCAAAAAAGATTTTATATCTTATATTTGATAATCTAAAAATAATATTTTAGTTATGGACTAAAGACTAAAAAAGTGTCATGGCTAAGATGATCAGCATGCAAAAAACTGATTAAAAAATGATTCAAAATTAATATTTTGGCCTTCTGATTCAGGGTTTTTGCAGAAAGCGGCGAAGAAATTGACTATAAATATCTCCCAAACACATGCAGTAGCATCATCTACAAAATGTTGTACATTGTTCTCATCCTGGGTGTTGCTACGGCCGGAGCTGTCAAATATGACAAACCGGAGAGAACGATCGAGACCGTACTGAGAACGCCACACAATGAGTTCTTCAACTTGCCCGATAACTCGTCAATGGAGACCGTGTTCATTAATCAGCAGGTTTACAACGAGACGTCCCGCAGTGTTGAAGAAATGTAGGAAATTTTTGACGAGGAACTATTTTTAGGGCAAGGGGTAGAATTTAATGCAAATTGAAATAAGGATTTCCAGGGTTTATATATCGCGTTTTGCAGAAAACACTGAGATTTTTTGGCTAAAGATTGACTAAAGTTTGTGCAAAAATTACAAAATTTTCGTATAAAACAACATCAATTTTTTATAATTTACACAAAATTAAATTGATGACAATTCCCTTTCACACGAACACTCTCCTTTTCTGCAGCCGCCTTCGGCACCGTGCTGGAGTTGCCCAAGCTCTCCGCAAAGGCTTTGAACTCGTCGGAGATGGGGCCGGTTTGGTCATCACCAACGGTGGCATTACCTACGAACAGCTGATCAGCTTGGTCAATGTTTTTACCACTCGATTCTTCCACTCTGTCGATGATCGTTACATTCAAGCCGCTGGAAATTTGTTGCTTCGTTCTGCAGCCGTCGGTCATGTGAAAGTGTCGGAAAAAGTTCATAAATATTTTAGGAACAACGCGGATGGACAGATGTGAGTTTATTGGTCGGTTTTATATAAAGGATGTTCAATGTTGCTGTCCATAACCAAGATCTTTATTCAGCAAATTCCCCAAGCCTTGCAACATCTCCGATGAGGAGTTTGAGACCATTTCCATTGCCGGAGCTATCCTTCAAGTTTTTCATGAACTGTTCCCCAGGTAAGAATAAAACATGGCCTTTATGTCAACGCCAATCTTTCAGCAACCCCTCTCCTGGATTGGAAGGTGAAATCAACGAAAAACTTTTCACCTTCGGTAAATTCGAAGGCTACAGTATCTTCACCAACTGTGGACGTGAAAGCTATGGTGATTATGAGAAAATTTTCCTGACCGAAGATTCGGACGAAAGCGATAGTAGTGAGGAGATTAAAGACGTGTTCAAAGTAGCGTTGGCGAGGACTTTCTTCTGAGAAACGTTGATGCAAACTTATATTGAACTTGAATAAAAGAAGCTTATCTAAAATAATTCATCTTGGTTCAGTCAATTCTATTTATTCACGCCTTGCAAACTATGTTTCGTTTTCTTCATTGCGTTTAATCCATTCAGGGACAAACTTTTGGTCACATTCCTTGGGCGAATGGTCCTCCTTGTAATTGCTGATTTTGTGTGGTTGGAGGTGTGCTAGTCGACATAATTGACAAGTCAGTTCTTCAGGCTCGACGGCGTTTTTCGGCTTTGGTCGTTGAGACCATTTGAGGTATCTACGGGTAAAACAACATGTATTTTAGAAAAAGTTTTTCGGCCGATTTCTTCGTTTTTTCGCAGCCTCAAAGTGTATCAAAGGCTTTGGGAAATGGGGAGAGACAGCCAGAGAAAAATAGTATTTTTCACATCCGAAAACCAAACTTTAATTTGGTGCAATTTTGAACCCCTTACCTTTTATATAATTCTTTGTTAAATGCGACCATCTTCAAGTAGGCAACGAATTCCTCTGTGTTTTTGAAGTCATCCATAGCAATGAAAATATCTTGCGGATACTCTTTTGGAATCACAGAACGTCGGAAGACCACTGGGACTATAAAATTTACGAATCGGGTAAACTTTTCGGTCGCATATTCGGGACAGATCGCATTTTCAAAAGCCAAATAAAAGAAGTGCGACTCTGAAATAAAGTTTATTGAGAGTTAAACAAGTTCTATTACCCATCAACTTGTTAAAACATCCATCTTTACAAGCTTGCTTATTATTGAAACATTTTCCGAGGGTTGTGATTTCCATGAATTTCTGGAGATGTTTGACCATTTCCGTTCGTTTAGATTCAACTTGGCAATGGGATGAGGCTACTAGTGCCAGTTTTGTCTTTTTGGCGATGATTTCGTCCAACTAGAAAATTGTGATTTTTCGATAAACACTGTCAAAAACCAACTTTTTCATCGCTCAAATTAAAGTATTTTGGCCACCTTGGTTGATAAATCATTCTCGCATCCGAATTCCTCTTATAAGTCATCGTATAATTGAAATAATCGCTTGGCAATGACCCGTGACTCAGATACGAAAGCCATGGGGGTTCGATGGAAAAGAAAATTCGAGGCGCATTTGATCTGGGGAGGTCGAAAGAACGGGTATTTCGGGCATGGAACATGATGAGAGAGGCTTGAGATTCTTTGGATCTGTCGTAGGTTAGGTTGCACTTGTAAGGGCAGCTGTTTGGTTTGACCAGCCAAATTTTCTCATTATATAAGGTGTTCCAGGCTAGAATCAGAGGTTGGTTGGGCTGAAAGTTTCATTTAAAAAATCGGCTTAAATTTTTTGGCGTGTCATTTCGTGTAATTGCATATTACATAAATGCATGTACAATATATACAAAATGGCGGTTTTAACTTATTGTTTTTCTCAGTAATAGAATTAAACTTACATCCTTCCTCATTACCATGTCATTCCAATAAAAATACTGTAAGTTTGGGATCCCAAAGTTTTCCACGTAATAAAGAAAGTAAAGAAGCGTAGCGGTTGCGAGCAGGCCGACAACAGCCATTTTATTCATTCTTTTCCCACTGATACATGTGAAATAATGGGTCCGTAAGGTCCCTTGCAATACAGCTCGCATTTTAATAGCTTTTCACAGGATTTTAGGGGAATATTTTTTAATAATAATCGAAAATTAAAGCCGAAATTTAATAAAAGTCCATCATAGCGAAAATCGCAAAAATTGTTTCAAATGTTCTGAACTCTTTATGATATTTCATTGTCAAAGGTCAGCAATAGTTAAAGTTCAGTCTTTGAAATATTATAGTTTTTTTGGAGATTCGTCATCAGCGACAAAAGTTGGCTATAAAAAGAGTCTCCAAAGGTGTGTGTGCTGAGCCGTTCTTCAAACAGTGCGTATGTTATCGCTCCAATTCACGGATTTATTTTAAAGTTTTATCGGAATCTGATCATTGAAGGTCTGAAGTAAGTAAACGCCCTCCTAAAGTTTTTTTTAACAAATTTTTTTGCCCTGCACTGATTTGTAATCATGAATCGTCATCGTTTTAAATTTAAATTAGTTTATTACCTAAAACACATTTCGTATTTTAGAGATTCACTCTTTGAAAACAGTGCAATTAAAATTATCCGGGTCCAGCGTCCCATTCTGCACCATATTATGGTACTTCACATGCGGCACCTTCCTATAAGTATCCAAATTCATTTTCCAGTGTCGTCGGAAGTGCTGTCGATTGTACATTCGCTCATGCCAACATCCAATTCCACCAAAATCAAACTCCTGAAGCATTTTATTGGCGGTGAAGTCGGGATGAGAATACATGTCGAAAAGGTCCCTCATTCCGAGGATGCAGATGCCGTGACGGAAATTTTTACTTCGGCATTCGTCTCCACCCCATTTGCTGAACCTGAAAATGAAATTGCCATCTATACCGTTCGAAACATTACAGAATGAAATTTCAAAACCGCAAGTTTCGCCTTTTTTGGAGCCAAATTACGCCCGTGCCAGGCCAAACACTCTGATATTACACTAGGCACTAATAAAAAATAAAGTGAATTAGAGATGCCGGAGTGAATTGACGACACCTATACCGTTCGAAACATTACAGAATGAAATTTCAAAACCGCAAGTTTCGCCTTTTTTGGAGCCAAATTACGCCCGTGCCAGGCCAAACACTCTGATATTACACTAGGCACTAATAAAAAATAAAGTGAATTAGAGATGCCGGAGTGAATTGACGACACCTATACCGTTCGAAACATTACAGAATGAAATTTCAAAACCGCAAGTTTCGCCTTTTTTGGAGCCAAATTGCGCCCGTACCAGGCAAAACACTCTGATATTACACTAGGCACTAATAAAAAATAAAGTGAATTAGAGATGCCGGAGTGAATTGACGACACCTATACCGTTCGAAACATTACAGAATGAAATTTCAAAACCGCAAGTTTCGCCTTTTTTGGAGCCAAATTACGCCCGTCCCAGGCAAAACACTCTGATATTACACTAGGCACTAATAAAAAATAAAGTGAGTTAGAGATGTCGGAGTGAATTGACGACACCTATACCGTTTGAAACATTACAGAATGAAATTTCAAAACCGCAAGTTTCGCCTTTTTTGGAGCCAAATTGCGCCCGTACCAGGCAAAACATTCTGATATTACACTAGGCACTAATAAAAAATAAAGTGAATTAGAGATGTCGGAGTGAATTGACGACACCTATACCGTTCGAAACATTACAGAATGAAATTTCAAAACCGCAAGTTTCGCCTTTTTTGGAGCCAAATTACGCCCGTACCAGGAAAAACACTCTGATATTACACTAGGCACTAATAAAAAATAAAGTAAATTAGAGATGTCGGAGTGAATTGACGACACCTATACCGTTCGAAACATTACAGAATGAAATTTCAAAACCGCAAGTTTCGCCTTTTTTGGAGCCAAATTACGCCCGTACCAGGAAAAACACTCTGATATTACACTAGGCACTAATAAAAAATAAAGTGAATTAGAGATGCCGGAGTGAATTGACGACACCTATACCGTTCGAAACATTACAGAATGAAATTTCAAAACCGCAAGTTTCGCCTTTTTTGGAGCCAAATTACGCCCGTACCAGGAAAAACACTCTGATATTACACTAGGCACTAATAAAAAATAAAGTAAATTAGAGATGTCGGAGTGAATTGACGACACCTATACCGTTCGAAACATTACAGAATGAAATTTCAAAACCGCAAGTTTCGCCTTTTTTGGAGCCAAATTACGCCCGTGCCAGGCCAAACACTCTGATATTACACTAGGCACTAATAAAAAATAAAGTGAATTAGAGATGCCGGAGTGAATTGACGACACCTATACCGTTCGAAACATTACAGAATGAAATTTCAAAACCGCAAGTTTCGCCTTTTTTGGAGCCAAATTACGCCCGTACCAGGCCAAACACTCTGATATTACACTAGGCACTAATAAAAAATAAAGTGAATTAGAGATGCCGGAGTGAATTGACGACACCTATACCGTTCGAAACATTACAGAATGAAATTTCAAAACCGCAAGTTTCGCCTTTTTTGGAGCCAAATTGCGCCCGTACCAGGCAAAACACTCTGATATTACACTAGGCACTAATAAAAAATAAAGTGAGTTAGAGATGTCGGAGTGAATTGACGACACCTATACCGTTCGAAACATTACAGAATGAAATTTCAAAACCGCAAGTTTCGCCTTTTTTGGAGCCAAATTACGCCCGTGCCAGGCCAAACACTCTGATATTACACTAGGCACTAATAAAAAATAAAGTGAATTAGAGATGCCGGAGTGAATTGACGACACCTATACCGTTCGAAACATTACAGAATGAAATTTCAAAACCGCAAGTTTCGCCTTTTTTGGAGCCAAATTACGCCCGTACCAGGCCAAACACTCTGATATTACACTAGGCACTAATAAAAAATAAATTGAGTTAGAGATGTCGGAGTGAATTGACGACACCTATACCGTTCGAAACATTACAGAATGAAATTTCAAAACCGCAAGTTTCGCCTTTTTTGGAGCCAAATTACGCCCGTGCCAGGCCAAACACTCTGATATTACACTAGGCACTAATAAAAAATAAATTGAGTTAGAGATGTCGGAGTGAATTGACGACACCTATACCGTTCGAAACATTACAGAATGAAATTTCAAAACCGCAAGTTTCGCCTTTTTTGGAGCCAAATTACGCCCGTACCAGGAAAAACACTCTGATATTACACTAGGCACTAATAAAAAATAAAGTAAATTAGAGATGTCGGAGTGAATTGACGACACCTATACCGTTCGAAACATTACAGAATGAAATTTCAAAACCGCAAGTTTCGCCTTTTTTGGAGCCAAATTACGCCCGTGCCAGGCCAAACACTCTGATATTACACTAGGCACTAATAAAAAATAAAGTGAATTAGAGATGCCGGAGTGAATTGACGACACCTATACCGTTCGAAACATTACAGAATGAAATTTCAAAACCGCAAGTTTCGCCTTTTTTGGAGCCAAATTACGCCCGTACCAGGCCAAACACTCTGATATTACACTAGGCACTAATAAAAAATAAAGTGAATTAGAGATGCCGGAGTGAATTGACGACACCTATACCGTTCGAAACATTACAGAATGAAATTTCAAAACCGCAAGTTTCGCCTTTTTTGGAGCCAAATTGCGCCCGTACCAGGCAAAACACTCTGATATTACACTAGGCACTAATAAAAAATAAAGTGAGTTAGAGATGTCGGAGTGAATTGACGACACCTATACCGTTCGAAACATTACAGAATGAAATTTCAAAACCGCAAGTTTCGCCTTTTTTGGAGCCAAATTACGCCCGTGCCAGGCCAAACACTCTGATATTACACTAGGCACTAATAAAAAATAAAGTGAATTAGAGATGCCGGAGTGAATTGACGACACCTATACCGTTCGAAACATTACAGAATGAAATTTCAAAACCGCAAGTTTCGCCTTTTTTGGAGCCAAATTACGCCCGTACCAGGCCAAACACTCTGATATTACACTAGGCACTAATAAAAAATAAATTGAGTTAGAGATGTCGGAGTGAATTGACGACACCTATACCGTTCGAAACATTACAGAATGAAATTTCAAAACCGCAAGTTTCGCCTTTTTTGGAGCCAAATTACGCCCGTGCCAGGCCAAACACTCTGATATTACACTAGGCACTAATAAAAAATAAAGTGAATTAGAGATGCCGGAGTGAATTGACGACACCTATACCGTTCGAAACATTACAGAATGAAATTTCAAAACCGCAAGTTTCGCCTTTTTTGGAGCCAAATTGCGCCCGTACCAGGCAAAACACTCTGATATTACACTAGGCACTAATAAAAAATAAAGTGAGTTAGAGATGTCGGAGTGAATTGACGACACCTATACCGTTCGAAACATTACAGAATGAAATTTCAAAACCGCAAGTTTCGCCTTTTTTGGAGCCAAATTACGCCCGTGCCAGGCCAAACACTCTGATATTACACTAGGCACTAATAAAAAATAAAGTGAATTAGAGATGCCGGAGTGAATTGACGACACCTATACCGTTCGAAACATTACAGAATGAAATTTCAAAACCGCAAGTTTCGCCTTTTTTGGAGCCAAATTACGCCCGTACCAGGCCAAACACTCTGATATTACACTAGGCACTAATAAAAAATAAATTGAGTTAGAGATGTCGGAGTGAATTGACGACACCTATACCGTTCGAAACATTACAGAATGAAATTTCAAAACCGCAAGTTTCGCCTTTTTTGGAGCCAAATTACGCCCGTGCCAGGCCAAACACTCTGATATTACACTAGGCACTAATAAAAAATAAATTGAGTTAGAGATGTCGGAGTGAATTGACGACACCTATACCGTTCGAAACATTACAGAATGAAATTTCAAAACCGCAAGTTTCGCCTTTTTTGGAGCCAAATTACGCCCGTACCAGGAAAAACACTCTGATATTACACTAGGCACTAATAAAAAATAAAGTAAATTAGAGATGTCGGAGTGAATTGACGACACCTATACCGTTCGAAACATTACAGAATGAAATTTCAAAACCGCAAGTTTCGCCTTTTTTGGAGCCAAATTACGCCCGTGCCAGGCCAAACACTCTGATATTACACTAGGCACTAATAAAAAATAAAGTGAATTAGAGATGCCGGAGTGAATTGACGACACCTATACCGTTCGAAACATTACAGAATGAAATTTCAAAACCGCAAGTTTCGCCTTTTTTGGAGCCAAATTACGCCCGTACCAGGCCAAACACTCTGATATTACACTAGGCACTAATAAAAAATAAAGTGAATTAGAGATGCCGGAGTGAATTGACGACACCTATACCGTTCGAAACATTACAGAATGAAATTTCAAAACCGCAAGTTTCGCCTTTTTTGGAGCCAAATTGCGCCCGTACCAGGCAAAACACTCTGATATTACACTAGGCACTAATAAAAAATAAAGTGAGTTAGAGATGTCGGAGTGAATTGACGACACCTATACCGTTCGAAACATTACAGAATGAAATTTCAAAACCGCAAGTTTCGCCTTTTTTGGAGCCAAATTACGCCCGTGCCAGGCCAAACACTCTGATATTACACTAGGCACTAATAAAAAATAAAGTGAATTAGAGATGCCGGAGTGAATTGACGACACCTATACCGTTCGAAACATTACAGAATGAAATTTCAAAACCGCAAGTTTCGCCTTTTTTGGAGCCAAATTACGCCCGTACCAGGCCAAACACTCTGATATTACACTAGGCACTAATAAAAAATAAAT